AAACTGTTTTGAAAGCCTTTATTGAATAAAAAAAGTTTTGCGATTGAATTTTGCTAACTTTTTTGCACTAATCATAAAAAACATTTTCTTTATTTCACACTTTCAAATTTGCAATTTCCCCCTATACCTTAATCTTCTGCAGAACTTGAAATATATATCTATAAAAAATATGAAAAGTTGTATTTTAAGATAATGTTGAGAGAACTTTGTGCTCTATGCAAGCATACAGGGTGTCCCAATAAACATTGGAATTAAATGACGACTTCTATGTCGTCTTTGGTCCAAGCTGGATCATTTCCTAAATATTATTTTGTAAAATCACAGTTATATCAATTAACACCGAAAATTTCTAGTCTAGGGATTTCCAAAATGTGGTTTAACATTTTTTCACCTGAAAATTTTTCTGGATTCAGTTAATTAAAAATCAACAAAACTGTTCAAGTGTTTAATATCTTCGTCAATTTTAAAGATACAACTGCACTTTATGCCATTTATAAATTATTCCTATGTTTATTGGGACACCCTGTATGATACACACAGATCTGGTGTCGTAAAATTTACTTTTTACGTCAACCGCATAGTGGATGATTATTTGGAATTTATTTTTGATTTGGAAATAAAATAAAATAAAAAGATGATTGCGCGGAATTTGTTAAGTCAATTTCTTGCATTCAGGGTTCCTTATTGGTCAAAACTGCAATACATCTGTGCTTAATCATAACAAACCATCAAAATCCAAAACTAAATGCAGAAACCAAAAATAAAGCTTCAAATCGTCATATTTTTAGAGTTTTGGGTCGTTTTTACAGTCTCATCCTTTGAGGGTGACCCCCTGGAAACCACTATTCCCGGGAGAGGGGGGGGGGGCTTAACTCCCATAGCCCCTTCTCTTTATACGCCTCTGATGATCAGGAATAGAATTTGACATTGAGAAAAGCTGTAAACTGATAACGAGAAATATCCAAGGTTTCAAATGAAGATATAAACTTCTTACGGTGCATTGAGGGGTCACATTTAGGTGAAAAACACTTTTTTTGTAAAAAAAAGATAATGTTTGGTATAACCGTTTAATTTAGGAAAAGCATTTTAAAATGTCGAAAACCCTACCCGGGGGGGGGATTATATGATTATATATTTTTCAGGCAATGAATATGTTGCTAATTATTACTACTTTTGATGAGGAATAGAATTTGACTTTCAGAAAGCTGTAAACTGAAAATGAGAAATATCCAAGGTTTCAAATGAAGATATAAACTTCTTACGGTGCAATTATGTTTTTTTCCAGTCAATGAATATTTTTACTTAGTATTACTACTTTTGAGACTCTTATAGGAATCTCATCCAACTGTAATATTTCATTTTTTCCCCATTTTTTTTTTTATATTTAAAAGTTAAAACTCTATTAAAACATTTGTCCCTAATTAAATTTTGATGAAAAAAAAACTGAAAAATTTGCGGCCCATTTAGAAAAACCATTTTAAAATGCCAAAATTTATTATTTGACCTAATTTCACCCTTTGATGCTTCCTAATAAAAGTGTCGCATAACCATCGGAGAGTCAATTCAGATTCGGAGGAATGAGTTAAGGACTAAGGGGAGAGGGGGGGGCGGAGAGGTTTGAAATTAACAATACGCATTGTCATCAATGGTTTAAACATCATGAAATCAATTAAAATTACGTCCAATTCCCATCCTCCTTTTGTCTCCTTTATTACCTTGTAGCAAATTTATTTGGTAGATAATTTATACTGTACATTCGACGCACAGTAGATAATTTATACTGTACATTGCACGCACAGTACATAATGTATACTGTACATTGTACGCACAGTAGATAATTTATACTGTACATTGCACGCACAGTAGATAATTTATACTGTACATTGCATGCACAGTAGATAATTTATACTGTACATTGCATGCACAGTAGATAATGTATACTGTACATTGCATGCACAGTAGATAATGTATACTGTACATTGTACGCACAGTTTAGCAAAACTAAAAAGACGAAACTTAAAATCCAATTTTTTTAGTTTTCTAGTTTTCAAGTCATATTATTGTAAAATGTTTAGCTGGATAAGAACGTATGCATATTATGATGAGTAATAATACTCAGCTTGTGAATTGTGATGAGTAAGAAATTTGAGAGAATCTGGAATTGAATAAGTAAGAGTTCTAAGATAAATGAGTAATGAGTGAAGGAGTAACAAGATCTGTGCATGTCTGTTTAAGAAATATGATTAGATTAGTAAAATCGATATAAAAAACTATTCAGTGCGCAAAAAAAATAGGAATAAAGTCAAACAGATATGAAGTTAGGATAAGTACAAGATGGAGTACTGCTTAAAGATAAAAGTTTGGATGAGTAAAGTGCTGGTTGAGAAATGAGTAAAATAGAACTAAAAGATCAAAGTATGGATGAGTAAACATGGATGATAAATGAGTAAAGGAGAACTAAAAGTAAAAGTTTGGATGGGTAAACATGGATGATAAATGAGTAAAGGAGAACTAAGATATCAAAGTATGGATGAGTAAACATGGATGATAAATGAGTAAAGAAGAACTAAAAGATCAAAGTATGGATGAGTAAACATGGATGATAAATGAGTAAAGGAGAACTTAAAGATCAAAGTTTGGATGAGTAAAATGGTGGATGAGGAATGAGTGTAGCAGGAAATAGAATCCCGGAACAGTTTCAAGAATGTCATCGCTGGCATTTTTTCGTCCGCACTTAAATCATTTAAGAGAATTTGTCTGACATTTCTAGAGGCATTCCATGGAACCTTAGAATCACATATACGCAGTTATATACGTAGAAATTAGTCAATTGTATAAAAGAATTGTAGTGTTTTTTTTTTACTTTTGATGATGATTTAAGAAATCTAGTGTTTTAAAGCAACTCGTGGATTTCTACGCGAAAGAAAGCTTAAAATATCAAAACTAGCAGTGGTTATCTTTCGTCCTATTTTTTGTAGACAAAATGTTGAACCAATTTTAATAAGAAATCGAACATCAGTTTAGTTGCACATAAAATTACGTTGTCCATCTCTCTAGTACAAAATATGCTAAAAGTAAAATGAAATAAAAGACTTCATTTTTTCTGTCTCCTAGTTTTATAATACTACTTATATTCACTCGTGTATGAATAATAAATCATTTAAATCTTAAAGTTTGCATGATCAAGATATATTAAGATATAATTTATTTTTAACATTTAATTAACATTTTTACACTCATCTTTAACATATTTACAAGCTGCATACTTCAAATCAAGTAAACGTTAAAAATTATAAACTTCTTTTGATTAAGATTTGTGCATATTTTAAGCATACGTACAAGGTATATATTCAATTTATATTATATATATATATATATATATATATGTATTATATAAGATATATTCAAGGTTATAATGCAAGGAAAGTTAATTGCAGTTGCGTACACTCTGCATACATATTGAAACCAGTTCTCTCTGGGCGGAATTTGTAAACAAGAATAGATGCATCAGTGTTCGTTCAGTATCCGAGGACAAGTTGGAATTTTTTATACAACAGTTTGAAATCAAAACATAAACAAACAAATTAAAAAATCTAGCAAATTAGTATTCCCAGAATAACAGGTATCCTTGGAGGCATAACTAATTAAATCAATAAATGCTTAACAAAGATGACCTCAAAGTCGTCCCTCAATTCTCATATTTATTGGGACACTTGGTGTGACCCAGACATATTGGGACACCCGGTGTGATCCAGATATATTGGGACACCCGGTGTGATCCAGATGTATCATGTATAAAATGTATTATTTCTTTTAATTAAGGTTTTGCATAATATTTGCATATGTAGATAGATCTAAGTTTAATTAACCATGCGTATATTTTAAAAAAATCATACAATGATAACCAAAAATAACAGTAGAAAAGGAAGACGATTTATACATTTATACTTACAAGTATTTGATGTTGTTACAAACCAAATTTGAAATATCTTAGACTGTAGTCTTAATAGACACTTTATGAAATCGTTAATTTAGTGAATTGGGTCCGTGTTCACTGCAAAGTTATTATGTCTCATCATGTGTTCTGCGGGATAAATCGACTTGTATAATTAAAATAGGATTTAGAGGTTTCGTGACCCAACCTTCCAGTTCAAAGTTGACACGTACTCGGCTTCTTTCGTTAAAGTCTCTTGTGTTTTACAAATTTTCCTCAGTTTAATATAAATTGTGAAACAGTTAAATCCGGAAAAAAATAGAATCTGTTTTCTGTTTACTGTATGTCTCCTGGATGACATAAATAAATCTAAGGTTTTAAGTCGTCTTCCTGTTTCATAGTATTTTTATATCACTGTATTACGCAGATTTAATAGTTAGTATCTGTTAATTTTAATTTCGTTTATTTTGTAATGTTTTGCAATCAATAGAAATTTTTTTGGAAAAAAAATTGTTATGTATAATAAAAATTTTTGAATTTTGCTTTTATGTAGTTGTGCTAGCGCGATATTTGTTGGTTTAAACTGGTTGTTTAGTTAAAACAGGGCTAAAGGTTTTAGAAACCCTTCAACGTTCAAGAATGTACCATCCACATATTTCACAAAACTGAAAATAATAAAGTTAACAATGTTAGAAAACTAAAACATAATTGAAAAAAAATATTTAGTTCCGAAAAAAGTTCAAATATTGGCCTTGAATAAAAATGTCAACCTGCACTAAAAATGCGCAAACTGGAATGATCAGGTAGTTTCAAGTGCATTTTGTTCTGCTAATTAATACCTAGTGCATCAGAAATTTTTAGTTTAGCTAGCATCTACTGAGTTTTCAAATACCTTACTAGAACATATGGTTTTATATGTTATTAGATTTATGAATTTTTTTATATACCCCCCTCCCCCCCCCAGCCTATCACCCGAATTATAAATCTTATCGATGCTCGATNCCATTATTAAAATAAATCTTTTTTGAAAATGCATAACTGTTTTTATTTGACGAATTTATTTCAGGTTTGTGTGTTGACCTGCTTATTACTGGGCCTATCCTCAGGGGCAAACCAGGTAAAAAAATTATATTTAAAAAAAAAATACATTGGGATTCATAAAACTGTGGAATAGGAATATCACTCTAGTATGCCGAGTCCATTAGTCCCTGATCCAATCAGGGTTCAACCATGTGTTTGTTGTCTATTTTGAAGCAATAGAAATTGCATGGCGGTAACATCTGTCCTTTTATTTAGCTCATTATCCAATTAGAGATAAATCCTTATATCTACTGAAACTATAGTGATATAAAAACATGCAACATAGCGATTGTGTCCACTGTCAAATAACCAGTTGATATTCAAGCTGGTAGTAACACACTATTTTGCTTCGAGTTCGAACCAATACAAGATCAAAATATTTCATCTTCCAATTTTATAGTTATATGGGTCCCACTGTTCAAAAAGACATTTTTCGAAAAATAAATGTAAATTTTGTTTTAAAAAAATGTTTACATTCTTCCCTAAAACTGCGCAGTACACTTTTTATGTGTACTGCGCAGTACTCAAATGAAGGCTTCTTTGGTTCCTAATCTGGTTTCCAAGATAAAATAACACACGGACTGTAAAAGCGAAATTTCAAGTGACCCTTCATGCAAAGATGTCAAAGCCCGATTTACAGGGATACACTTAGAGCTTTGTCTGTGGCTTAAATTTGAGACGCGGCTCAAATATGGATGGTTCCACTTAAAATTGTATTCAATGTTTCAAGATTTAAGCCGGCGGTCAATTGAAACCGGTTTTTGGCGGATTTCAGACGCGGTTTATAATTTAAAACCCATTTAAAACTTTCATTGTGGGTTCTTTTACTAAAGTGAGAAACAAACACTTTTAAACCTTGAAAAATGACAATATTTTCCACAGTTTTGATCAGGGTAAAGGGTTCACGTGTACCGTTGTGAATTGGGCATTTCCATATTTGCATGGAAGGTCAATTACGATTACGCGTACAGTCCCTTTAAGACGCCATGCAGGGACAAACACGACTATTGCACACGTTTTTGCAATAATTATGCACAATGCACTTTTTATAAAGGATGTGCATTTCCTGGTCCTCTTCTTGCAGCATGCTGCCCCAAAATTATTGCAACTCAAATGTTCACAATAATAGTTATTTCTAAACTTGCCTTATCTGTTTCCAATAAATATTAACCCATCCGGACCCGAATGAATATTATTGTCCATAATTTTAAGTTAAGATAGAGAAGTGTTATAAGTATGTCTCATAGTCCAATTTTTTTCTTCAAAATATATGTTCAATTTTGAGTTAAAAAAGCATTTATGTTAGGGAGAAAAACTACAGGGGGTAGGGTGGACCCCCTTCCCAACCTCCCTATCGTGATAGGGTTAAAAAGCAATGTGATTCATATTTTCAGCTGAAATATAACGTAAACCTTTACTTTCAATCATTTTTTAACCTTTAGAGGTGTATTTAAGCCTCTTTTTGTAAACCTTTGCTCACATAAAGTTAGATTGCAGGCATGAAAAGCTGCAGCAGTTTGTTTGACTGGGTTGACTTTAAAGTGTTGAACCGCCTTGGGTTTGTATTTTACCGAACTACCTTACTTAAACCTTTTTGTAGCCCGAGACATGATTATTTTCGAACTCTAAAGTTGACTGCCCTTGTTAAATATAAAAATTCACAAAAAAAAATTATTTTTCCAATTCTGATTTTCCCCCAAACAATTAAAATTAAAATTAAAAGTGAGAGAATCAATAGAATTTCATCTTTACTAAAAATTATAATATCAGCTTTACATTTACTGTTCCAATTCTATAATATCATTTCCGGTGTATAGCTGTACAAAACTACAGTTATAATTGACCCGTGTATTATTATATCAGTCCTGATCTAATTTAATTATTAGACATGTCAGGCTTGTTTAGCACTGGACAGGTGGAGCATTTAGCAAATATTAATCATTTTCTGTACTTCCTTGTTCCGTAACAGCGGACACAAATATTATTTTTTAAAAATCATAAATTATAAAAAAGATTAGATAAACAAATATTACAGTTTTGCAATTAAATGAATTATAGCTGTATTTATTTATCGAAATTTTCTCATCTTCAACCCCCCCCCTTTGGCCTGTTTGTTTGGATGTCTGATCATAACTCATGATCACAACTACTGATTTGCCTCAAATTTTGTTTGGAAAACTCGAGAGAACCACGGGAATGTTTTGAGATTCTTTGTTTAAATGCATTTATGGTGAAAAATAGCTAAAATCATAATTTACAACCAAGTGCGGGTAAACGGCAAGAGTAACTATGATTTCCCTGGGCAACGCTGTATTCTCTGGCTAGTTTTTTTAAAAAGCAACATTTGGAAAAAAAGGGGCCACATATAACAATCTCCACAGAAACAGAAACAGTTAACACATTTAAAAATTTAAACAAAACAAGTAAATAATCGTATTAAAAATAAATAAATGTTTTTGAGCAAAAGAAATTAACACTTTCACTTTACAAACTTCACAAATATTTTCTAACACTTATTTTGCAACCTGATGTTGTAAACCTTTGATATTTCATAGATTGAAATATTTCATTTTACACACATTTGTTTCTTTTATAAACAATTTTTTATTGAGTTTTTAAGTGGGCATCCCCCCCCCCCGGTAACTAGTATTCCCCCCCCGTTACTATAAAGATTGGTCTTTAAATAAACACTAAATTGTCAATATGTTCAGTGCCATTAATATTAGTGTGATGACAAGGCCTTGTATCATTTAGCTAGGAAAGTGATGTCTTTAACTCCATTCATGGTGTTAGGGTTGCCATCTATATACATAAATTTAGCTTGGGTGTCTGTTTGTCACGTGACCCCAGGGGAGGGTTATGAATGATCAAAGTTTTAAAATGTGTATTTAGAAGTTTTTTATTTTTGTAAAATTTTGAAAATGCGCGAAAAAATATTATGAAATCCGCAAACCTTTTTTGTTGTTTTTGTTTTATACTGTACACAGAGAAGATGATCACAGATAAAGCCACAATTAAAAGTTAAAATAGAAGAAATAGAAATAGAAGATTATAAGACAAGTAATAAATAGATAATTAAAAGGCGTTATGTCTAGGTTTTAAAATTAAACGTGAGTCTCTTTAAACAGAATGTTTTTATAATTAATATAAATTATTTTCTACTTATAATTAATATTAATGTTTAAAGTGACTGTGGAGTATGGCATATGTATTATACCGATTTGATTTTAAACACTATTTGAGTAATTAAGTGTTGAATTCTGGCGAATTTCTTCATTGTCTCTGAAATACCACTTTACAAATGAAGGGTAGCTTGTAATTATGTCTGCAATCCCTTTAAAGGACCCTGTATTTTGAAATACCCTGTTTATTGATAACCATTGGGTGAACAATAAGTTTAACAAGGTTGAATAATACCTAGTTCCTTAAACCCAACCTTGCATGCAGGCTTAAAGGGTGTCCCAAAAAAACTTTACAACAAGTGTTTTCTTTAAAACACAGTTCTCAAAAGCATGATATAAATTTAGCGTCATTCAACTTTTTTAAGACCCATCATTTTTTGTTCACCCTGTACTTAGATAGATAGATAGATATATAGATAGATAGATAGATAGATAGATATATAGATAGATAGATAGATAGATAGATATATAGATAGATAGATAGATAGATAGATAGATAGATAGATAGATAGATAGATAGATAGATAGATATATAGATAGACAGATAGATAGATAGATAGATAGATAGATAGATAGATCCGGTGATAAAATAATAGTTGTCGGATACTCGGGAGAACAAAATCTTATTCAAACAGTAATTTTCTTTCTAAAAAATAATCATTAAGTATTTTAAACACAAAAACAGTTGATGTGGTTAATTTGATTTACATTGATAATTTCGCTTAGAAGATATGTCAACAAATGCTGGAAATATTGGATCATATCTTTTCGATTGCCTAAACGTTTTTTAAGAACACATAGTCTATATATATATATATAAGAATAGCACTAAGTTTTTAAAACACTTCGCGCCCCCTTCTGTAAAACAAGTTTAAGCCAGAGGCAAGAGAGTTACAGAGATCGATTATCAGATAAAATATGCGATATTTTCCACAGCATGTTCTATTGTGTACAAGTACTGTACACGACCAATCAGCAAACATCTGTATTCAGGGATATTTCAGGATCCTTTGGATACGAAACACAAAATCTTCAAAAAAAGACTGAATTCATAAATGTTATGTTTCATGTTTAAAATTGTGAAAGGAGATAAGCAGTCTCCTTTTTATCTAACTTCAATTAGCAAATATTTTCGCGGATTTTCTCTTTTAATTGAACTTAAAAATGACAATAGTTCTAAAATATGTTTTTAAATAATTTCATATCAACATGATTAAATGCATATTTGTTTAAATGCTCTAAAAGCCGGCTTGTAAACAGCTGACTTTAATTCAATCGGTTATTAGTCCAATCGATATAGAAAATTGTATTTGTAATTGTTATCAAACCTAACTTTCATACAGTAGAAATATCCAAAAAGAGGATTATAGAAGAAAATAAAAAGTGTGTACATTGGATAATCAGCTTAAGCAATCGGGATTAAGGAAATCCCATTCTAAAGTTTTCAGCTCAGAGCTGGAAACTCTTAAATCGTGGATATCAAGATCAAGCAATCGGTATTTTGGGTTCCCAACTCTTTACATGTTATGGTGCGGTACATCCATTTTTGCAATAATTCAATACAAGGAAATTGCAGCCTTGCAAGTTGCAGGAAACACATGGTGCGTCTATTTTACGTTGCAAAATTTAAATATAATGCATTTTATCCCGCAAAATTGTATAAATAAACTGTTTAAGGCACGGAGTCGGATGTAGCTCAGCATACAGTATAAACCAAAAAACTATAGATTGAATTTAGACTGCTCATAATTTTCTCTTAATTTTGAAACGTCTTTTTTAATTGATCTATTTCTAAAACATTTCCAGAATAAAAATTTCAAACTCCATTGCGGAATAATATTGTTTAAAGTTAGAGCAACTTGTAAATAGCTTAGCTCGTTCTTTTTGCTCTTTTCAAACCCCCATCTCTCATTGTTAAAAGGAACAGAGTTTTTTTTCACAAAATCTGATTTTCCTATCCAAATATCTTAACAACACAATGTTGTTGACCTTTGATAATCAAACTATAAACTCCGTTAAATAAAATAATCAAAGTTTGAAACACCTAATGTTTACACTGTCAAGTTGCCAAGATATAAGAATCATTAGTTTTGATTTTGTGGCAAAAAATCAACTTTTTTCTGGTATTCAGTTTATAAAAACCCAAAAGGATGATTATATATTCAAAAATTATTTTTTTAAATTTTTATTTTTAGTTTGTTAGACGACCTTCGCCTGGGAGTAGGGGGACCAGACCATCACAGACTATCAGACAGACAGGGGGAGGCTATAGAGGGGGAGGAGGGGGTGGGGGAGGGTATAATGGAGGAGGAGGAGGAGGAGGAGGAGGAGGAGGAATAGGGGATGGGTTTAACAGTCTCATAAGTGGACTAGATCTCAATCTTTTAGGAAAATGAAACAATATTGTTTTTGTCAAGTTTTTCCATTTGTTTTTATTTCAATTAAAAATCTTCAGCGTAATTGATCAATAATGTGGAAGATGTTGTCGTTTTTCTAGGGTTCAAAGTGTTAAATTCTGATTATTTCTATATGTTTTCTTTAGGTAAAAATGCGCAAGAAGAGAAACCACAATCGAAAAAATCAGTTTTCGAAATTATAATTATTAATATCTAATCCATATTAAATCAGACAAAGCTTTTAAGGATACTTAGTAAATTGCGTGAACAATGTCATTTTTGCATGTAGGGTCACTTGAATTTACTCTTATAGTCCTTTTCAGTCTAAAAGTCTTAGATAGATAAAGTCATTGCATTAAGTCTGTCACAATTTTGTAAAGCATAATAGTGTACAATCATGTACAGGTGTACTGCACATTGTAAAAGGAGACAATTCATTTGGTGTACATACCCGTTTTGCGGTCTCTAGTCTGTATGTAATGTATACTGTAAAAAATTGTACAAGCTGGTCTAGCTGCATAACAATTTATACAGCACTCAAATGTTTCTATCATGCGTAATTCGTATTTTGGCTGATGGATTTATATTGTTTTATTTTGAAGATGCTAAAGCTATTGGACTAGGATTTGTCAGACCTCAATTAGGTATTTTCGTTTTTTTTTATTTTTTCCCCTACATTTTTTAGTTTTTGTTCCTCATTTCGTTAAATAGATAATTGTTTAAATCTTGTATTTAACGTACTTTATAAACCGCTGAAGATTGGAATATTTTAAACAATTTTTGATCTAACAAATCAGAGAAATTGATTACTTGCGACAAACTCTAATATTTCATTTATATTTATGCAAACCTTTAATATTTCTATCTTTGTTATTTTGATTTAACAAAAATCATAATGCCTTACGTTGCAAAGTTTTTTTTTTGTTCTGCTAACGAAAAGTATCGTTTTTAACAAACCTTGTGTCGTTGTTTTCCTGTTTTTTTTCTTTGTCACAAAATTTATTTATTTTTAGTTGATCAGCTTTGTGTACGTGCCACTAAACTACTTCTCCAAGAAGGCCAAACTAGGTATTTTTTTCTTCATTTTTTTAACGTTTTTTTGTAGTTATTTTTCTTTTTTATCATTTTTATTTAATCAAGTGCATATACTTAGTGCTAAATATGGCAAACAAAACTGCAAAGAATAAGAAATTGATAATTAATTAATACAATTTGTATTAGCCGAAATTTTAAACTTTAACGAATTGCTTTGATTTTCCTAAGCACAAAACAGTAACGGTCATTTTCTTATTTTGTCTATAAAAAGATACATTTTTACAAAGAATTTAACAAAATTATCAAAATCAAAATTTTCATTTTTGTGTGTTTAATTTAGTTAAGTAACTAGAAACCTAGAAATCAATGCTTTATATTATTCTCGTTTATGGTTTAGCATATAACTCCTTGTAAAAGCAGTAAATTCAGTCATGCTTCAAAACTGCAAATATTATGTTGTTTTAATGTACTTTTGTCCTTGCAACGTATGCACTTAATCACCAGCATAAAGCTGTTCTGTTTTCGCACCCTACAAAATACATATACAAATAATCATGGTTAAAAAGAAATAAGCAAAAATTTAAAAAATATTTTTTCTTCCAATAAATTATAAAAAAAAAACTTTATTGATTAACCCACGAAAATCTGTTTAATTAAAAAGAAAAAAAATTCTTGTAAGGAGCCATTTCAAAAATATATTTTTTTTCTAATATGATTTATAAACTTTTAAGTAAATTAGCAAGTAATTATTTATTTATGAAATATAACAAAAACATAAAAAATTAAGTGTTTCAGGAGAAAATATTTTAAAGCCTCCAAGACTAGAGGTTGTGGGAATATTTTCCCACAATTCTAAAAAAAATAAAAAATAGAAATCAAAGGAAGAGGAAAGGAAAGGCAAAGGAAAGTTACAAATTTATTGTATACAGAATATTTAATATAAACTGGTGGTGGATTGTTAGTATTTTTCGACGATGACCTAATTAAAGTTGATTTATTTGTAATGTGGAAAAAAAATAAAATAGGCTTTATGGGTTGTAAAAAAAGATATAGGTTCGACGCAAAACGGGCATTTTTAAGCATCGATTCGCGCCGATTTAAGACATCCTTTAAATTTGATTATATCTTTTATTGTCTTATAGAATTTATCAGAATTAAATACTTTTAAACCTCTACAAACGACAATATTTTCCATATTTTTGATCAGATAACGGTGTCAAGGGTACCGTTGTGAATCGGGCATTGTCGCTTGAAATTATATTCGCTAACTCCCTCAAAGGCTAATCTACCAAATAAGAATTAAATATTAATTATAATCATTTTCAGGATAAATTCCGAAATTGGAACTCTCACAACCAATCTGACTAGTATAGTTGATAAAAGGTACTAAATCATAATAATGCTAAATCATCTGTTTTTAATAATATACTGTTTTCGATGTAACATACTTTGTCTTTAATTGTAGTGTCACACTTTGATATTTTTAATTGGCTTTTCAAATTCACAAATATGTTTTACAAACCCTACCATAGCGCATATCATTTGAAAATCCGGAAACCTTCGCGCTACTAACCCCATTTTTAATAATTCTGTAGTGATTGTGATTAAAATTTAAAACCTACAATTTTTATATTGAAATCTTTTAATTCATTTGAGAATATATACATTCTTTTACGACAATTTTTTAGCTAAAAATGGAAAATAAAGGAGCTACGAGGCCGCTAAGTCTTAAAAGTAATTAATAAGATTATTGTGTAAAGTGAATTTTTTTCAGATGTAGTGAATTAGTTGATGAGGGTGAAACACTTTGCGGTAATTTAATTGGTCAAATCCTTACAAGATATGATGCAATCACAGCAGAAGCACTTAAAGAGGTAAACATAAACATAAACATAAACATAAACATAAACATAAACATAAACATAAACATAAACATAAACATAATCATAAACATAAACATAAACATAAACATAAACATAAACATAAACATAAACATAAACATAAACATAAACATAAACATAAAAATAAACATAAACATAAACATAAACACAAACATAAACATAAACATAAACATAAACATAAACATAAAAATAAACATAAACATAAAAATAAACATAAATATAAACATAAACATAAACATAAACATAAACATAAACATAAACATAAACATAAACATAAACATAAACATAAACATAAACATAAACATAAACATAAACATAAACATAAACATAAACATAAACATAAACATAAACATAAACAGAAACAGAAACAGAAACAAAACAAAAACTTCCTGTCACCCCTAGCTATCTATCATATTTCTTATTATATAGAGGATCCATTGTAACCTGTAGAAGAGACACAATGTCCCCGTATATACTCCTCTCTCGACCTACAAGCTTCAGATCTGATTGCATAGACACGAATACAATCATTAAACCCTGTTATAGAACCCTACATTTATACCCGGGCCCTGTCATAGAATCCTATATTCATACCCCTTGTAATACCCCTTATATTCTACCCCTATCATAGAATCCTACATTCATACCCCTTGTAATACCCCCTTATATTCATACCCCCTGTCATAGATCCTACATTCATACCCCTTGTAATACCCCCTTATATTCATACCCCCTGTCATAGAATCCTTCATTCATACCCCTTGTATTACAACCTTATATTCATACCCCTTCATAGAATCCAACATCCCCCTTCGGTTTTGGAACCCTATATTCTCCCCCTTTCGACAGTAGGATTTGCAACTTCATCTCCGTACACAAACACACTCTTTTATCATTTCTTTTCACAATAAAATGATTTGTCATGTGAGGATTATTTTTCTACACGTTTAAACACCTTCTAGCGAAATCCTAACAAATAAATAACCAAATTATAACTTTACATTCTTAGATGTATGGAGACAGGTTTTAAATTAACCCAGAGCCCAAAACTTAAGACAGGGTACACGGAAAGCCGTAGTTCATTTGAATTTCCTAACCAGGTCACCCTTTTCGGTCCCAGTTTGTACTGTTCCTAGCTCCATTAACAGTTTAGCCGGTGCAACAAGGATGACGCGGTCAGACTTTATGCTTCATATAGGTTGAATTTACTTTTACTAAAGGGCCAGAGGTGCGTGGGTAACGTTCTGAAAACCAGTTTTAGAACCCGGGTTTCACAAATGGGGTTAGGCAGTTTTGTGAATATCAATATTTTTGTGATGAAATATTATTTTATTCAGTTTGTTTATATTCTTAATTTTTTTCGAATATCTCAAATCTAAATCTACACAAATGTTAAGAAACTCGGGAGTTTTGTCCAACGATACTCTTTTAAATTTCGGGCTCAGGGTAGGCAAAAAGAGAAATAATTTACTACAAAAATGTATTCTGGAATACACTATAAACTCGGTTTCAGTTGTTTAAAAACTGGTTTAGCGATCTGTTTACATTCGATTTAGTTAGGCTTATGTCGAAACATTAATTTACTGCAGTTTTGAAATGTAACAGGATGAGATGGTTTTTGATAAATATTTCAAAATAATGATTAATGTGTAACTAAATAACTTTGAACTGAGGCTAAGGCTTGAATACTGGATTCAATTTTATGTTTCGTTTCAAATCGAGTTTCGGTTGCGTTTGTTTACAAACAACCATTATACAAATGTACAGCCAACGAAAATGAGTTCAATGTGAATTAAAGAAATTGTAAGTACAAAATTCTCTTATGGCCTTACATTAGCTTGATAATAACTGCGACGTTATGGGACAGCGCAGAAACTGGGTTTCGTTGTAAATAAACAACAATTAGTAAACAGTGATATTACAGGAACTTTCAATTGTTTCAAATGCTTGTTATCTTTGTTATTGTTTTTATTAAACTATTTCCTGAGCCCGTTCTCTCTATAGATAGTAGTTCACGTACTTTAGTAGTTCACGTACTTTGGGGGACGATATGTTGGCCGCTAGACGTATCGGGCCTGATTGATAGATAATTTCTCCGTACACTTGACAACCAATTTAGGAGACGACAAGTAGTCGACCAAAGTAGTTTATGGAAGGAACGGCCTCTTGACTATTCTATAACGTCAAAAGGTTAAATTGTAAAGACGACCCATATTTACCACTCCCTTGTATTAAAAAAAACAATATTTACATTATTAGTTATTTTAGACTTGTTAGGTATTATAAATTCAGCTGGTGATATGATTTAATGATAGTGTACGTTATGTACATGAAATCTGTAGTTTTTTAATTACAAACGGTAAAGTTGTACAACACTTTTTATTTAAGCACATACAACGAAAGTGTACATTAAAAGAAATTATGTACAGGTGGATAAACAGTGCGATGCTGCGCAAGAAATGGTTGTTGAGCAAACTAGAAACGGAGCTAACGAAACCTATCAGGTACAACTCCACTGATTGGTTAATCGATTGGTTAATTGATTGGTTGACTGATTAGTCGATTGATTGGTTGATTGATTAGTTGGCTGATTAGTTGATTGATTAGATGACTGATTATTTGATTGATTGGTGGATTGATTAGTTAACTGATTAGTTGATTGATTGGTCGATTGATTGGTTGACTGATTGGTTGATTGATTGGTTGATTGATTAGTTGATTGATTAGTTTATTGATAAGTTGATTGATTGGTTGATTGATTGGTTGATTGATTTTTTGATTGATTGAGTGATTGATTGGTTGATTGATTAGTTAATTTATTGTCGTTGTTTATCGCTGATAAATTGAATAATTCATTTAACACTTAATTAATTGGATTTTTGATTGTTTAGTGGTTTCTTTGATAAATTGGTTTATTGACAAGAAAAGGCGCATTTTTGTTAATGAGAAATGGTAATGATAGTTTGGTATAAAAATGGTAATGACAATGTGGTAACGACAATTTGGTAATGTCAATATTGTGTATGTACAATTATACGAACTCTATCTCTAGAAAGAGTAAAATATACCAACTATATCTCTAGAAAGAGTAAAATATACCAACTATATCTCTAGAAAGAGTAAAATATACGAACTCTATGTCTAGAAAGAGTAAAATATACCAACTATATCTCTAGAAAGAGTAAAATATACGAACTGAAAATTTCGTTATTTTGTAAAAATGCCAATGAGGCCGGTTTTTTTAATGACCATAAAAATAAAACGTTCCCAAAAATCCCCCCATCCTTTCTTTTTTGTTTGGTTTTGGATTGACTTCAATATTTTTTTGGTTGGCTGGGTGATATCAATGATTCATTGATTGATTTTTTTAATCTCGTTAGAAAACACAATTTTATTGTTTTTGCATTTTCTGATTTACTCACTGTTAAGCATGACATTTTTCAAATCGCTTTTTAACAAGTTTCCTTTTTATGTAATGATACTTCTCTTTCTTTTGCTTAAAAAATATATTTTAAATTTCCCCAGTTGCTACGTGAAATGGGGGAGCAGTTGGCAGAGGAAACATATAAAAGGTAAACACAGTTTTTATAAAATTTAGTTTTTGGATTCAGAGAAGTTTTTGTCATTACTTTTTTATTTCTGATCCATGGAAATCTAGATTTTTGCTATAACCTTAAAGATTTCTTTTCAGCTTTATAACATTGGACAAAGTTCTTTATCTAACGGAACTTTCATTGTAATTTCAAGAGAGTTTTTATTTTAAGAAAGAAATTACCGATTTACAACGGCACCCTTTAAACCTCATTCTGATCCAGCTTAAAAACTAATTAATTCTGATATTTCTGAGAAATACCTAAGTAGAGAAAACCCAATTAAAAATAATGAACTTTTAAAAGGTTGAACATATATCTCTCACTTATTCTTAAACAGACAAAGCGTTAAAGGGTATTGTTTCAATCGGAAAGAGCACGCTATGCTTAAAAAGTCGCTTGAAATTATGACATACAGTCCCTTTAATATTTATCAATCATAAGATGTTGCTAGCCAATTCCTTGCAATTTCTTATCTTCTTTTAAAATTATAGATTTGTGATTTTCTAGAACTGTAGCGGAGATGACAAATGTTGGGGAAAAGCAGTTTCAGGTAGTCATATTATTAGTCAGAATGAAGTTATTTTTTTTTTAATTTAAAGTAATTGTTTCCGTGGTTTATTTAACTCAAGTACAAAACTGAAAAATATCGTGTTTTCTTTGATACTATTATGGTCATGTAATATAAAAGTGGAATGGTAATGAGTTTTAACCACAAACTCTGATATTATTATCCCAATATCTTTGCAACCTGATGGTGTAAACCTTTTATATTTCAAACTTAGATTATTTGATTTAACAGAATTCATAGTTTGAAATATCTAAGGTACAGGGTGTCCCACATCAAATTAGACCGCGTCAATGGGTCTAAATTACAATTTGGGGGACAAATAAGAAAATTTAAGAAGAATGAATCATTTTGAAAAATTTAATAAGGCTAATAGAAAATTTTTTTTGCAGAAAATGCTAGATTTGTTTAGTATAATGTGTGTATTTAGGTGTTAAAGATTGGAGATAATCTAATATGATATGGGACGCTCTGTATACGACATTGTGTTGCAAAGACATTGGGATTAGAAAATCAGAGATTGATGGCAAAAACTCAATTCCTTTAGTTGCAAAACTGTAATTGATGCTTTTACATTTCTCTGATTTAAAATTTAATTTGTATTGAATGAAATTAGCATCATTATGATTTGTCAAACTGTGCGTTTTGTAATATTCAAATATTCCGGTACTCTGAGATGTTAAAGAAGAGAAACAATATGGCGGCTGGGAAAATCCGCAGAAATAAAAATCATCTGTTGCAGGCTCGACAATGTACAGCTGATTTAATAACCATGACTTAAGCCTTCATCAAGGTTAATTTCAACATTACTTGCATCGAATCGTATTTACTGCAAGATTAAGAATTTTGTTCATGTCATTTTCCTTCTGAATAGTTGTATGCATTCTTTTTTTCTTTTAATTAATCTTTTATTTATTCGTTCGTGCTAACCACGGAATAATTAAACAGTTTCCAAAAGTAAAACCATTTCATGTTTTTATTCTGGGACATTGAAAATTAATTATAAATTAAGAATTTACTCTCACAAAAATTAAAACAATTGTATCAATTATTGATAAACCACCATAGTTTCAGTAGAAGTAAATATTTCCATTTACTGATAGCGCCGATTGAAAGATTTATAACTCTAATTGGATATTGAGATAGATAGAAAGATAGATGTTACCGCCATACTATTTCTATTGGCTCAGAATAAACAACACACACATGACTGAACCCTGATTGGATCAGGCGCTAATGGACTCGGCATTTAGGCTGGACCCAAGGATTTCATGCGACGAACAAAGAACCCTTTAATTCTAACAATTAAAAGGAAGTGGCTATAGACATATTTATATAGTCATAAACCTGAGCTGAAAACTTTAGTATGGTGGATATCGAAATCAATGCTTGACCTCCGCTTTTTTCTAATCTTCAGATTAAATAATGCTTGTTCTCCTCTTGTTATTAATCTCCAGATTAATTAACTGATGGGGATTAAGGATATCCCATTCTAAAGTTTTCAGCTCTGTACATTTATGGAGCCTTTCTTTTCAGTTTTAATTTTTAGGAAATAATTGGCGAGAGTCCTTTAACAACAGTTTTAATGTTCAAAGTCGTTTAGAAGTTGTATATAAGTTGTATATAAGTTGTATATAAGTTGTATATGTTTATAGGACCTGTAAGTGTAATTTCAAGTGGTTCACCATGCAAAAAAATGGCAATGTCCGATTCACATTGGTACCCTTAACAAGTTTGTCTGATCAAGTATTAAATATATAAAAATTAAAAACTTCAACATTTTAATCAGATTAATGTTTCAAGGGTACCGTTGTGAATCGGGCATTGCCATTTTAGCATTCATAGGATCAATTGAAATTACCTTAACAGCCCCTTGAATATATATCCAGTTCTTTCTAAAAGGTTGAATATGTTTGCAAATGATTGTGTTGTCCTTGTATCCTTCTTATTCTTGTCTGAGAGACCTAGGTCTGAGTGTCTGAAGCCTATAGACCTAAATTATTACCTTTATTACCCTACGGTCAGGCTTATCTATTGTACATACAGGGTGTCCCACGAAACATGACATTTGGTGAATAGTTTTAAATATCTTAACATACAGAGACCGAGTTTAAAGAATTTGAGCCGCGGCTAAAATTTGCGACTCGGCTCAAAAATAGTTGGTTCAACTTAAAATTGTAATCAATGTTTCAAGATGGAAACCGGACTTGGCACTTTGCAGTCATATTATAGTGAAATTGATTTCAAAGAAAGCTATGTTCGAGTAAAATATTGTATACAATTTATGGAAGAATGCAATCAAAACTATTCACCAATTGTCATGTTTTGTGGGACACCTTGTAGTTTATACTTGGGAATTCTTTATAAATTCAATTTTTATACGGTCATCCTTATATATTGTACATAGTTTATACAGGGTGTTTCTTTATAAATCTGATTTTTATATCCTTCATATTAAATAAACCAAAAAATCTACATTCTACACTAAAAGTGGGTGTAAGGTGAAAGAGAGTAGAATTATTACCTTTATCACCCTGTACACCCTGTACACCCTGTACAATCAGACTTATATATTGTACAATGTACATAGTTTATACAGGGTGTTTCTTTATAAATTTTATTTTTATATCCTTTAAATAAAATAAGCCAAAGAATCTACATTTTACACTAAAAGTGGGTGTAAGGTAATAGAGAGGGTGGTTAATTATTAGCTTTATCACCCTATAATATCATCCTTGTACATAGTCTATACTTGGTGTTTCTTTATAAATTTAATTTTCATAAAACCAACCTACACATAAAACTGTTAAATAGTATGATTGACTGGCATGTCTGATTCACAACTTTTATGATCAAATATGAATGAGATATCCATGTTTTAGGTTTTGAAAATTGATATTTTCATTCATGGTTTCTTTGCAGAGGACTTGCTCTTTCTTGCTTCAGGAAGAACTGAGAAAGCGTGAGATTTAAACACATTTTCAGTTGGAAAAACGACAATATCTTCCACATTATTGGTTAGATAAAGGATTACAGGATACCATTGTAAATCGGGCATGCACAATGAAGGTTCACTTTTAGAAACCAAAACTTAAATATAATAGTTGTTTTCATTGTATTAATATAAATGCCGACCAATGTATTCGACAGCTGTTTATTTATGTTGTTCAGGATATGATAGAGGAGGGCAGGAAGATGGCAGAGAAGGCACTAAAGGATGGAATTGAAAACGGAGAAATGATTGCTAATCGAACCTTAGCGGAGATGGTGGAGGTCTCTTTTTATATTATTCAACACTTTTTACTTTTATTTTATTTTTCTAGCTGAAGTGTCCCTCGCTGTCTGTGAATTTAAAAAAAAAACTTTTTTTTAAATTAAATTTTAAATAAATTTATTTTGATAATAAAGTCCAACTTTTTGAGACTATGCTACCTCTACGTTACCCATGAATAATCTCGAAAAAAATTCTGCCAATTTGGTTCAGCTGTTCGGCCAGCTATAAGATAACATATATATAAATATATATATATGAGAACGAAGAGCTTTATTATATATATTATTATTATATTATTTATTATATCCCTAACAAATTACTCTTTTTTTATACCTTTATACGGTTTTTGGGAACTTGGAAAATTGTGAGAAAAAAATCTATGAGCATTTATGAGTTTTGGCATAACACAAAAATATATGGCCACACTGTTTTATTATTTATTAGTTTCAACTAAATGCCTTAAAATTCTTTTATCGTTTTTATTAAAAAAAGAAGTTTAATTCTTATGTTTTCGTAAGTTTGGAGAATAATTCAAATCAGGAAAATATGAATCCTATTGTACAGGGTGTCCCACGAAACATGACAGTTGGTGAATAGTTTAGAATGTCTTCTACCATAATGTGTTTGTTTAATACCAAAGGCAATAATAAGAATATTATACGGAAGTCATTTAAAAGTAAAATATTTTTAAGCAAAAGATTTTTTTAATATAAACTGCAACTTTTATATCTTATAGTATATATGAAGACGACATTCAATACTACTTATCAACTGTCATGTTTCGTGGGACACCCTGTAGCAACGTTGGCAAACTAATATTTATATACTTACTGAATTATATCGAGAAAAATGTTAAACATAGGAATAACTTTATATTTTTAATACAGTGTGTCCCCCGGAACATGGCAGTTGGTGAATAGTTTAAAATTTCTTCTTAAATATGTTAACGTTAGAAAAAGAAATTTAATCTAAACTATAAATTTGCACGTGCTTTAAATCGGCGAATGTATCTAGGCGGGTAGGGCGCAGGCTGAGATTGAGTTTGAAAAGAGAACGGCGGAGGGGCGGATAGAGGCGGAGAAAATGTTTCAGGCGAGAGTAGAGAAGGAAACCGCTATTGCAGAGGAGTTGTTTCAAAAGGTACATCTCAACAATTTATATTTTAAAGGGACTGTACGCGTAGTTTCAAGTATATTAAATGGACTGTACGCTTCGTTTCAAGTATATTAAAGGGACTGGACGTGTAGTTTCAAGTATATTAAAGGGACTGTACACGTAGTTTCAAGTTTATTAATGGGACTGTACGCGTAGTTTCAAGTATATTAAAGGGACTGTACGCGTAGTTTCAAGTATATTAAAGGGACTGTACGCGTAGTTTCAAGTATATTAATGGGACTTTACGCGTAGTTTCAAGTATATTAATGGGACTGTACGCGTAGTTTCAAGTATATTAAAGGGACTGTACGCGTAGTTTCAAGTATATTAATGGGACTGTACGTGTAATTTCAAGTATATTAAAGGGACTGTACGCGTAGTTTCAAGTATATTAATGGGACTGTACGCGTAGTTTCAAGTATATTAAAAGGACTGTACGCGTAGTTTCTAGTATATTAAAGGGACTGTACGCGTAGTTTCAAGTATATTAAAGGGACTGTACGCGTAGTTTCAAGTATATTAATGGGACTGTACGCGTAGGTTCAAGTTTATTAAAGAGACTGTACGCGTAGTTTCAAGTATATTAAAGGGACTGTACGCATAGTTTCAAGTATATTAAAGGGACTGTACACGGAGTTTCAAGTATATTAATGGGACTGTACGCGTAGTTTCAAGTATATTAAAGGGACTGTACGCGTAGTTTCGAGTATATTAAAAGGACTGTACGCGTAGTTTCAAGTTTATTAATGGGACTGTACGCGTAGTTTAGATTGGCTGTTAACTGAAAATCAATGAAAACAATTTTTAAAATGTTGTTATATATCAGATTCAGAAGTCTTGCACTGGCGAAATTCTACTATTCAGGGTTTCCAGCAAAATTGGGAAAATCTTTTCGCGAAAAATAAATTTTGCGACAAAACATTAAAATTTCGGATTTTTTTGCGAAACAGATGAATGCGAAAAAAGTTAAAATTTTCGACATTTTTTCTAAACTATCGCTTATTTTTGTATACAAAAATCTGCCTTTTTTTCGCTTTCTTTCGCATAATCTATATTTGCAAAAAAATGCGAAATGCGAATTTCGCTGGTAACCCAAATACAATGTGATTGTTTATCAGACTGACATGAAAAAGATGATGAACCCACTTTTTTGTAAAATGAATTGTATCCTCTGTATTTATAATATATATTGTTTTCAGCAACTTAATCAGGGACTGGAGTTGGCTCAGGAAATGTTTGACGATGCTGTTGCTAAGGTGGGATTAACATTTTACCACATTTTGACTAACATTACCGACCTGCATGAGGGACGTTAAGTTACTTAAAGTCCCTTGGGATAAACATGTTAAATAACAGCCCGCTTTGCGAAGTTTTCGTGAAAAAATTTCAATAAATTTTATCTCAAAAAACCATAACATTTTCGGGAAATTAAAAATTTTGCTTAACCGCGGGTTCCCTCGACCAATTTTGTCTACAAAACGTTCCTCGCTGTGCTCTGAATGTTTTGTGGGCTTGAGAATATTCCTTTAACTTCTCTGTAAAGGAGTTGTAAATAATTAAAGTTTTTTGCGGTGGGAAAATGGCTCAAATACCGAGTTACCCACAAAGAATGAGACTGTAAAGACGATCGAAAGCTCTTAAATCTGACGATCTCAAGGTTAAATTCAGTATTCTGCTGAAGAGACAGTAGAGTTATGTAATTAGGGTTTTCAAATTTTCGTTCAATCTCTTTCGCGAAAATTTCGTTCAGTCCACGAAAATGTGAACGAAAACGAAAATGTTCGTTAAAAAGTTTCGCGAAATTTGTTCGAAATTTTCCCGGAATTTGCAAAATTCGTTCGAAATGTTCGACCTTTCCTGCAAAATCTTATTTTATTCGCAAAAATACAATCTTTTTGGTGTGAAATGGAAAATTTACATTTTTTATCGAACGAAAATGAGGTCGGAAATTCCGTCAAAAATACATCGAAATTCGCAAAAATTTTGAACGAAAATGAACGAATTTCTTTCGTTCATTTTCGCAAATTTCGTTCAACGAAAATCTAATGGCTCATTTAATGATTTGACAAAGAAAAAAATTAAGTTTACAGTTGCAGGGAATGTGAATACACGAAATATAAATATAAATTCTGTACAGTCGTCTCTGTGTGGGTAACCCTGTATATCAAATTAGACTTTTTTTGCAAGAGTCACTTTGACTTTAAGTCATGTTGTAATTTGTAGTACATTTATGATAAACTTTTCCAGCCAGTAAGGTAAAGGATGTCCAGGCAGTAAGGCAGTAAGGTAAAGGATGTCCCAAAAAAAGGGATATCTTCCGGAAATGACCATCTCCCATTTGGCTGAAAAAAATGATCACTTGAAAAATAAAAGTTTGAATTTTTAGCAATTTTTAAATCAACGTTTTACCTAAATCTTTTTTTAATGTGAAATTTTTTTTGACAGTCCCTGGATCGCTGGGTCTTTCCCAGACAACCTTAGGACTTCATGGGACTGTCCCAGAAGCCTGGAAAGTTCTTGGACTTTCGGACTATCCCAGAAGCCATGGACAGTCCCAATTTTAAGATTTTTGACGCTTGCTGTCGCCCCTCCAAAAAATTGTCCCTTTTGCTCTGAAATTACACCATACTCAAAGTAAGGCCAAAAAAAGACACAAAAATGGTAATTTTTCTTCACCACTAATGTTGAATGTTTCAGGGAAAAGTTGATGGTGAGAGAATGTGCACTGATATGCTTGTTGTGGCCTGTAAAAACCCAACCCCTGATACATCATCTGATGATTTTTGTCTCGATTTCTGCTTTTTCTCAAACGCCTGTGGAGCAAAGAGGCAGGGGAAAACTATGGACATTGCAACAGAGATGAAATTGAAGTTAGAGAAGGGGAAGAAGGTTGGAAATTTCTCTTTAATCACGGGAAATACGGAGAAAGATTTCGAAGAACTTATTAACGGGACAGAAGATAGGGAAGGGAAAGAAAAGGATGAAGAAAAACGTGATGAAGAAGTGAATGATAAGAGAAAAGATGTTGAAGAAAAAAGTGAAAAAGACGAAAATGATGAAGACGAAAGTGAAGAAAACATTAATAAAGACGAAGCAAACGAAGAAGAAATTAAGGAAGAGGACAAGGATGAAGAAGAAAGTGACGAACACGATGACGCTGAAGATGTAGAAATTATTAAACCTCGAGCTAGGAAACCAAAAACAAACGTAAGCAAGAATTTAGAAAATGACGAAACTGAAGAAAACGCGCGAAAAAATGCAAATCCCGGTAAAAACGTTAAAACAATTGAAAAGTTAAAGAAAGATGGAAATATAGACAAAGGAAGAAGAAGAAAAGGAAGTGAAGAGAAAGAGGAGGAGTCAGGAGAAGAAGTTATTTCATATTCAAGTGAAGAATTAGATTTAGATGAAATTATTAAAAAACTGAAAAATCAGTTAAATGTTGAAAAACAAAGACAAGGACGAGTTTCCAGTTAAAAAATGTTCATCTCGTGAAACGGCCATTTTTTCAGATCTTGTAGCTATTAAGTCATTTTATTGTACAGGGTAGGTTCTGCCCATTACACTGCCTGAAATGCCCTTAATCTAGCCAAAATTTCTTACAGTGTATTTTCTGTCAAAGTCTAATTTTGCATTACCTTTTGTTATATATTATTTAGACTAGCCAAACAATAGGATTAAAGCCATTAAAGCCATTAAATAGATAGTTTTCGGATTTCTATTTTCTTTTTCTCAATTTTATGAGTAAAAGCCGATTTTCCTTTAGTTTGGAAAACATTGCAAAAACGAATATTGGCGATTTATTGCCAAACTGAATCTGGATGGCACTTTTATAATTTCTTTAGTAAACTTTTATTTACTTTAAAAAGAGCAAATCTTCAAGAACTCTAGAAAATTTTAAATGGTTTTTAGAGTTTTTGTTTCAATTCACTTTTATTTTATAATTTAGACTAAAAAACTGCTTTGCACTTTTTGGGCCTGACTCTTTGAGATTACAATTAAATTTCAAAAACGCATTACAGAAACATCGGATATTTTCAGTTTCATAAATGTCTTAATGATCTAAATTTATTTAGATAAACATGAATTCTTTACTTAAAATCCGACTTTAGCCAAATGTAGAGACTTACGACCTTAAAAACCATGTTTTCTGGAGATTATAATGCAATTTATAATACAATTTATTCCTTATACAGGATTACCCATAAAGAATGAGACTTCAGAGACGATTGGATGGAATCGATTTAGAATTTTTTCTTAAATTTATGGTCCTCTACATGTTTTCTTTATGTAAACCATATTTATACCATCTCATTCTTTGTAAGTCACCTTGTATTAGTGATGAATAAATTAAGTACAGTTTAACACAAAACTTTGGAAACAATGAAAGAAATTTAAGAATGTCGTCTTGACCATTTTCCAATTGGTTGTATACTATTCATCTCATTAATTGTAAAAGTAAAGGAATAGCTATAAAATATGCAGGGGAATAGTTTTAATAATATCCATATAATTATTCAGTTTAAAGAAAACTAAATATCTGTAGCATTAAGTTCTCAGTGGGTAAAAAAAAAAACATTTAATAAACTGCATGTTTCGATGTCTCCAAAGTTCAGTGTTAAACTATATCTGTTAAATGTTTAATCCCGAGGCCGAATTTAAACAATTTGAGCCGCGGTTTAAATTTAAACTGCGGATAAAATTTTGTTGTTTTCACTTAAATTTGTATTAATTTTTTTAAGATTAAAGCCGGCGCTCAATTGAACCGGTTTTTGGGGGATTTGAGACGCGGCTTAAATTCATTAAATTCGGACACTGGATGATTTATTTGCCTTTTCAACATTTTGAGCTGAATATTTTTTTTTCCTGTGTGCCATGTCATAGTTTTCCAGTCTTATTTAAATTATATTAATTTATTTAATTAATTAATTTATTCTATTTATTTATCGTATGATTATTGGTCAGATTTGATCAGTGTTTCTTTTGATTCCTGTACTTTGTTTCCTTTCTTCAATGTTTTCATTCTTTGTTTCGCGTTATTAATGTTATTTTTTTTATGTTTGCATTGTTTTTATATGTTTTTCCTTCAGTAAAAAAATACAAATCATCAGAATGAAGTTTTTAGTTTTGTTTAGCTATAGTTTAATATCAGTTAAAGTTTTAACTTTGTCTCAATTTCGATCTGGAATTGCACCCGCTGATTTTAGATATATTTTTTTTTTGCTTCTCGTCAGCTGTTATCAAAACAAGCAAGACCTATTAGCTGGGCTATATTCAGGTTGAAATTGAGAACCAATTATCAAAATCGTCAAACAATTCAAGTCAACATGGTATATATATTTGGCAGACGTAGTACATTTGAATTTCCGAGCCGGGTCAACCTTTACGGTCCCAGTTTGTTCTGTATCGCCCAGACAACAAGGTTGACGCGGTAAGACTTTAGTTGAATTTACTTTTACTAAAGGGTCAGAGGTGCGTGTGAAGGGAGGATCAAAAGAGCTGGCGGGTGAGTAAAAGCTATCCAGTGTCTTTAAAAAACATATTTTCATATTTGAAACACAGGAAAGTGGCATTTGGCCTTTATTATAGACTGTATTCGAATGGACATGAAGTGAGTTAAGTTTTGAGGTCTTTATGAGGATCCTCGTAACATGTAGTTAAGAGGTTTATTTTCAGAGACTTGATTTTGTGTTTGACGTCCTCAAGCTTTTCATCGAGACTGTCCCACAGCTTAGACTAGAAGCCTTCGCGTTCCTTGGTTAGTGTGAAGACGACCTCCGTCCTGCTAAAAGCTAAACTGTGAAATGTCTGGAATAAGTTCAAGGTTAATTTTGGAACCTCTGAATGCACTTTTTTTCAATATTTTAAAAACCCTATTCTTCAGAATGTTAGTGCACTGTAATATTCCTGGTCAATATTGCTTTTATGAGCGAATATTTAGAGGTCTGGTAGGTGAATGCACAGTAATATTCCTGGTCAATATTGCTATGATCGACTATGTGGAGGTCTGGTAGGTGAGTTCACAGTAATATTCCTGGTCAATATTGCTTTCATGAGCGACTATTTGGAGGTCTGGTAGGTGAGTGCACAGTAATATTCCTGGTCAATATTGCTTTTATGAGCGACTATGTGGAGGTCTGGTAGATCAGATCATGCCTCACAAACCCTTTCTAAGGAACTGGAACACCAAATAACATCATTTTTGGGGTTGGGATGATGGAACAGCTTAGAAGAAGTGTCAAAAGAAGAAAAAGTGTCTTACAGTTGAGCTTTTCTAAATCCAACGTCCTCCGTCTAGATCCTTGCCAACATCCTTCCGCCTTTTTTCTGACCTCAAACATCCCAAAAACACTTCCTTGGACCTCAGAAGATTCAAGAGACGTGGATATATAAGACATATTTTTTTTAATCCAGTGTCCGAATTCAATGAATTTGAGCCGCGTCTCAAATTTGAGCTGCGGTTCAAATTCTTTGAATTTGTACTTTTTCACTCATAAACTTTGTAATTTGGTAAACAAGGAAGAAAAGTAAGTTTAATTTTAATTTATTAAAATTAGTAAGTTTATCGTTTTTACATTTTAAATAGGGTCCTGAATAGTTTTTACATTTTATATAGGGTCGTTAATCGTTTTTAAATTTCATATAGGGTCATTAATCGTTTTTACATTTAATATAGGGTCCTGAATAGTTTTTACATTTTATAAAGGGTCGTTAATCGTTTTTAAATTTCATATAGGGTAATTAATCGTTTTTACATTTTATAAAGGGTCGTTAATTGTTTTTAAAACGATCGAAACTGAATAGTTTTTACATTTTATAAAAGGTCTTTAATCGTTTTTACATTTTATAAGGGGTCGTTAATCATTTTTAAATTTCATATGGGGTCGTTAATCGTTTTTAAAACGATCGAAAAATCTATCCTTAAAAGCGAGGATGTATTGAATATAATATTAATTACATAGATATTTTCTAGTATGGAGAGATACCAGATATAGTATACCTGCTTACCTTTCTTTACTCCAGTATACGGCATACCAATACAATACAAAACATTGTTTATACTAAATCATACAAACTAAAAATTGAGTTTTTGCCACTAACTCAGATTTTCAAATACATGTATTTTTAACCTGATTGTGTACAACTTTGATATTTCAATCTAAGATTACGACATCGACACAATCCGAGTTTGTCACAAAAATTCAATTTCTTTGCCATGGCCGATGAGTCATAATTTTTCTACGTTTGAACCTGTTTTACTCCATTAAATTCTTTTTTTTATAACATTTTGTGTCTTTATTTATCGGGTTTTGATTTTTATTTGATTTAAATCATAATTTCTCCTGTAACTTTATATTAAAATGGATTTACTTGAACCCCTTAGAGGCCCTAAAATAATTCACGTTAAACTATTACGTCGTGAAATACACCTGAGACTGAAATCTGATAAAGTCATAATTAAAAAAATTTGAATTTCACAATATGTCTCCCGACTCCCGAGGACTAATTTAATAAATTTAAGCCGCGTCTAAAATCCGTCAAAAACCGGTTTTAATTGAGGGGGCAGCTTAAATCTTGAAACATTGAATACGATTTGAAGTGGAACCAATCACATTTGAGCCGCGGCTCAAATTCTTTAAATTTGGCCTCAGATAAATTTTTTGTTCCCAAAATCAAAACTAGAAGAGATAAAAGGCCACAAAGTCCTTCCAGTAATGTAGCTTAAAATTCAAAACCTGAATTTTTTGTCCATAACGGTAATTATTTACTTTTCAGAATCAAACACAAGAGAATCAAAAATGGATCCAGATACAATTATAAAGGTAATTTCGTGTTGAACTTCAAATTTTAACTTGCTTTAAACATATTAAGCATTTTTCATTATCTTATCTCTTCAATTGAACGTTTTTTTGTCTATAATATTTTTTCTATTTTTATGCTTTATTTAGTTATATTTAGTTATATTTCATGTAATCAAAACATTTAAGAATAACTGTATACACTTGACGTAATCACTTGTGACCATAGCAAGTAATTTACGATTCACAACGGTACCCTTTAATTCTTTATGTACAGGTTTACCCACACAGGATAAGACTTTAATCCTTTATGTACAGATTTACCCACACAGGAAAAGACTTTATTTCTTTATGTACAGGTTTACCCACACAGGATTAGACTTTATAATTCTTTGTGTACAGGTTTATCCACAACGGTATCCTTTAATCCTTTATGTACAGGTAACCACAACGGTATCTTTTAATCCTTTATGTACAGGTAACCACAACGGTATCCTTTAATCCTTTATGTACAGGTAACCACAACGGTATCCTTTAATCCTTTATATACAGATAACCACAACGGTATCCTCTAATCCTTAATGTACAGGTAACCACAACGGTACCCTTTAATCCTTTATGTACAGGTAACCACAACGGTGTCGGTATCCTTTAATCCTTTATGTATAGGTACCCACAACGGTATCCTTTAATCCTTTATGTACAGGTTTACCCACACAGGATGAGATTTTAAGGTCGACCTAAAAACAAATCTAAAAGAGTAGTGAAGGTTGAATTTAATAAGTTTAATAAAATTGAGCTTTTTTCTAGATCTGGAAAAGAAAGAAACAATTTTCAAGTAAAGTCGTCTTTGAATTCACACCTATTGTGGGTAATAATGTACTGTGTAGGCTCGAATAATGTACTGTGTAGGCTCGAATAATGTACTGTGTAGGCTCGAATCCATAATGTACTGTGTAGGCTCGAATAATGTACTGTGTAGGCTCGAATAATTTACTGTGTAGGCTCGAATCCATAATGTACTGTGTAGGCTCGAATAATGTACTGTGTAGGCTCGAATCCATTACAACTGCCGGGAGAAACTATACCATGCAATGCAGATGAGTGCGGTGGAGGGAATGAAAAGATTTAGGTTAGATCATCAAATATAAATCAAATAAATTTAACCAGAATTAAAATGTTCTTTAAAAATGCTTGAAAATGCGTCTTTGTCTAAAACCATTTTCTTTTTCACACAGCCTAAACATTTATTATTTTTTTTTCAATATATGTGTTTAAAATTATACAATATCCACCACAAATTATTTTGTAAATAAAAATTATTTTTAATTACAAAATAATCTGGGGAGGGGGCTTTCGACGCCACCACCCACCCCTTTTTGACCTAACACTCTCATTTCTGACAATTTTTTTTACTTTTAATTTAATTTTTTTTATGCAAAGGGTAGGGTTCAAGGCGGTAAAAAGTACGGTCCGTGTAAAAAAAAATCTAAAATAGTCCATAACTGATTTTATAACAAAAGCTACAGATCTAAAAACATATTTTTGAAAAGCCCTTGAAAAATGGATGTAGAAACATGTGCCATATTTTGATATTTGTTTAAAACAAAAAATGAAATGTTTACATTTTTTACCCTTTTGTTTGGCTTTTTTCTCAACCCTCCCTACCACCCAAACTGTTAAAGTTATCTGTCTATTTTTTTTTACAATGAGTTAGTTTTGAAAAATTTGGCAACGAACATGGATTTATTAATTTATACCTATGCTCCAAGGCCTTTTTCTAGGGGGGAGGGGCGTGGGGGCTATTCAACCCCAGCCTGTATAGGGCTAAATGTGGGGAAATATTCCCACAACCTCTAATTTACTTATTTACTAATTTTCTTATTTATTTTAAGCGGAGATCCCGGGTTTAAATTCTTCTATGGGATGGGTTTAGTCCTTGAAGGTAAGAAAAGGCTATTTAATTCATCATCAGTTGTATACACGCTGATAATAAATAAGACAAAAATTTTGAAAAAAATACAAACAATGATTGTTGAGATACATTTTATATGATTATAATGTTGATGATAGTAATTACATGAGTATCAATCATACATTACGTCAAATGCAATGACTATCATATTAGTAAAATCAAATATAAGAAAAAATCATAGCGAAAAATATTAAAAAAATGTAATTATGATTTTGATGATATGTAATATGCATAATACTCATAATGATAAAGAAACTGAGTATTTGCCACAAACTCGAATTTAAAATCTATATATATTGCAACCTGATGGTGTAAACCTTTAATTTATCAAATCTAGATTATTTGATCTAACTGAATTCATTGTTTGAAATATCTAAATTCTACGATTATGGGCTGTAGAAAGGTTGGGATTATTAAGATCAGAGTTTGTGTAGTAAAGAATCAATTCCTTTGTTGAAGACAGTGGTGATGATTATAGTAATAATGATGATACTGATGATACCTCTATTTAGGCCAGGTGCAAGAAGGAATAAGGGAACTTGATCCCCTCCAGGCCTTTACTGAAGTTCAACTGGGAGCAGTTCTTGCACTCATACACGCACATAAGAAGTGCCAGCCCATAGACAAGTAAGTACATAATGTACATGTCTCTGATCTGAACTGAACCGGTACAAGCATTTGCCGGTCTAGTCATCTAGTGTAGTTGTACTGTATGTTCATTTACTGAAATCCGACCAGTCAAGACAACCCTATGTAAAGTCAACCCAGCACGTTTTATGTTCAAAACCTGAAATTTTCCTGTGGCAAATATTGAGGCCCATTGTAAAATTATGTCGTACATTGTTCAGACATTCCTAATTACGTAATCCTATATTGCAATTTACCTGTTCCATGTACATATATATAACTCCGTCATACCCATATTGGGATTGTTAACTTTGTTATATATAACAGTGCATAACGTGATTCTGCTGTTAATTCCCAATTCTAATATGAACTAAAGAAATACACCTCAGTTTATAGACTACAGCAAGATAGTGATCCTGAAACCCTGTGTTGATAGCCAGGTGGATCATCCCCATCATTTGGGATTAGTGACTGACGCACGGCAATAACTGGCCCAACCCTATCCTTTGCTGGCTCAGTTACAACTTTGATAGCGTGGCCCGACATTTTACAGTACCCGGTCTATCATAGGCCTATTTGACCTATCCCACTGGCTTAGTTTATAATGTATATCATTTGATGCCCGAGTATAGTATAATAGCATGTTGAAGTCTGCTGGGAAGTATATTAAAACAGATTTTCAGCGTAACATTTCAAATAACCAAACTTATTTTGTTAAGAGAAGCTGTGTTGGCCCTGGATGCTAAGCTGAAGGATGAAAGGAAGAAAGCGGATGACCAGGCTCTCTATTATGCCGGGGTTTTCCTTCTTCATGCAGATAAGGTGGAGAAGGCCAAAGAGTATGTAGACAGGTATAATAATTTTGCAGATTAACTTAATCTATATTTGATATCCAGGACAGTGTCTAAAAGTGCCATTTGCAAAAACTGTACAACCAATCAGAAGCCAGGAAATATTGCATGCAACCAGCCAACACTCATTGGTCAAAACTCAGTGGGGAAATCCATAAAATTGTCCACAGGGATTAAGAGATCGAGATTAAGGGTATCAAACACAAAAGTTCCCAGCTCATGTATCATGGGAAACTTCAACTTTAAGTTTTTATAGACTTGAAAAGAACTTAGTAGTATAAAGTCAAGATTGAGTGGAATACCGAAGCATGGTTTTACACAAAACTATATTGACATTTAAACGATACAAACAATTAGTGTTGGACCAACTAAAGTTTATCTAAATACACTCAACATTAGCCTGAGGCAAGTATATTTCTACTTGACCCTTCTGATCAGATACTTTGTGAGAACTGAGATGGAATTTAAAGAATTCGAGTCGCGGTTTAAATCCGCCAAAACCAGGTTTAAATTAAGCGCCGGCTTAAATCTTTAAACATTTGATACAATTTTAAGTGGAACTAACAATATTTAAACCGCGGCTTAGATTTAAACCGCTGCTCAAATTCTTTAAATTCGGTTACTGCCCTGGTCTTGGGGTATATGTATGTCTGATGACACAGCTTTCTTCCCCGGCTAAATAAATGCTGTTTCACTCCTTTCTCCAGCATCAATCCTCCCCCTAGCTCCGCCCTTTAATTTTACCAACTTAATATCTACCAAATAAGAAAGGGTTCAATACCCTTACAGATCTAGCCTGTTGTATACTCATTATTCTTGGATTTGATTGTTTGGCTTTATTTTTACCCTTGGGACCAATGAACTGTACAGTACTATATACAAGTTGAGAAGCCTTGGGTTAGGTTTAAATTATGATTAAAAGTTTCATCAGAATCTTATAGTGTGTTGGGTTGCATTTTGAATTGCAGAAAGATCAAACACAACAATAGAATGTCTTTCAACAGTGTGGGAAATTGTAAGTTCCACATTTTTAACATCCTGAATGTTGAAGAAAAAGAAATTAGAAAATTTTGTTGAAAATTAATAAAATTTGTTTCAGTGTCGATATTTATCGTTATCTCTGTATTTAATTTTTAAAAAAATGATACAGCAAATTATCTGCATTCCAGAATTTTTAGATTGTCATATCTTAGATCAATTTATTAAATATCTATTGATTATATTTAGGATGCTTAAGATTAATCCTAATTCAAAGGAGGGATTGATTCTAAAGGTAAAAATATGAATATAATTATTAATAGTACAATTCACACAAACATAGCTTGAAAAAAATGTTAAAAACTGTTAAGATTACATCCAGATTTTTACAATAAAAGTTCTAGAATAGAAAAGAAATCAAATATGATAGATTTCAATTCAATCAAAAGTAATTTAAGTATTACTTGGCAAACTTGTTTATGCATGGTTATATTACTAAAATAGAAATATTGATTTAAAAAAATTATTATCCAAGGGATGGATGGAGGTGGCTTTGCTAAGGGAGTCCAAAAATAAAAATGCCTTGCAATATTTTGAGGCTGTTCTTAAAACCAACAACAGAAACATTGAAGCTATTCTTGGAAAGGTATTTTTAGTGATAAATTTTTTTAAAAATCTAAAATATCTCTCTGCAGGCAAAATATTATGAGATGGCTGGAAACTTTGACGACGCAATTGAATTATTAAACCAGCTCATTGTGGTGTATCCAACCTTTTCCCCGTCTCTTGTGGAGAAAATGAAAGTTCAATTATGCCTCCAAGACTGGGACCAAGCAGATGAAACTGCAAATAGAATTCTTAGCGGAGATCCAAAAAATATTGAGGGTCTTAGATTCAAAGTTTTGCAAACAACATGCAGGAAAGGCAACTATGAAGATGCTAGTCTACAACTTCGGAAATTTTATGCAGAATTAGGTAAAATTTCTCAGTTAAAAAAGTAAATAAAGATTATTAATAAATCTTTTTAGAAAAATCTGAACCAAAGAATGGCCATGTGTTTTTAAACAATGCCCAGCTGTTCTCCAGGATCTGTGGACGTGACAAGCACGTGCTGGATATCTCCTTGATGTTTGCTGAGAAGGCAGCATCTATTGACTCTACCAGCTCGGTGGCAATGGCAGAAGTTGGTTTCCAAAACCTTATTAAAGGAAGAATTAAGGTTAGCTTAAGATTGAAAACATCACAAAATGTACATGTTTATTTAATTTTTTTACTTTTAGGAAGCCCAACGTTATTACAAAACAGCAACTAAGCTGGATGAAACTTCAATTTTAGCCCTAAGTGGAATAGTTGCTTGCCAATTGCAAGATAAGCAGCTTGATATAGCCAAAGAGCAGCTGGACTTCTTAAAAGAGATCCATGGAGGCGTTGGAAATAAGGCTGAAATACTGTATATGAGTGCTTTACATTCAAGATTTGCAGGAACAACAGAAGATGATGTGTTAGGTGTTCTTAATGAAGCTGTGGACACACATTTTAAAGCAGTTAGGGGTCTAACTTTTGGGCCTGAGTACTTGATCACCATGAACCCTGATTTTGTTGTTCAGCTTGTTAGAGAGTATCTTATGTATGCGCCAAACAACCCATCAAGTCAAGGACAAGCAATTCCACCTGCACTGAAAAAGACTTTGATGATTCTTGAGCCTGTGACCAAGGCATGCCCGGGACTGAAAGATGCCCTTTACCTACTCTCCAAGGCAAAGTTCTTATCTGGGGATCTCAAGTCAGCTGTAAGTACGCTTCAGCATGTGTTGGATAATATTGATCCAACTGATGCTGATTGCCACCTGCTCATGGCACAAGTACAGTTGCATCAAGGAAACATTTTAAATGCGCAACAAAGTCTTGAGGTAGGATTGAGTTATAACTTTGAAGTTAGAGACCATCCAATCTACCATTTGATAAATGCTAAAGTTTTGAAGGAACAAGGAAATCTTCAAGATTGCATCAAGACTTTACAAGTTGCTTTAAACCTTGTGAATCGGAAGAGAGGAAGTGCTGACAAAAATGGGAAGGCAAAAGAAATATCTGCAACTGATAGGGTATCTGTTTTCCTGGAGTTAGCTGAAGTATATCGATTAACAAATCAAAACCAGGAGGCATCAAGGATCATGAATGAGGCCCTGAGTGAGTTTGCTGGAACATCTGAGGAGATCCGAATAACAGTAGCAAATGCTGATTTGGCCCTGGCTAAAGGAGAAGTGGATTCAGCGTTACAAATTCTTAAGTCCATTACTCCTGAACAAAATTATTATCTTCAAGCCATGGAGAAAATGGCAAATATCTACTTAGTTCATAGGAAAGATAAAAAGATGTATGCTCAGTGTTACAGGTAAAACTTTTTATTTACTGAATCAATAAATAATTACTTAAGAGTAAATGACCATGACATTTTCTTTAACAAAAATGAAATACAGGGAGGTGGTGGAAAAGAGTCCAAGCCCTCAGAGCTATCTCTTACTAGGAGATGCATACATGTCTATAACAGAGCCAGAAAGAGCTCTGGAAATATATGAGCAGGCGTTAAAGAGAAACCCTAGAGACACGGCATTAGCAGCAAAGATGGGGAAAGTTCTTCAGAAAACTCATCAATATGGGAAAGCCATAAACTATTACAAGGAAGCAGTCAAAGATGAAGAAAATAACAATCTTCGTTATGACATGGCCGAACTGCAAATGAAGCTTAAGACTTATGACAAAGCAGAGAAAACTGTGGCTCAGGCACTTCAGATTGAAAAGGATAATCAGAATGATCTCAATGGATTAATCTCTCAGGCAAAGTTTCTGACCCTTTTGGCTAAAATCCAAGAGAAGAGTGGCAATGCTAACAGCTCTATGAAAACATTAAGTGATGTAAAGGACTTAAGATCAAGAATTCTGAAGCGGGTTCAAATTGAGCAACCAGATGCGGTACTTGATCAGCGCCATCTTGCAGCAAAAATCTGCCACCAAATGGCTGATAATATGGTTATGCAGCGAAACTATACTGCTGCTATAAATCATTACAAGGTAAACATTTTAAAAAAAATTTGGGTTCTGAAAACTTTTTCTTTTTTTCACACCAGAAAAACATTTACAGGAAGCCTTAAAGTTTGATACTGAAGATGCCATGGCCTTGATTGCTCTAGCTCGTCTGTATCTCATGAACGATGATCTGGACCAATGTCAGTACACATGCATGTCACTGCTAAGGAATGACAAGGAGAACGAGGAAGCAACCATAATGATGGCGGATCTTGCATTCAGGTATTTGTCAACAAACTTTCTTATTTTTCAAATATTCAACTTAAAGAAATATTTCAAGGAAAAATGACTATGAGTCCGCTATGTTCCATTTCCAGCAATTACTTCAGAAGAAGCCTGATTATTGGGTGGCTCTCGCCAGACTTGTTGAAGTTATGCGGAGAACAGGTACCACACTTATTTCTGAAAACTCAGGTTTTTGCTTTTTTCCAGATTGGCTGCATAAGGGTTTTTTTTTGTTTGCAAATAGAAATTTTCCGGAGAGCCAAATATTTATGATTTCTCTGAAAATTTTCAGAACCTTTTATCTTTTTTTCATTTGAGAACAATTTATATACAATTCTGTATTGGAATATTTTATCAATCATCCATCAACTTCATTATAGATCTTGCTATTTAGGTCATTTAGAGGATGTGCCAGAGTACTTGAAGAAATCAGATGAGTATGTTGGAACTAGAGCCTCTCTCATACCAGGACTAAACTTTTGTAAGGTAGGATTCAAATCTAACCAGCCACTAGGGCTGGCCACGTTTTTGATTTTTAAAATCATTTTTTTCAAGAACTATTTGAATGGTATTTCAGGGACTATTTGAATGGTATTACAGGGAATTATTTGAATGGTATTTCAGGGACTATTTGAATGGTGTTTCAGGGACTATTTGAATGGTATTTCAGGGAATTATTTGAATGGTATTTCAGGGGCTATTTAAATGGTATTTCAGGGACTATTTAAATGGTGTTTCAGGGACTATTTAAATGGTATTTCAGGGAATATTTAAAAGGTGTTTCAGTGACTATTTGAATGGTATTTTAGGGATTATTTGAATGGTGTTTTAGGGACTATTTGAATGGTATTTTAGGGACTATTTGAATGGTATTTCAGGGACTATTTGAATGGTACTCTGGAAATCCTAATGATGCTTTGAAAATGTTCAACAAGGCCAGGAGAGACAATGAATGGGGACAAAGATCAATTTACAATATGATTGAGATCTGTATCAATCCAGATAATCAGATGTTAGGTATACTTATTTTCACTAATTTTTCAAAACCAAATTTTTTTAAAACACATTTTACAGGCATGAGGAGACAAAATATAAAGAAACTTATTTTATAAAAGTTTGAGAAATATACCTTTTGAGCAACATACATTTAAACTAGTTTGCTGTCCATTTTGGATCTGCAGGTTATGAAGTGAATAGTGTTATTGTCATTACGCATTAAATGCATTATTATGGAAAAGCACTTTCCTCTGCAATTTTGCAGTTTTAGAATTTTTAAGATTTAGCTATACATACACAATTAATTGAATAAGCTCAAATATCCTTGACATATTTTTGATAAAATGATATCATGAAAAATTATAACAATTAACCCTATTCCTGCTGGGGGGGGGGTCAAGTTTTCCCCCCCCTGCAGTTTTTTTTACATAACTCAAAAAGTATTGGTCTGAGGCTGTTGAAATTTTCCGACTTTTCCTAAATACCCAAAGCCCTCCCTTTAGGCCTAAAACAGAGCTTTTATATTAATTGCCTTAATCCTCAGGCACACTGCTTGAATGACTACTATTTCCTGTAACATACTAAATCTTTGTTTTGACAAACTTTCAGTTGTCAGATTTTGATAATTTTCTCTTTGTTTTCATTTTATATGTGCATTCGGATGCTGTTTGAAAGCTTGGTATAGAAATCAAAATTGAAATCGAAAGTGGTCTTTATTATATTGATATATACAAAGATCGACGTTTTAAATTATTAATTATTGTAGGGGGTGAAGTGTTTGAGCATGTTGATTCAGATGTACACGCAGATTCCAGAGATAGTCAAGAGATGGCGTTAAGAACCGCGGACAAACTTTTAAAGGTAAAAAAACAACGCACTTATACAGTGATAACCAGAAAACTCTTAAATTGAAAGAAGACTTTAAGAATCAAATTTTATCTTTAAAAAGTCTACTGAGCAGGAGAAACATTAATTGTAGATTGACTCAGACCCCTTTCACTAAATTAGTGTCTAGTAAAACTATTTGATTTGTAATAACATCAAATAATTACAGGGTTACCCACAAAGGATGAGACTTTAATGAAGACCTAACACTCTGTAAATTTAATGATCTTAAGGTTGATTTTTAGATTTTGTCATGAATTTTCTCTTAAAATGTTAAACTCAATGATTTGGAAAGAATAAGAATAAGATTTTAGTCACAAGGAACATAATACAAATACACAGGATGGAAGACATTACATCCTCCCCCCCCCCCCTCCATGTATCCTACTCGAAATAAAACATGTTGGAAAATGTTTAGAACAGCTGACTCAAGCAAAATATGAAAGCAATGCAAGGGGAGAGGGTAGTGACCTTGCTCCTCTTACCCCCCCCTTGTGCCTTCAAGAATTCAGAATAGTTCCAATTTACAGGGCTCGGAAAAATAGTTCTTTCTTGCAATTTGGCTGACTGCAAGGACATCCAAAATTCATTTCTTTTTTATTTACAAAATTAGCCGAAGTATGATTGAAGGATGGATTGAAAGATGGACGAAGGATGAACGATCAAATTTTGTTCTAGTTATCACTGTATTCGCACGCTAGGATCCCAATATTTTGTTTGAGCAGAAGTGTACTGCAGTTTCTTGGGGGATTTAAACAACAATTGTAAACATTCCTCTAGCCAAGAGTATAATTCTTATTTTGTAATCAAAGTTTCAACAAGTGTAACGCTTTATAATAAAGCTCTTCGCTCATATTTTTTGAGGGAACCCATGGGTACCCTGGAGGTAACATAAAACAAAAATATAACTTTTTTTCTCACGGGCAACGCCAGGCATTTCAGCTAGTTTATTATAAAAAATTATGGACATTTCTTCAGTAAAATGAAGTAAAAAGATGCTGTATACTCCACATTTTTATTTATTTTGTGCAATATTTTCTTTGTCTAGGAGCTCAAACCTAAAGCAGGGTTACAGCAGATGAGTTATGAACTATTACAAGGAATGTTACAACTCTCTTCTAAAAATAAGGTGATACAAATCAAAGAATTACTTAAAAAGATGATATCGAATTCGTCACTGAATTTCCATGTTTATTGGGACACCCTGTATTATTTTTTTAAATAGCTTTAATATATTTATGTCTAGAGTAATATAGAACGAGCCCTCGCTGATTTTTTACAAATTTGCTCACGTGACACTCAGAGAGAAAATGTTGGAGCTGTCCTAGGATCTGCAACAGCATATATGCTACTCAAGCAAACTCCAAGAGCAAGGTGAATAACCCATAAAAATGTGGAATAGGAGGACTTCTGTATTGTTTATAAACAGTGATATTATTGATAAAACGGGATAAAATCAATTGATTGAAGACTTAGAAGTTAGAAGTCGTCTTTGACCATAGAAATAGTTTGCGGCATTTATTTCAGCAACATTTTTTAGGAAAAAATAGGTCTTGTCCGTACATCTACGTTTCCAAAATGTTGTCTGTCATATTTTTGCTTTAAAAAACACCATAAATATTAGGAATGTTGTTCAAATTTAAAATTTTCAAATAAACCATGCCAAAATCTATCTATCCATTCATATCTCCGGTAATTATGAAAGCAAAACATGGCGGACCACATTTTGGAAATGGCAGGAATAGGGAAATTGTGCTATTATAGTTTCATATTGCACATAAAATACATAATACGTATAGCAATATATTAACAACCAAAACAACCAAAAAAATGTTCAAATTTTGCCATTTTTTAGAAATCAATTAAAACGAGTTGCTAAGTACAACTGGAATTTTGAAGATGCTGAACATCTTGAGAGATGCTGGCTCCTCCTAGCGGATATATATATACAAGGTATATCCAGGGAGTAAGAACACAGGGAAATGGCGCTGGTCTGGCATGAGAAAGCCAGCCGCCGTGCGTTGCAGACGAGTTCGTTATTACACACGCACACTCTTTTGGTACAGACACGCAACATGACGACAGTCAAGGAAATTGCAGAACAATGTCGTTGATTATAATCAAGCTTGATAGCGAATAGTTTATTGTAAACTTTAATCGAATTATATTCTTTGCATGAAAATTTGGCTTATAGTGTAGGCTCCAGCTGGGTATATCAGAGATAGGAACTTTTGTGTCGTTATAATCTTGAACACTTGATCTCGATATACATTGCTGCCACTTTTAAATTTGAGGATTAATGTTTGATCACTTTATTTTAGTTATCCCTGTATGTGGAATCAATTCCAAGTAGTAAATGCTGATGTATTTTTGAATTGTAAGAAACATTTGCAAAAACCAAAATTGACTATCGCAAATGTCCTTTTGTGATAAAAAAACACTAGTAAGAGTGTTTTTTTTTCTTCTCTAAATATGTTGATGTGGGCACCGTTTTACAAAATAATAAAATAGCCAAGTTAGAGCTGAAAATCTAGGGAAAACAGCTGATTTTGTGATTTCCCAAAGTAGTTCCACTTTAATGCTCCTAGATCCCATGTTTTGAATATTCTTACAAACCGTTTGCTGCGTTGAATTAGACTTTACAAGACGGATCTTTTGATACCCATATCGATATATTTGGAATATTTTTTTAATTCACTTGTATAACCTGTTTTTTTTTATTTTAATTTTATCCAAAATGCTTTTTGTAAATGCTGCTTAAAATTGAAAAACACAATATATTGTTACTACTTGATTTGTTTTTAATTGAAAATGTTTCACCTTAATGGAGATCAATACTTGATCCCAAGATTAACAGCACAAAAGATCTAACTTCAGAGCTGGAAACTTTTGAATGGTGGATATCGGAATTAAGGCTTGATCCACTCTTTTTCTTAATCTCGAAATTAAATAATGCTTGTTCTCCTCTTGTTATTAATCTCCAGATTAATTGACCGATCGGGATTAAGGATATTCCATTCTAAAGTTTTCAGCTCAGAGCTGAAAACTTTAGAATGTGGGATATCAAGATTAATGCTTAAACTCCTGGTTTTGCTAAACCCGAGATTATTTTAATACGCATTCAATATCCATGAAAGATGAATAAAATTCAACCAATCAGCGTATCATGTTAAGATGTACTCTTTAACTTTTGAAAACCCGGTTTTTTTTCTGGTGTTGTGTCATATAAATTGAACTAAACATTGATTAAATAATAGTAAGTTTTGAATTAATGTTTGTTAAGACTCGTTTAAAATGATGATAGTCCTAAAATGTGATAAAATATATTTTTTAATAGGTTCATATTAACATGATTAAATTTATATTTGCTCAAATGCTCTAATGTGAACAGCTAACTTTAATTCAATCGGATATTAGTTCAATTGATGAAGCATTTTATCTGTAATTTTTATCAAACGTACCTTTTATACAGTAGCTGATATCCAAAAAAGAGGATTAAGAATAAAATAAGGATATCTCATTCTAAAGTTTTTAGCTCTGATTATTTAAATCAAAAAATATTATTTTATGTTTTCAGGAGGGAAATATGACATGGCAAGTGAACTCCTAAGAAAAGTTCTTCAGCAAAATAAATCCTCAACAAAGGTTTTTTTTAAATATTTTACAAAATGTTGGACACAAATGTTCAAGTCATTTCTTAAAAGTTCGATTTACACTGGGTTGTAATAATATAAATATAAATAATAAATAATAAAAATCAAAATTAAAATTAAACAGTTTTTCAATAAAAAGAATAACTCGAAGAAGACGACATCAAACTACGTTTATTTCTGTAGGCTTACGAGTATATGGGATTTATTATGGAGAAGGAAAACAGTTTCAAGGATGCTGCAAATCATTACGAAGCAGCTTGGAGATATAGTAATAAGGTTATTATTATTATTATTTGTATCATCTTTGTTAAATTTTAATTATTATTATTTTTATCAATATCATTATTGCTGTAATTTTTTTTAATTTTATATGGCAAATGAAATCTTAGTTTTCATTATGGGACAGCAATATTTGATTACATAAAAATGAAATAGAATTATTTTCAAAAAACAAGATATATGTCAGGCAAACCCTTCTATTGGTTACAAACTGGGGTTCAACTATATGAAAGCAAGAAGATATGCGGATGCAATAGATGTTTGCCATGCAGTTCTAGAAAAGGTAAAAGTAATAAAGATTTTATTAATTAAAATATTTTAAACAAGGTATCGGTAGTTCTCTCTTGAACTAGTAGTTCATGCCAGACCCTCAATAAACCAGATTTTCGTATTTTGTTGACATTAAAACAAAGAGAATAGAATATATATTAGAGTGGAATTTAGACGATCCTTCGGTATGAATTTTGTCAGTCCCTTTCAGCCTGAAAGGGAGTTCAAAGTGTACAAATCATGTAAATGTTCACTAATTATATGCAGTAGAGTACATTAATACAGTATGTTCCCTAGACTATCCATTTCAAGTTCGAATTTTTTAAAGCTGTTAAATAAACTTTATAAAATGAATCAGGTGAATACAAACATCATTTGATTTCAAGTTATAACGGAAAATCATCGTTTGTAAAGTGAAAGGCATAGAGTCTATGTGAAATGATCATTGGTCAATTATGAAACCAGACTTTTTCATAATTTGGTTTTTTATATTAATTTTAGATTTTTTATAAAATGATGTTCCACGGCCCAAAAGGTTATGTAGCGCAAATATGTGAAGTACACGTGTAGTATGGAAACAGTACAACAAAATGGCCGTTTTACACTTTTTTCTAGTAAATTCCACTCTAATATATATTGTATTCACTTTGCATTAAAATTAGCTTTGACAAATGTCGATCTAATAAGACTAACAAAAATCTTTTGTAACATATTTGTAGCAAATTTAGAAAATCCTTTGTTTTTTAAAACTTTTTCGACAGGTGACTGGTGAGGCTCTAAATTCTGAACCGTTTCTTTAATATTAAAGTTTTGTTTAATTAGTTTAACTACTGGTTTCCTTCATGAAACTTAATCTTTGGTATTGCAATTTTTAATAAATAAAAAAGATTTAACAATTTCTAAAGTAAATCGTTTTAATATTTCAGTATCCGAACTATCCGAAGATCAATATTTTCAATATTTCAGTATCCGAACTATCCGAAGATCAATATTTTCAATATTTCAGTATCCGAACTATCCGAAGATCAATATTTTCAATATTTCAGAATCCGAACTATCCGAAGATCAATATTTTCAATATTTTAGTATCCAAACTATCCGAAGATCAATATATTTAATATTTCAGTATCCGAACTATCCGAAGATCAATATTTTCAATATTTCAGTATCCGAACTATCCGAAGATCAAGAAAGATATCTTGGACAAATCTAGAGCAAGCCTTCGCAGCTAAACTCAACTTTTGATAAATTATATGTTTTAACGAAATCGAAAAAGTTGTGATGAAGTCTTAAATCTATATCTTAACATATGCACATGAAAACTGAAAACTGTAAATAATAAACGAATTACAAATAAACTGCTTGGAGATGAAAATTTATTCGTTATAAATAATTGCAGAGAGAGGGTTTAGATTAAACACCAATAAAAGGAAAATAATGTGTGAAATGTGTGAATTGAAAAAATCCAAGACAATTAATTTTGGATTCAACTTAAAGTTTTGAAGTTATAGTATAAGTTTGCCAAATGTAACTAAATTTAGATCAATTCTTGATGGGACAAAATCTAGCTAGCTGTTTAAATGAACTTTTATGCCAATTAAGTCTGATTTTTAAAATCATAATCTATTTATGTACGGTGGTAGACGAATATATGTATACAATGAAGACGACTTTTGATTTCAATTTTGTTTTTATCAAACTTTTAAACATACTTAAAAACATGGAAACAAAGAGAAGCTGTCAATTAAAAAAGCTTTTCTTTGATTAATTGTAAACTTGTAATTTGAAAAAAGGGTTGTTAACTATAAAAACTCAACTAAAAAAGTCATCTTCATTGTATTGATATTATCGCCTACCACTGTACGATGTTTATACATATGAGCTGTAATACAGTGATCCCAGGTATATAGTTTTTTTATAATGTCGTATTACATATTTAAGATCAAATGACGCGAAAAATGAGTTCAATATCAGTTGCATTCATATTTGAGGGCTATTAATTTATCTTGAATTAAAAATAAAAAGAAGTTTCTTTAGAATTATCAAAAAACTGTCTTTGCATATCTGGGATTCACTGTATGTACACATACAATACATCGGGGCCCATTAACTTTTGAAATGAAAGCTAACATTTTTTACCTATCTCATATTATTATGAAGCAAACTATTATACCAGTAACTTTAAAATCAACTTATTATTGAAACAAATGGGTCTGTTTGCAGTTGTTCACCATGTGGCATGTGACAAATGGGTCTGTTTGCAGTTGTTCACCATGTGGCATGTGACAAATGGGTCTGTTTGCAGTTGTTCACCATGTGACATAATGTGACAAATGGGTCTGTTTGCAGTAGTTAACCATGTGATATAATGTGATACAATGTGTAGATGTACAATTGGTGTTTTTATTGTTCATTTGAATTTCTAAAATCATAACGCAAGTTTAACAGTAGTCTTCCTATTCCACAATTTATGGGTCCCACTGTATCTGTACATAGCTTATGTACAAGTGAGTTCTACAGCCCCGATCTCCTTCGGATAGAAGTACAGTGTAAGCCCAAAACTCCAGTAAAAGAGGATGAAGACGACAATAATGGCCGGATTCCACCTAAAACAAAATATTTCTGAAAAGAATTAAACAAAACGTTTTGCAATTTTTCTTTTTCAGTTTTCCTGTATGATAATTTTTTTGTACTTTCAGAAAGTAATGAAGAATATTATAAAAACTTNCAACAAACAAATAACGTTGTAGAACTGGTGTTATATCGTTCTTGATTCAAAACAAGAATTAATCATTTCTTTTAAAACATACTTAAATAGGTAAATATCATTAGTTTTGATGATATCAATCATAATGATATTTACCTAATAACATTTTCATTGATAATGCTAATAATAAGTCTATTATATACCTACTTACTGCTGGGTGCAGCATAAATTTATATAATGGTCCATAATTAATTTCTGTTATATACCTGTTTTATAAATTTCGGTAAAAAAAATTTTATAATTCATCAAATGAGAATAATAAAGTTTTTTTTTTTATATGAATTGTGATATCTAGAAACTTTATGAACTATGTTATCTAGAAACTTTATGAATTATGTTATCTAGAAACTTTATGAATTATGTTATCTAGAAACTACCTGATTTACCTTATCTAGAAAATACCTGAGTTACGTTTTCTAGAAACTACCTGAATCATGTTATCTAGAAACTACCTGAATTATGTCATCAAAAACTACCTGAATGTTATCTAGAAACTATCTGAATTATGTTATCTAGAAACTACCTGAATTATGTTATCTAGAAACTACCTGATTTACCTTATCTAGAAAATACCTGAGTTACGTTTTCTAGAAACTACCTGAATCATGTTATCTAGAAACTACCTGATTACCTTATCTAGAAAATACCTGAGTTACGTTTTCTAGAAACTACCTGAATCATATTATCTAGAAACTATCTGATTTATCTTATCTAGAAAATACCTGAGTTGCATTATCTAGAAGCTACCTGAGAGAGATAGATTTTGCAATCGCTAGTTTCCCTTTGTTGACGTTCTTCTGTCTAAGGTACAATTAAATTAAACAGAAAAAAATAAATATTAAAAAAGCTAAGACCGCGGAAAAGGGCATTTTCTGAAAAGATTTTAACATGTGGTTTTAAATAATGAGAATTGAAAACACTACATATGCTAATTTTATGCACAAAATGGAACCCCATTTTCAATGTACCTGGTAAAAATTTTATATAATATTATGTACTAACTGAAGCCGAAGGGCCCGGCGTTGCCCGTGGAAAACATTTTTTTAGAAATTTAAAGAAAAAAAATTAAAAGTTTTACAAACAAATTTCCAATTTTTTTTTTTAGCCTTTAACACTCCCCGGCCACCCAGGAATGTCCAAAAAAATGTAAGCCCAATCGGTCCAGCCGTTTAGCCGGCTGTACACAACATAAAATTTAAAACATTCTGAAAATTTACCCCTTATAGTATTCTTTGAGCGCATTCTGTTGAACTTGTTCATCCCTGGAAACCAGTTTATTCATCCAACCAGCCTGTCCTTCTCCAACCTTAATAAAACCAGTTTATTCATCCAACCAGTCTGTCCTTCACCAACCTTAATAAAACCAGTTTATTCATCCAACCAGCCTGCCCTTCTCCAACCTTAATAAAACCAGTTTATTTATCCAACCAGCCTGCCCTTCTCCAACCTATATAAAACCAGTTTATACATCCAACCAGCCTGCCCTTCTCCAACCTTAATAAAACCAGTTTATTCATCCAACCAGCCTGTCCTTCTCCAACCTTAATAAAACCAGTTTATTCATCCAACCAGCCTGCCCTTCTCCAACCTTAATAAACCCAGTTTATTCATCCTACCAGCCTGCCCTTCATTAAACTTAATGGATTTACAGTCTTATAACCTCCTAAATCAAGTGCCCTGTTGAATTTTAAAATCGGCAGAAAATTAACTCTAAGTAGGGGGCTAGGGGGGGGGGCAAATATAATGTTTTAAATTCTGATACATCTCTCTAAATGTTACTGTTTGGCTTTGATGTGATGTGCTATTAGTGGTTTGGTTTTGGATAATTCTTTGCCTTTATTTTCTTTTAGGGTTAAAATTGTGTATAGTAAACGGAAGGAATGTGTTTTTTAAATTGTTTATACGAAACGTTCGTCTTTCTTAGACTATGCCATTTTTTTCCAAAAACGATGAAGCAAAAGCGAGCATGTGTGTTTATTCGAAAACGATCATATTTGGACTGATTTTCTTTTGCTTCAGGATGATAATGCGAAGTATATTAAAAGCAAAATTTAACAAAATACAGTTTTTAAATCTTGGAAATTTTATATTTTTTTGAAACATCACTAAGTGTAGGTATCGACCATACTTTTATTGCTTGATATGCTTTATATTTGAGAATATTTTATATTATATAATTGTGCGTTTTATACCTTTAGAGTAGATACTGAAGGTGCGACCTTCCTTGGTTTTCCATGATGATTAATCTCTCTCTCCTCTCCTTCCTCCTCCCTTCATAGTAAAGTTGGTCAATTGTTTTTTAAAAACCCAAAACTGTCTGTTTGTTATTTTTTTATTTTCAAAAACAACAGCAACATAAAAAATATTATTAAAGGGAGAGACTGGCAAGACATTGTAGTTGAGATAGGATTGCAGTATTGTAGATACATTTTTAATTCATTTGAAACTTTTTATAGAATATAATTGTTCAAGAAGAGCGTAAACTCATGAGTTATTTAAAATAACGAGGACGAAAAATATATAAAAAATTTTACAGTATATGTAAAAGTTGATATTTTCTTATGGATATAATTTTTTCTAAATCAATTTCATAGCTATGACTTTTTTAAAGATTAGATATTTAAATGACCTAAACTGACGAAAACTACGAGGGAATTTTTAGTTTGATAAAGGAAAAATAAAATAATATTTTTACCTAAGAAGGTCGATGTAAGTATGCAGAAGAACCTAAAAAAGTTGTTTCGAAATTCATTTATTTTAAATACTGCCCAATCTAAGAAGCACATTAAGCTATATTTCTTTATTTCCCATCATAAATTTATCTGAGAACTTTAGCTATTCCCAAAAATCATCTGGTCTTTTTTTGTTTAAGAATTAAAAAATTAACAATTTTGTCCCGGTTTCATTTCATTAAATTTGTAGATAAATTTGTAGATAAATTTGTAGATAAATTTGTAGATAAATTTGTAGATACATTTATAGATAAATTTGAAAGGAAAACTACATTTATTTATTTGCACATTTTATCAATTGCTAAGGCTCAATTCGATGCTTTTATCGAAATCTTTTATATTCAAATATTTATTGTAGCTCTCCACATCAATTTGTTTAATGTTTCTATATTTATGATATTATGTATTTGGTTTTTTGACAGTAAAATTGATAGATGTTTTCATGATTTATCATTTATTTTGTTCGAATGTAAAAACAAAATTAATTCTAACTGTGTATTCAGTATTCATGCTGGTTTTGTAAACAACATTAAATTAATAGTTTTGTTTTCAAACAATACTGCGCTAAAGTACGTTTAGAAATTTTGCATTTCATAAAAGTAATGGGAACAATTTTGTTTTGAAAATAAAATGTCAGACCATTAATTTACGATTGATTTAATGATAATAAATGTTGGGGGATAGCCCTGCCCCCCCCCCCCGTGATATTAATTATTATTACTGATACTTAAGTTTTAAAAGCAAAACGTATGGATTTAAAAAAACTTTTCGAATGACGTTAGTTTGATGATACCGAAGCACGTCAGAGGCCCATAATACTGTCGAATAGATATTGTAGACTCATGTTATGAATTTAAAATAACCCAGGGACAAAATGAAATTGCTTTCAATATATAATAACACGCCGCAAAAATTGTACAATTAAACTTACAAAATAAACATTATGAAATTTTTTTTTTTTAGATTTCTTAAAAAATGGGTCAGTGCAAGCACTTTTAAAATTAACAATCAGTATAAGGGAGGTCGATTTTTCAATAATTCGAAACATGTCGATATGGGTGTCTAAAGATGATGCGCCTCAAACCACTGAATAATGCCCAGTTGTTTGTTTTTTGAAATTGTGAAAATTGATTGACCTAGGGCCAAAAACTATTTTTTTTTTTGGATGACTGACAGATTTTCGCTAAAAAGTCCGTTTCTTGCCTATATAACTTATTCAATTTTTAACTGACTTGTATGGTTTGAACATTTTTAATTCAATGTTTCAAGACGGAGTTTTTGGTACCCATATCGACATATTTTGAAAAAAAATATTTTTGCCTGCAATTGTGATTTATTATTTACAAAAACGTAAGAAAAAAAATTATATTTTTGTTTTCCTTTTTTATAATGAATCATTTCAGACACGTGCTGAAAGTATGTGAACATTTGTTATCAAAAAAGTGCCAAATTGTCCCACCCTTAGTTTAAAGGTTCATTGAACATGCAGCAATGTACTTTGACCCATTTTACTTCATAAGATATTTTTTAAGCATCTTGTAAAACTGCTTGCTGCATTCAAAATTCCACAGATGTCGTCTTTCTATTTTATTTTTATGGATGCCGCTGTAATTACCTCTATGAAGGGTAGAAACATGTTGAACAGCATCCATATGTCCACCATCTTGACATAGGACGTATTTGGTAATGAAGCAGATACACTCATAAACCTTCACAAAAATCCGCAATTTTTTTTAATTGAAAGGGCGTGACGGGGTGGGAAAGCCGGAATTTTAAAATGCAAAGTGTTTTATTAGTTTTAAATACACACAAGATATCAGTAGTTTTATTATGTCATCGCAAGCTGATTATCATCAATTTTTAAGCAGTTTAAAGGTGCAATTTCAGACGACTTTCCATTGAAAGAGGTGCATACTGCAAACCCTATAAACCTGATCAATAATTATTCCGTTGATTTTCTGGCACAAAAAATGTTTAATTCTTCAGTTGTTTCTTTATTAATAGAAATCACAATCGAAAATGATAAATTTTAAAGAGAAAATTATAAATATCTCATACCTTTTTTTGGAAAAAGCTTTAAGAGTACTTGTGAATATATATATATATATATATATACATATACTTACATGGTGGCAAGTACCAGCATTACAGTTAGGTTGACAGAGATTACTGCTTCGAAGAAGAAAGGTTTGAAAAAGTTTGTCACGTGACCTTAAAAATAAACAGAACAGGTGACTTTTGAAGGAAAAGAACAATTTAAAGATGAATTCGTGCTCTCCAATTTTAAACCAGTCAAGAGGAAGGAGGTTTTCTTAAAATGAGAAATAAGTTCAACTCTTTTAAACCGATTTAGATTAATAGATTGATTTTGAGTTGCAGGTTCGGAGCTGAACACTTTAGAATGGTGGATATCGAGATCAATGCTTGATCCTCTCTTTTTGCTAATATCAACTCATCGAGACTTATTTAGTCTTTAGTTTAATTTTTAGAGATTAGTGATGCGCTCTTTAACTTTTGATAAACCGGTTTTTATTTTTCCGCATTTGTGGTGTCATATCAAGTGAACTAATGATCGATAGAACGAACGTAAGTTTTAGTTTTCAATTTATTAAGACTAACATTCAAAAGGACTGTAGTCTTCCAATGTGATAAAATATGTTTTTCAATAAGTTCATATAAACATGATTAAATGCATATTTGTTTAAATGCTCTTAAAGTCAACTTGTAAACAGCTGACTTTATTTCAATAGCGGATATTAGTCCAATCCATATAATATCGTATCTGTAATTGCTATCAAACGTAACTTTTATATCCAAAAGAGAGGATTAAGAAGAAAATCAAAAGTGTTTACATTGGATACTCATATTAAGCGATCGGGATTAAGGCTATCCCATTCTAAAGTTTTCTGCTTTGGTGAATTAAGAACAAAGAACACTCCTAATAATTTTCTTATTATTGACCAGTGATAAACAGAAAAGTTTTGAAGAAGAAGTTTGAAGCAAGTTTTCAGTTCCTTTGTTTCTGCTGTAATTTGTACTCACCAATAACTAAGAGTAGCATTGTGGGAAGGAAAATGGTTAGAGCATTTCCTAAAAGTCGTCTTCCCAGCACCACCTCGATCCTCAAACCATTTTTTCCACTTAAATCGAACACAATCAGATTTTTCTTTCTTTTCTAGTCAAAATCCCAAACCTGGCACATAGTTCCAAAAAACTTGAATTGGAAAAACATGGGTTGTATTTTTGGGATGTTTGTGCACTACAAAAAGTGCATATTTTGACATTAATGCGAGTTTACCTAGGTACAGGGTGTATCAATAAACATGGGAACTGAGAGACGATTTAGAGATCGTCTTTTTAAACAATTCTTTGATTTATTACAGTGATTCCTACCGAGAAAGCTGTAATCCGTAAGATTTTCGTCTGCTATGTTTACAATTTGTTTGTTTATGATTTGACAACGGATTGTACTTAGTTAAACAAGAAAATTACAGTCTACAAAGTATACAAACAGAGTAAACTTGTACCTCCGTCTGTGCACTGTTCATCTTGCGGAGACATTATTGACACATTTTTACAGTCTTTTACCCTTTCCATAAAATAAACTGTAGCAAACATAATAATGTTATGGCTTTTGAAATCAGGTATTTGAATGCTAATTCATAACAAAGACGATATCGAATTCGTCACTGAATTCCCATGTTTATTGGGACACCCTGTATGCACAACTCTTTTCATTTAATAATGAGATTTAAGAAAGCAATCAAGCTTCTTAGATAGAAGGCATCTATGTAAGCCAATTCTCAAAGAGTTTTTGACAAATAGATCTATCTATCGTCGGTTAATTTTAATTGGTCAAAAGAAAAACTTTTAATACAATTTACTGCAAAAGTGTGGATGGAGTGAGTTAATAAGGTAAAATCCTCAATATTTTGTTTTTTACAGTGAGAACCAGAAATCTCTGGAAAACGCATTTTAGACTCAAATTATGACTTTAAATAGTCCAATGAACCTGATGCAGAGCAACTGTGCAATTTGAATAGACCATTCTGCTTAAAAAGTGAATAAATAAGTAATTACAGTTAAACCCTATATAAGCCATACATCGAAAGAATTCATTAAATGTCGTATTCTTCACTTTCTGATAATAGAATGTTGCAGATATTTAGTTTTTTTAATTAAACGATTATATGGAGCTCTTTACGTAAAATAGTATAAAACCCATTGAAAAATTGTTAAGACGACATTAGATAAATTCTTTCGATGTATGGCTCGTTTAGGGTTCAACTGTAGTAAAACTATTAAATACGGTAATGTCATCTTCGTATAAGACACTTTTCTGATTCTCACTGTATACATGTCAGAAATAGATCTAAATAAACCAACTTCAGATTTAAGAACTTTTGAATATTACCTGATCGTCGAGGAGCATTGTTGAAATCCCCGGATGAAATACTGACTAAGCTCTTGAGGTCCTCGAAACTCAAGTTCATCGGGAACTAAGATATAATACAGTCGTCGTCATATATATCAATACAATAAAGACGACTTTCTATTTCAATCTTGATTTCTACCATGCTTTCTCAAAAAGCATCAATACACACAAACAAGGAAACAAAGACAAGCTGTCAATTCATATATTCTCTATGTTTACATGTAATTAGAGAAATGCCTGTCATAAATAAAAACTTGAAAAAAAAGTCGCCTTCATTGTAAAGATATAAACACCGACAACTCTATAATCTATATAATTAAGGTCTTCGCTCATCTACATAGATATTATTAGATACGTTTGTAAACATGTTAGCTATAGCTGACCAAACGGCTAGACCAAATTGGCTGACATTTTTTAGGAAACCCATGGAGTAATAAAGGAAAAAAAGAAAATATATTTTTTTTCAATTTTCGATTTTATTAAAATTTTTAATTTACCTAAATTCAGAAACTGGTCCGTATTCCCTTTTGTTATTATTTCAACAAAACAAACTAAAATTTTTTATATTAATTTAATAAAATAAAATTGTATCAAAGGGACTGTATATAGTTTATGATTGTATACGTAATAAAAATTGACAATTGACAGAATATGTCCGAATACAAAGGTAAACAACTGTGTCTGTTTCAATTGTGGTTTCTCAAGAAACATAAATAAAAATTGTCTAGCTTTAAAGGGACAGACCGGCAATGTAAGGTAGTTGAACTGAGTATGCAGTGTTGTGGAAAGCTTCTTTAGGATTCATTTGAGACAAATAAAACTTTTTAAAGATCTGTAAATCCTGAGTTTGAGCGCAAATTGGACGTTCAAAACTCCTACTTTAAGGGTTTTCAGAATCGATTTTTTTAAAAATAACTAAATAACGACTCAGGATTTACAGATCTTTAAAATGGTTTTATATGTCTCAAATGAATCCTAAAGAAGTTTTTCACAAAACTGCATACTCAGTTCAACTACCTTACATAGCCGGTCTGTCCCTTTAAAAAAAAGACAGTAATATTTTATATGATAAAGGTGAATGAGGAAATGTAAACTATAAATGGAAGATTATTTGAAATTACAACGTGCAGTATCTTTAAATATGATAGTTTAACTTACTTTGAGAATCGAATGGGAAAAACATCATATCATAGTTGCACAGTAGATTTACATTATAGGTTCTAGTTAGGGATAAGGTATTCTCAGAACCAGCAAATATATAGGTATTCTGAAATATATATATATCATAGTTGCACAGTAGATTTACATTAAAGGTTCTAGTTAGGGATAAGGTATTCTCAGAACCAGCAAATATATAGGTTTATCATAGTTGCACAGTAGATTTACATTTATACACAAATTTATTTAAATTTAATGAATTTAAATGTGTAAACATTCTATAGTCTTATAATAACCAATTTAATATAAAGACACTCTAAATCAAATTTTTATTTAATAAATGCAAAAAGATTTGAAAAAATGACATATGTAAACAAGATCACTCCAGCCCTCATTTGTGTATTATTGTGAACATTAGAAAAGATTTGCCATTTTGTAGTTAACAAACGGTTGTCCAGGTAAATAGTTTACCTTACTGCTTGAAATTGGGGCTCGGTCAAATCTAGTAAAATATATATCAATAATTTACCTAGTTTTTATCACCACAAACGATGGTAAATTCTAGATATCTATATGTATTTTATAAGGTTAGAAAAATTGAATTAGATATAATTATGATAGATATAAGTATTGTTCGTCGTAAAAAAAACGTTAAAAAATGAAGTTAAAACAAGAAAAAATAGTTAAAATCTACAAAAATATCAAGAGTAGTGTCAATTTAAAGTAGGATTTCCAGCAAACAGAATTTCCCAAAAAAAATGCGAAAATTTTCGTTCGTATTAGGCAAAATTTTCGCTAAAAAAATTTGGAAGCTGCAACAAATACCTACGAAAAAAACGTGTGGAATTCTTTGACCTGAGAGCTCAGCATTATATGCTATACTATATTATAATTGATAATTTCTCTTTCTTTACTTTATAAATGCTTGATAAAAAATTACGCATTTTTTTCGCGAAATTTTCGCATTCATTTTTCGCGAAATTTTTTAGCATTTTTTGCGAGCAAACAAAATGCGAAATTTTCGCGAAACGATTTCCCCTTTTGTAGTTTAACAATTTGTTTGCAGATTATTTAAAGTATTAATTGATATTTATTCCTGAAATCTTGATGTGGATAGATTTGTGTGATAGTTTTAGTGTCAACCAAGGTTTCTAAATTATCTTCCGTGTTAAAGAATATCATCTAGTTCATTACACATTTCAGTCAAAATTAATATATATTATTATAAAACTTCGGACACCAAGATCTTGTATAAATCGTTTTGGGTAGTGTAAAAGGGGCAGTACGATAGAAAGCAAATACATAGTACCTAGGGGGGATGATAGTTCTCTACCTGTGTGCTCAGTTAGCTGTACTGTACACTTACAACTGTTTACTAATATTGATATATAGGCCAGAATCAACTTACAGGGTGTCCCACGAAACATGACAATAGCAAGACGACTTGAAAGTCGTCTTTGATATTTGAATTTATTTGTGACATTTAGTCTTCTATCTACTTTAACATGTATGATTCTTGAAACAATTATCACATAATTCTCCTGGCCCTGGCATTTCCAAAATGCGGTCTGCGTTTTTTGTGCTTTCAATATTACCGGAGATATAAAGAGTTTGGTTCAGATTTCAATTTTGTTAAATAAAAGCAAAATTGTCGAAATCTGAACGAAATTGTTCATATCTCGGGCAATATTGAAAGCACAAAAAATGCAGACCACATTTTGGAAATGGCAGGACTAGGGGAATTTTGTGATTATTATCTCTAGAAATTTACTTCTAAAATTAGGTTGACAAATAAATGCAGCAAATTATATCAAAAATCAAGACGATATTCAAGTCGTCTTGCATACTGTCATGTTTCGTGGGACACCCTGTATAATAAACAAATATTCAGTACGCTCCGGTATAGTTTATGGCCTGTAAAATTAGTTAAGGATTAGCGTACATCATCACTCTATACACTATAACCTCGTTGATCGTGCCGGATTGGATCACGCAATGGTTGTAGCCATGTACGTGCGTATTAAACAATCTATATTACAAATTTAATATACCTGAATCAGACATGCTTGACCTGGTTTAATTGTTGCATAATCTGAGCCAGTACACGGATATATCGGTCTAATATTTACCATATATCCTTTCCCGCATTGTACATGCTTGACCNACCCAATAAAAATCTATTTTGGGTAAACTTGACGTCAGCCTGAATAGGGTTAACTGTTATTTAGAATTTAAGCTTCATTTATCATTCTTTGGTGGTTTGAATGGAATATAAAGTACGTAATTACTTACTTTACGTAATGTTTATCAAATATATAATTTGTAAAATAATGTGCTGCGTAATGTAAATTTGTATTATGCTTTCTTCTAATGGTATTCATAATAGATTTTAGTTTATTGTTATTTTTCTTAAGAAGTTGTATTTAATTCTTTGTATGAAATACACATGTACAAGATTAAGTTGTTAATAATAACTAATAATAATCATTTTTCAGAACTTTATAATAAGTCAATAGCTAAAGTACATATTGTATAATGTGTACCACTAAAGTACATATTGTATAATATGTACCGCTAAAGTACATATTGCATAATATGTACCGCTAAAGTACATATTGTATAATATGTACCGCTAAAGTAAATATTGAAATATGTACCGATAAAGTACATTTATATGCTTTAACCTAGTGTTTTCTGCTAAATCTGGTGTTTTGTTGGTGTTTTATCATTGAATCTGGTTTTTTTTACTATTTCTGGAGTTTTATTGTTGAATCTGGTGTGTTATTGTTGAATCTGGTGTGTTATTGTTAAATCTGGTGCGTTATTGTTGAATCTGGTGATTTTAGTAAAATCTAATATTTTTTATTAAATCTAGTGTTTTTAAGTAAAATCTGATGCTTTTTTGTTAAAATTGTTGTTTTGCTGTTAAATTATGAGTTTTATTGTTACATCTGGTGGTTTTAGTTAAATCTGGTGTTTATTGTTAAATCTGGTGTTTTATTGTTAAATCTGGTGTTTTATTATCAAATCTGGTATATAATTGTTAAATCTGGTGTTTTATTGTTAAATCTGGTGTTTTATTATTAAATCTGGTATATAATTGTTAAATCTGGTGTTTTATTGTTAAAAATCTGGTATGTAATTGTTAAATCTGGTATTTAATAGTTAAATCTGGTATTTAATAGTTAAATCTGGTGATTAATTTTTAAATCTGGTATTAAATAGTTAAATCTGGTATTTAATAGTTAAATCTGGTATTTTATTATTAAATCTGGTATTTAATTGTTAAATCTGGTATTTAATAGTTAAATCTGGTATTTAATAGTTAAATCTGGTATTTAATAGTTGAACCTGGTGATTAATTTTTAAATCTGGTATTTAATTGTTAAATCTGGTATTTAATAGTTTAATCTGGTATTTAATAGCTGAATCTGGTGATTAATTATTAAATCTGGTATTTAATTGTTAAATCTGGTATTTAATAGTTGAATCTGGTGATTAATTTTTAAATCTGGTATTTAATTAAATCTGGTATTTTATTGTTAAATCTGGTGTTTTATTGTTAAAAATGTGGTATTTAATTGTTAAATCTGGTATTTAATTGTTAAATCTGGTATTTAATAGTTAAATCTGGTATTTAATAGTTGAATCTGGTGATTAATTTTCAAATCTGGTAATTAATTGTTAAATCTGGTATTTAATAGTTAAATATGGTATTTAATAGTTAAATCTGGTATTTAATTGTTAAATCTGGTATTTAATTGTTAAATCTGGTATTTAATAGTGAAATCTGGTATTTAATTGTTAAATCTGGTATTTAATAGTTAAATCTGGTATTTAATAGTTGAACCTGGTGATTCATTTTTAAATCTGGTATTTAATTGTTAAATCTGGTATTTAATAGTTAAATCTGGTATTTAATAGTTGAATCTGGTGATTAACTTTTAAATCTGGTATTTAATTGATAAATCTGGTATTTAATAGTTAAATCTGGTATTTAATAGTTGAATCTGGTGATTGATTTTTAAATCTGGTATTTAATTGTTAAATCTGGTATTTAATTGTTAAATCTGGTATTTAATAGTTAAATCTGGTATTTAATTGTTAAATCTGGTATTTGATTGTTAAATCTGGTATTTAATAGTTAAATCTGGTGATTAATTGTTAAATCTGGTGATAAATTGTTAAAAATCTGATATTTAATTGTTAAATCTGGTATTTAATAGTTAAATCTGGTATTTTATTGTTAAATCTGGTGTTTAATTGTTAAATCTGGTATTTAATTGTTGAATCTGGTATTTAATAGTTAAATCTGGTATTTAATAGTTAGATCTGGTGATTAATTGTTAAATCTGGTATTTAATAGTTAAATCTGGTATTTTATTGTTAAATCTGGTGTTTTATTGTTAAAAATGTGGTATTTAATTGTTGAATCTGGTATTTAATAGTTAAATCTGGTGTTTAATTTTCAAATCTGGTATTTAATAGTTAAATCTGGTATTTTAAATGTATAATTCCCTGTGGGACCCAAATATAATGTTGTTGGAGAGGAGATACAACGTTCAAATCAGCTTTACTCTTTAAATTCTGATAACTGAAGAAACATTCATTTAATAATACACGGCAACTCTCAAAGAATAAGACTGTAAAGACGACCTAAAACTCTTAAAATCGACGATTGTGAGGTTAAATAGAGTTTTCTGCGGCCTCAATTGAAGAATAAAATTTTTTATCGCTTTTTAAATGATAAAACAAAACAAAAAACAATTTTACAGTTGCAGGGACTCCTGAATTGAAAACAACATTTTTCGGATACTTAAACTTTGTCACGAAAACACGGAAAGTTGTGAAAATTAGAATCTTTATCCTTTTTAGCTTCAAAGAATATTTTCTAGGTTAATTTCGGTTTCAGACACACTAAAATTAATATAGTATAATGATAAACAGCTCAAATCATTATTGAATATACCAAGGGCAGGCAAACGGCGGGATTATTAAGGACTATGAATAAAAAATACTTTTTCACCTGGGCAACGCCGGGTTTTTAAGCCAGTATTTTAATAAGAAAATGATTATGTTTTTAAATAATTCCTAAGTCTGGGATCCTTCCATTCACTTCTAAGTTGAAACTTGATATTAAAAGAGTTTTTAACTTCATCAATACTCAGGATACTCAGGATAGCCAGAGATATATTCACGTTCAGCATTCCACCATCAGAACCAGATGGGATTATATTCTAAATATATACATATATATATATATATATATATATATATATTTAAAGGCAAAGATTGCAATTCCCGATTCTGATCACGTATGAATTATTAGTTTTTGTTTCTTTAAACTGTTTATTTTCATTCACGGGTTCCGTTGTAAATCGGGCATTGTCATCTTTGCATGGAGGATCGCTTGAAATAACGCTTACAGTTCCTTTAAGAAAAGTAAATGCATCTTGAAATGTGTAAGGCCAAATTTTTTTTTATCTATTTAAACTGTCTTGATCGTTTATTTATTCAAACTCTCTGTGAACCCAACCATGGCTTCCCATTCATGTTCTTTAGCCTGTGTACAAACGGTTCTTTTATAAAAAATAAAAAAAACCTTATTGTATGTTTTATCAATATAAATCAAAGAACAATCATCTTCGTCACTTTTATCATTACATTGAGGCCTTCCATCACATCTAAAAACAAAACAAATCGGCTGTACTGGCCATCTTCTTTTTAAACTTTTAGTTGTTGATTCATTTTTCACCATTTTCTCTGCGATCAAACAAAAAAAATTAAAAATAATTCAGATTTACATTTCAAAAACTATAAATTTAGACAGCTTTTTGCAATTTTGAGCAACAAAAACCTTCCCTGAAGTCATGTGAGGTCCCACACAAAATTTGGGCCTGATCAGTTCTGCCGTTTTGACGTGTATATTGGATACAGACACAAGCAAAGTATTTATGTAGATACTCTAATTTTTTAAAGTTTTTACCTGAGTTCCATATCAATACAAGCACCATCATTGCAACTGAGAATTTTTGTATTTGAAAATTTGAAATGTTTAAATTATAACATTAAATGATATAAGCGAAACAAATTGAACAACCTTTTATACTTTTTTTAATGGAAATGAAACCATTTTTATGTAGAAATCAGAGCATATATTTTTTAAAAATAATAAATTAAAACTGCTCTTCATTCGGTGAACTGTTAAAAATTATTTTAAAAATTTGTTACTTCATTTGAAACTTTAAAACTATTTTCACATTCCTGTATTCAGATACTGAGCAACTGGACATGGACAGAACCTAAAAATGAAGAGAAATAAATAATCTTAAGATTAACAAGCATTGATCTCGATATCCACAATATTTTTAAAAAAGCTATTTGCACAGAAAATAAGATCTGTGACAAAGACTCAATTCGTTTGTTTACAGATTTATAATTGATTGAGTTTATAATTGATTGAGTTTATAATTGAACATTCTTCACGAAGGGTCATGGGTCGGGCAGTGTTATTAGTCTACAATGGTAAACCTAGTAAACTTAGTAATACACTCAAATTTTCTAATCCCTATATCTTTGCAACCTGATGATTTAAACCTTGGAAATTTGAAACTTAGATTATTTGATTTGACAGAATTAACAGTTTGAAATATCTAAGGTCTACGAATTGGGTTTCATTGCAAAAAATTATTTAAAAAAATCAGATTTGTGACAAAGACTTAATTCTTTTGTCTAGACCTAATGAATGTTTACTTACCCTTTCATAAGTTTCATCTGTTGTACATAATTTCGAATCATTAGAAATCAGCCATTGATTCACTCCAAGCAGAAAGGAGGAATAGGATGCCTAGATAAACGTATTGTTTTGTTTTTTAAACTGTCATTGCAGTTTTAAAGGGAGTGACCGGCCGCAATGTATGGTGCATGGTTAAACTGAGTATGCAGTGTTGTGGACAATTTTTTTAGAATTCATTTGAGATTTATAAAACTTTTCCATGAAGTATATTTACTGAGTTTGAGTGCATAGTCGACGTTCAAAATCATGAATTTGGGTTGATACGTTTACAGAATCGGTTTTTTAAATATTAAATAACGACGACGAAAAATAAAGTAAAATTATACAGTAGACTAGTTAGATGGTTAGGAACATATTTCTCGAAAGAAAGTCAAAAAATCAATGCTAGAATCAATTATTTCGTTTTCATCATTATATTGAATTTTTTATTTTCTATGAATTTGTTCTCAGATTTCTTCAAATACTTTAAATGTCGTCTATTCATTAAAAATTTCAGCAAATTTACAGAAAATCTTTGTGAATAATAAAAGATTATGGAAACTAATAATTGAATAAGATTACTTATTTTCGATGATTAGAGTTAAGTTTTTTTGAAGAGAACCCACATATGAATATAATCAGTTTTCATGAACAGAAACATGGGGGTACTGTTGTAAACCGAACATTCCCTATACAATCTTTCAATTGATGGGCACTTGAAATAATTACGTTTACAATCCCTTTATATCATTATTTTTTTCAGATTTAACTTGCTTGAGAGAAAAAAGCTATACACGAATATATTTTATTGAAACTTATCTAATTTATCTTTTCTACAACCTGATTAATGATGTATGTACCCTAACTACTATAAATTCTGTAATTACGTTACAATTTGCCGGATTTAGCTTGATAACATGTTTGAGAGAAAAATTATGCGAATATTTCTTTTTATAACTTTTTTATCTATATCTTCTAAGAAGTTAAATACTTTCTTAAAAACAAAATTTTCAAATTTTACATCATTGCAACCTGATGTTGATAGAACAAATAGTCAAAGTATGAAAAATCAACGGTAGTAACACCGTCAGGTTGCAAAAATATAGACCTCAGAAAGTTAGCATTCGAGACAAGTGTTCTTTTGCTTAAAAACTTTAAGATATGTTTTTTTATATATACCTTTACTTTTGCAACTGTGTCTTGTTCAGCCACTGTTAATATCCATTCAAAATTTACAAAATCATATTGTATTTCAGTATTGTAATCTCCACTAAAATATTGTATTTCAGTATTGTAATCTCCACTAAAATATTGTATTTCAGTATTGTAATCTCCACTAAAATATTGTATTTCAGTATTGTAATCTTCACTAAAATATTGTATTTATTACATCCATATATATACTTTGCTTGTCTGTTTGGGTGTTCGTTTGTTTGTTTGTATCTAATAAACGTAAAAACGGCTGGACCGATCGGGCCTAAATTTTGTTTGGGACTTCAAATATCTCCAGTGCAGTGCAGAGAAGGTTTATGAATGATCAAAATTTCAAAAAATAACCTTCAGCCAAATTCGATTGTCATTAAATTTTGAAAATCCACGAAAATTTTTTTTATAAAATCCCGAGTTTCTTTGTTTTAGTTTACATTGTATACAAAGAGAAAATGTTCACAATTAAAATAGAAGATGGGGGCGAAGAAAAGTGAAGTTTAACCAGACAACCAACAAGAATTCTAGAAAAATATAAGAATAATAATCTCCACTGAAATAATGCTTATTATATTTTTTAAATCAAAATTTTTCATTTTCATGAAATTGCCATAAAATGTAGGAAAAAAATTGGCCCCCCTCCCTATAGCTAGGGGAGAAAGGGGGGGTAGATGGTTGGGGGAGGGGTGGTCTACCTGAAGTATATAATACCATCCTTGTAAGCAATAATATAAATCTCATCAATATAACTCTCAGGGCATAATCCTCTTCAAACGGGTAACAGTGTTACATTTAACATTTTTTTATGCTACAGGATTAACCGCAAAGCTTGAGACTTCAGAGACGACTGCACATAATTTAGTTAGTCTACATTAATGATTTCCTGCAGTAAACAACTTGAATCTTTCATTGGCTAATCATTTAATATAACCTTAGATGATTAATTAAGGCATAAGCGTATTTAATTCTTAGATTTAGAATTAAATAGCTTGAGGTCGGCATTAAAGTCTCATGCTTTTTGGGTATCCCTGTACCTCAACAATTTGTTAAAGGGACTGTACGCCAAATTTCAATTTACACACCAACGGAACATTTTAAACCTTTATTTGACCTTTAATGACGGAAAAATCCTCAATTTTTTTAGCAGAAAATTGAGTGCCAACTTGAGTTTAAACTAAATTTTTCAGCTGGAAAAATAAGGATATTTTGATCATGAATAGTCAGACAATTCTTCAGTCCTTTTATTTTTTTTACAAACATAGAAATGCCAAAATATTTTTCAAAGAAGATTTGATTGTTTTTCTTACGTTTTAAAAGATTTTATGAAACTATTGTGTACTTTATCATTCTTCCTCACTTCATCGTGAATTTCATAATAACCGTGCTATAAAGTAATCATCGTGCTATAAAGTTAGTTTTAGATGTACATTATAGCACGTGTGCTATAAAGTTTTGAATGGTTCCCTGATTTTCTCCAAAAAAAATTATGATATTTTCAAAATACTTTTTTTAAATTAAAATGAAAATAAAATTGAAATAAACTTGTAATAATTTGACTTCTGCTTTGTTTCAAACCTTATTTGATCTAGAAATAGCTATTGAAATAAGACAAGTACACAAACGTTTCAAAAAATTACCTTTAACACTATTATTTTGGCACGACGTGCTATACAGTTTTGGACTTAAATTTTCTCTCTATCTCGAAGGTTCTCGCCTTTTTAGATTATATTTTATAATTATAAAATTAAATCTAAAAAGGCGTTAACCTTCTCGATAAAGAGGAAATTTCTGTCCAAAAACTTTATAACACTGCAAACCAAAATAACAGTGTTATAAATAGTTATTATAACACTTAACAAAGCTTTTGGATTGGTAAAAATTAGAAATGTTAAAAGTATTGTGTTCCCTCCCTAAGCGTGAGCTGTGGCCAGTGATTGTTTTCACAAATAAAGCAATATTTATTGTTGCACTCTATATCAAATATATTCTTTTCTGAAAATATATAAAAATATTTTTAAAAATTTTAGGTGGTTGCGTAGTAATTGTAGGATATTTTCTTTCGCACTTTTTCAGCAATGTAAAAAGAGAAAATAAGCTTAGATTTATAAAATAAAAAGTTTTTTATTTTTATTCTAGAAAGACATTGGTTTGGAAGCTTAGTGCACAAAAAGATCACCTGGTAGTTTAGGATCCACCTCAGCGCAGTTTTGAGATCGATCTCCATTTGGCTGTCCAGCTTTCCAATCCATTGTTTCCTATCATTAATGGGACCGTTCACTTGTTTGGATAATTTCAGGGTAGACTAAACAGCCTATCAGCTATTCATTAGTATTAGTCTTACTTTTCAATGACATCTGTGGCCGGAGAAAAAGCCGATTTTTCGTTCAGAATTTGAGCTCAAAGGGACGGCCCTTCTCTTTACACACTATTTGATGTTTTTTTTCAGTATGTTGTGGATCAAAATAAATTTCGAATATAAAATTAAACTGTAGTATCTAATGGTTAATTGTAAATGTTATAACTTTTTTAAATTTTTTGTTTTTTAACTTTCTATTTATAAAATAAGACTATTTTATCGCATTAAAGATTTTGTATTGCCTGTGTAAAAAGATTAATTGAACGCGGCACGAAAAATGAAAAGTTGTGCACATACGGGAAAAAATCTAAAAAATCTACGAAACAAAATACGAGTAATGATTAATTGATTGTCGTAGAGACGTCGTCTTTGTTCACACTTTTTACGTGTTTTAATACGAAAAACGTAAATTTCTTGCGAACTCAAATGTCAAAAGTTTTCATATTTTAGTATATAACAACGAACACATGATGACATTAAAATGTGATAAATTTAAAATTTATTGGGCTGCTGTTACTGAAAAAAACGTCAAATAGTGTCTATAGAGAGGGACCGTTTCTTTCCGCTCAAATTCTGAACTAAAAATCGGCTTTTTCTCCGGCCACAGTTGTCTTTGAAAAGTAAGACTATTACCAATCAAGAGCGAATAGGCTGTTTAGTTGACCCTGAAATTACCCAAATAAGTGAACGGTCCCTTTAACAACATTTTTAAAGGAACAGCAGTAAGCGTAAGTTCAAATAAACCCTAATGCAAAGATTGCAATTACCGATTAACAATGATAACCTTTAAAATTTATGTCTGATCAAGTATGAAATAGATATTCATGTTTTTATATTTAAACTATTTATTTTCACTTGTGGTTTCTCTGAAAAAAGTTATTTACGCATTTCTTGTTTACAAGATACAATGGAGAAATTCACAGCAAAATAACTATTTATTTACTATTAGAGATGATTAACCAGGGAGAACTGCCAACTTTACCGGGAATTTAAATTTCCGAGTGTTTTCGAGACTTTTTGATGAAATTTTATCATGGCATGAAATTTCATGAAAAAAGTCTCGAAAACACTTGGAAACGTGAAATTTCCGTACAGTGCAGTTCCCCCGAAGGAAAATCTCGCTATAGGTGAATATGTAGTTTTATCCCATTCGCGTTAAGCAACATTATTAATATATTAAACTTTTCAATATTAATTAATTAATTAATTCTCGCTGAATATGTAGTTTTATTCCATTCTTTGAGCAACATTATTAAAATATTATACTTTTCAATATTAATTAATAGGTATATTCAATTGTGTGGTTGATAATATTAAGTCTAAATACTAAAAAAGTTTTATATTTTTGTTAAAACTTTGGCTATATTTATCTTGTAAATGCGCAAATTTGTCTCATGAAAATGTGCATTTCATCACTTTCTTTCCCTGGGGCGAAGAAAAATATATTTACACTGTTCTCTGGGAGAAAAAGTTAAAGAGTAGGGATGAAGAAGGTTAAATAATATTGCTAAGAATGGGATAAAAAAATTGTAGAGTAAAAAAAAAACTAGGTTTTTGGTACTGTTGTAAAAGGATTATCGCTATCTTTGCATGGAGGGCCACTTAAAATTACGCTTACAGTCGATCTCTTTAATTCTAATTAATATTTCAGTTTATATTTAATTATTAACCTGTTTTTGGGTGTAGTAGTTCAGCCAAATATTTTCAGTAATTTCATCCATATATGGAATCCAGAAACTTGCCTCGAAGCAGCGTTTTGAGAGCAACTAAAAAGAGAAATAAAAATTTAATTCATTCAATCATAAAGGCATAGGACCCCCCCCCCCTTTTAGTTGTCTTTTAGCTGTTGCTTTTCAAGGCACCATTTTTTCTCCGTACTCCAAAAAAATCTAATTTTCACGGATTTTCTTGTTGAAATTAGTGAATTTTCAAAAGTGATAACATATAGAGTTTTATTCAATTTTACTCAACTTATTCAATAGTGCAGGTCGATAAAGTAACTTTATGAGAAATATTAATTACGAAATTTGAAATTTTAATAGCAGGGTAAATAAGTTACTATTTCGCCCTGTAGTTTGGCGATGAAGTCACTTAATCACATTACAACATGAAATAATAGGTGTAATAAAAAAGCTTTTAAACGTGTAATATCATTTTTAAACCATTTAAAATAATATTTGATAAGATTTTTAGAATTTTAGATTTTAATGTTCAAACATTCAAATCGCGTCTGTTAAATCTTCATTAAGTTCCCTGATGGTATTCTTAATAATACAAATGTTATTTGAAGCTTTGAGTTCAACGTGATACTATTAAAGAATATATGACAATTCAGAAAAGGCCTCAAAAACTCATGTGTCCATTAAGGGAATGGTGTAAAATATGGACAAAAACAATAATAAAAACATTGAATGAAAACAAGACTCAGGAAAAAGCGTGCTAGCTAGCAGGGAATCTCAAATATATGAAAAAGCGTGCTAGCTAGCAGGGAATCTCAAATATATGAAAAAGCGTGCTAGCTAGCAGGGAATCTCAAATATATGAAAAAGCGTGCTAGCTAGCGGGGAAGCTCAAATAGACCTATTGTAAACCAGTAAAGGATTCACAATTGTAAATTATACAGTACAGTTTATTGCTCCCAAGGTTCTTAGCCTGACAATCTAACCAAAGCCAAACGCCATGTATGTTTGTATGTATGTAGTATGTTTGCAGCCTAATGATCCAACAGGCCAAACACCAAAGGGATATTTAACCCTTCCTTATCTTGTTAATCTGGAGTCAGTACAGTTAGCAAGGGCCGAGCTAGGGAGGAATCGCTGCCAGAGAAAGCAGTGGAACAGTAATCCATGGCCAAGGTAGAAAGGCCATCTCATGCCTCAGACCACGGAATCAGAAGGGTTAACATGGAAATATATTCTCCACAGGCGAATATCATGTTATTTAGAAACACTGCCAGAAAATTGTCCGATGCAATTGGGATTTTATGAATTATATGTTTTTGTTTGGTTACAGACAGTGAATTTAACATTTTCCCATCGATTGTGCAAGTTTTCAGTGATCAAAAAGGTAATAAAACTCAAAATAACAATAATTTATTTTCCCAAATCTGGCAATAAGTCAATATGTATTTAGACTCCGACATAGTACGTGGTTTTTTTTTAGTGTTAGTAAGGACAAATATGACAGCATGAACATTGTGAATGTAAACAATAAATCATTCTTTGTTGTTTAGAATGAGTTCGACAGAGCCTGCCCACCCTGGAAGCAGGAAGGCAACAGAGGTATCCGCCATGGTTCGTGCATTGGCAAACCTTGCAAGCCCCGGTTAACCCTATTCCATTTTTTGCAGCAGAGTCAATCAAGTTGGAGGCGGCACTGACCATGGAGGATGAACAGATTATGGATTCATTCAAGAGTAGTGTGATCTCCCAGTACCCAAATTCTCGCAGTACAGCAGACTGAAGTGCCTCAATTAAGGAATGCAGTAGACAGGATAGATCCCAGTACCGAAGTAGAAGTATCCTTTATAAATTTTCCTTGAAGCAAGATTGCAGGGGAGGAAGTAAAGTTAATTTCAAAGGCTAATGGAGCCTTATCTCCGTTTGATTTCTCTGCACAGTCCATGAAGGCTTGGAGAACAAAATTCAGCAGGTTGTCTAACTACCATTTTGTCACCGCGGGTATGGTAAGAATCGCAATTGTGTGGAACACATGCACTGACTCCACAAAATCAAGAATCCTCTTCATGGGCATTGGAGAATGAACAAAGAAAGAGGAATTTACGTTCTCAGATCTATTGAAAATTATTTGTGTTCTTTATAGCTCCCCAAACCATTCTGAGCTAGCAATGCAAAGCCTCTATGTCGGAGTGCAACAATCTCCTGATGAATCTGTCCCTATCTACCTTGAATGTGTGAGATGCTTTAAAGAAGATGGATTTGGACCAGCTGTGCGTTAGACATTGAATAACTCTCTGAAGATTGTGTCTATAGTTATTAATGGTTTCAGAATAAAGCCATTGGCATTAGTGGCAGGGTACATGGTTAACCTACTGTTCCAGTTCCACATTTTCCAAGAAACTGTGATAGAATTCCACGCAGGTTTACCAACTTAACAGACTGCAGTGCTGAACACAGTAAATAACACCTGAATGATGGTAAACAAAAACAAAAAGGACTACTGGAGGGGAGACTTCTCCCCCCTAACAAACCCCCCCCNCCCCCCCCAGCCCCTATTCAGGAAATAGTGTTAGGAGAAGACGGAGCTCCTATATTGCTGAACAGATCAGTTGATTGTGTCTGGGTTCTGGCCAAAACAGCAAGTGAAATCAAAGTTTCTGTACCCATTAACCCTGCAACAAGCATCAACATCCAGCTGGTCAACTGCCTACCTGGATGGTGTGATTAAATATAGTTTTGTGTACAATATGTTTCCTTATTCCACTCAATCTTGGCTTTTTACAAGTCTATACTATGATATGCCGGGTACTGTAAAAAGTCTGGCCGTGCCATTAATGTTAAACATGGTCCAACTTAGGATAGGTCAGGCTGGTACAAGAGGTCAGTAAAGTTCAAATTTAAATTGACCTTAGTCCATTGTAGTGCTCTGCTTTTGTTAACAACTGTGACATTTGATGTACATTTTTTAAACAGGTTTTTAACATTTTGTAAAAAAAATTTATTTAAAAAAAACTTACAGGAATTCCAGCAGCATCCAGCATAAAGTTTGTCATTGTTTTGATTGATGTGTCTGAAGAAAATAAATGTCTTAGTTGTCAATTAAAACTTATGTAAAAAAAGCAATTAAAAAAACTTATAACCTGCAATAAACTTCTATTTTCAAATGATGTAGATCTAGGGCTAGGCAACGTTCTTGCAGAACAATTGTTGTTTCACAAGAATGAACGACACAAGAACGATCCCATCGTTCCGAAAAAAGAACGGAATGCAAAGAGTGCATTCTTAAATTACGGAATGTAATAGATATTAGCTTAAAAGAAACGTTCTTATTATTAAGAACGCCTTCTAAGTCAGGAGCGCATTTTAAATCAGGAATGTGTTCTTAATCATCTAGAAATAATCAAAAGACCCCCCCCCTTTCTCTAAACCTGCCCCCCCTTCCCCAACCTCCCTCTCCCGTGAGGGAGGTGAGATTTAGGTTGAAAGAATTTCAAAATTTGTTCTCTATAATTTATTTATATATCTTTTTACTATTTTTGAAATGTTGATTATGAAAATTAATTATTTTTTAAAAATCTACAAATTGTACACCACCTTCTTTTAAGATAAACCTGGATCTCAGCACTTGCAGGCATCATACAATTTAAGGATTTTATGAGACCCCCGCCCCTCCCCCCGCTTCACAAAAACTATACATTGCTCGGCCCAGAAATTATCTAAGCTTATCCTTTAACCTAAATTTAAAACATTTGGAATATGTTTGGCCATGAGGAATTTTCTATTATAAAATCGTCATTTTTCACTTTTTAACAACCATTTTCTACAAAACTTTTGTCTTAGTCACACCCCCTCCCCCCTTCCTATTGTCTTGACTAAGAACGGAACAGGGGATGGAAACGTTCTTGACTATGAAAAGAACAGGGGGATGGAACCATTTTTGGACTAAGAACACCAAGAACGGAACAGAACAGGATGATTGTTCTTAGACTAAAAATGGAACGGGACGGAACGGAACAAGAACGGACAATTGGATAAAAAAGGAACGAGAACGGAACAATCTAGCTGAAGACCCTTGTTCTAGAACGGAACAGAACGATTTTAAAAAAGTCCGTACGTGCCCAGCCCTAGATGTTTCAAAGTCTATTTGGGAAACTAATTTTACACCATGAGTTTGGAAAGGTGCAAGGCATTGAAGATAAAGGTTTGATGCAAATAATTAAATCATTTTCTTGATTTTTTAAAAGCAATTTTTTATAGTGATAAAAAACTATACATTTACGAAACCTCTTACTGCAATCTCAAAATGCTTTCTAAATATCTGCTAAAAAAATGCCATACCTGTTTTAAATGTTTTAAGGGAGTGTTAATATTTCATAACATTTGTTATTTGTTTTATACATAATGCACTTAAAACGACTTTTTTCCGCTAGGTGTCTCTGCCATGTGTAATCATTCAAAGCATCGAGAGCAGAGACATCTGGCGGCCAACCATTTCGGCGTTTTAAGTGCATTGTATACAAACATAGAGAATAGAATATATATTAGAGGGTGAATTTAGAGAATCTCTCGGTATGATTTTTTTCAGTCCCTTTCAGCCTGAAAGGGAGTTCAAAGTGTACAAATCATGTAAATGTTCACAAATTATATGCAGTTGAGTACATTAATACAGTATGTTCCCTAGACTATTCATTTCAATTTCGAATTTTTTAAAGCTGTTAAACTTTATAATGAATTAGGTGAATATAAAAACATCATTTGATTTATAGTTATAACGGAAAATCATCGTTTGTAAAGTGAAAGGCATAGAGTCTATGTGAAATGATCATTGGTCAATTATGAAACCAGTCTATTTCATAATTTGGTTTTCTTTTAACATTAATTTTAGATTTTCTATAAAATGATATTCCAAGGCCCAAAAGGTTATATAGCATAAATATGTGAAGTACACCTGCAGTATGGAAACAGTAAAACAAAATGGCCGTTTTATACTTTTTTCTAGTAAATTCCCCTCTAATATATATTGCATTCTCTTCGTATACAGAACGAATAAAAAATATTATGAAGTATTAGCTGTATAGAAATGCGTCGAAAAATAATCGATGATTATAGGTTGTAATATCTGAATGATTTGTTTGAAATTAAATTGTTTTTTTACGATCTGAAAGGTATATTGCAACTTTCTGAATTTGTATGGACACTACGTTCTTCAGAATAAGTCGTTTTTAACAATTTTCTCCTTATAGACGCAACAGATAGAAGTATGATTAGTATCTTGATCGAAAGCGATTATATTTCGCTGTAAGCCTATGCCCCCTTTCATTTTTTGCGAACACTCCATTTAAGATCAATCTATATACCTCCATTTATTGATGGCAAAACACTTTTATCGAGTCTATCGCAAGTGTCAATTCCAACACTAAAGGGAACATTCTCTGAAATAGTGTCGAAACCATGCATTATTTTTGTAGTTATAACTGATATGAGTTTTGTTTTTTGGTCCGTTATTAAACATTTAAAGTTTCTAGACTTTTTCTCATCAAGAATCTGACATGTCAATCCTATTTTAAAATTGCATGCTCTACAAGTTTGCTTTTATTACAATATGCAATCACTCTCGTATGCCGAGTCCATTAGCACCTGGTCCTATCAGGGTTTAGCCATGTGTTTGTTGTCTATTCTAAACCAATAGAAATTGCATGGCGGTAACATCTATCTTTCTATCTATCTCATTATACAATTAGAGATAAATTCTTCGGCGCTATCAGTAACTGGAAGTATTTACTTCCACTGAAACTATAGTGGCAAATTTGTATTCTTACCAAATATATTAACCATTTTTAGTAACCATTATCAAAATCGTTTTTCGTTTTCCATTCTGTATTCTCGTTTTGGTTAATAGCCCTGATCAGAAGAAAAATTGCATCATGGAAAAATATCTTCGTGGAGCACTTTAAACGTCAAAAAACCCTAAATGTTTCAAAACGATTGTCATCATAAGATCCCCCCCCCCAAGTGCAATTATTATTTGCAATGGACAAGGTGAACCATATTGATTGAATCTGGTAATTTTGAAACTTGCCATTTTAAAAAGGGGTGGTGGGGTAGGCACATTTCTAACAATTTTGGTGATATCCCCTCTCTCCGAATCCCAAACCCGTCTTTGACTGATCGAGTGTTTAACCTGGGTTCTGAAATTTAGTTGTTGATTAAATGAAATTGGCTTATTACATAAAACCCTTGTAAATTTGGCCACTAAATTGTCCGATGGAAGGAATCCTTAAAATAAAAGGTTTTTTTAATTTAAAACGTACAGGACTTTCTTTTTGAAACACTTCTCCCCAAAATTAAACTTTTTTTTAGGAACTCTGTTTTATAGATTCGTTTAACATATGAAATTGTATCATGTTTTTTTTACCTAGTACTGGTATTTTCATTCTAGTCAATGGTTTACACAAGGTTGGATCTTCAATTGTAGGAACAATTCCACTAAAATATATCTATATAATTTAATTCTGTTCGCTCATATATATTTGTATGTATATATATGTTAGCTATAGCTGGCCAAACGGCTTGAACGAAATGGGCTGAAGTTTATTAAGAGCACCCATGGGTGCCCGCGGAGTAACGTATAGGCTAAAAGATGTCGACATTTTTTGTCTTCAAAAAACAATTAGTTTCTAAAATTGTTTTTTAAAGTTAAAAAATCCTCAGGCAACTCCGGGCACTGCACACCTAGTAATTTATATATTTTTAAAATTGTTTAGGGCATATTAATTCCATTTTAATCTGTTGATTAACGATAAGTTAAATCATAGTTATGTATTTTTAAACACAAAAGCACAGCAATCTAGACAGTGTAAATTTATGCATGTTTACTATAGTACGACTTTGTGACCTAGTAGCTTCTGTAGTTGTATGCAGTACGAGAAAAGCAAATTTTTCTGGTAATGATTGAAAAAGTATAATATTTTAATCTAAACTGCAATTTACTGTATTTTGACGTGAAATACAAGATAATGATAAGTCAGTTCAAAACAAAACACAAAATAAAGTTCATTAAAAGCCAATTGAAAATATATTGTTTAAAATTTTGTTCTATTTTGTTAACTTAAAGGACAGACCCATTACGTAACTTTATGTATTTAACCAATCCAATAATTAACAAGTTTTAATGTATTCGTTCCCATTTTGAAAAATTGTCTTGAAAGTGTCACAATGCACATGGTATTTATGTATCGTCTTCGATTTCTGATGGCTAATGGATGGCCTGCACAGAGACCAAGAAAATCTTTATGTCTAGCATACAGTTAAACCCGAAATAAGGCATACATCAAAAGAATTCATCAAATATCGTATTCTTCACTTTCTGATAATGGAATGTCGCAGATATTTATTTTTTTATAATAAATGATCATATGGAGCTCTTTAAAACTATTTTCGCATATTCATGGCTATTTATTCATTTTCGCAAATATTTACGTAAAACAGTATATAACCCATTGAAAAATTGCCTAGACGACATTCGGTAAATTCGTTCAATGCATGGCGCATTTAGGGTTTAACTGTAGGATTTAAAAGTGAAGGTCTAACATTCTTTGTGTTTTTAAATTGATTATGAATAAAAATATTAAAACAATTTTGTTTGTATAAAAAAATTTAAATTACAATTTGTCTTAGTTATTAAAACCGTTTTAATTGTATTGAATATTATAAAATAGCAACTGACCTTGTAACAAAGGTCATATTCTGCCAGGCTAAAAAGTCCCCGGAATAGTTGCAGGGGTGAGTGGTCATCATCTTCAGCTGGTCGCTGCCCAGCTTACCAGAATATATATTCACGTTGGCGACATTCCCTAGATACTGGTTCCTGGTTTTACCTGCCTGGCCTAGCTCTCTACCAATTACAAGCTGTGTTCTAAAGGAACAAAATATTTTTTTCTTTTACAAGGATAAATCACTTACTGAAAATAATCAGAAGGAGGATAGTTAAAAACCTAACATCGGTAAAATTTATTTTTATATATTTCATGATAAAAATTAATCAAATTTTTAGTTTTTGTCATTTTCATAATCTCTCATTTTTGTCAGTATTACCGTGAAATTTTGCGACTTTTAAGAAATTTTAAGGTTTTTTGTAACTTTTTTTAAATGCAAAGAGTAAGATATACAATAAACTATATCTTTTAAAAGATTGTTCACGTTCACAGTTTTAAGTGCAGAGTGATATTCAATGAAGTACAGTCGTCGGCATGTATATCAATGCAATAAAGACTATTTTTTATTTTAACTTTGATTTTTCTATTCAGAGCTTCTTTTTCTTTACTTTTAAGCTTGTATTTTGAAAAAATACTTGTTAGGGATCAAAGCAGTAATTATAATATTGTCAACAATTAACAATATGTCTCCGTTGTAAAGTCGTCTTTAACTTAGGTTCCATCTCAGAGACACCAAACCAAACAATTTTACCCCCCCCTTCTTTCTTCTCTACGACAGAGTTATAAACAAAAGCCTCACATGATGTGAATCCATTTTCAAAAGTTAAACAAAGAATAATTTTTATTTAAAGAATTAGTGACTTTCGTTAATAATCAATTGTCATCTTATTTCAGAAGTTTAAAACGTCTTTTAGTACTGATTCAAACCATTGTTACCCTCAACTCACACAAAAATAGATCGTAAGAATTTTTCCATCATAAACATTAATTTTTACCATTTATACACGTAATAAATATATGTAATTTTCTCAGGAAATAAAGAGATTTCATTATTATCGATTTTTGAGACAGGGTCCATTCTGCTGTGTATCTACTGCAGTAATCGGGAAATATTGTTGGGAAATATCAACGACTGATCTCAGTAGACTTATTTGTTGTTTCATCTAGAGAATCTTACTTTCTAACAGTCTACAAATATATCGTCTTCATTGTATTAATATAATCGCCGACCACTGTAATAAAAATTGAAATTGAAAGTTGTCATCATTATACCAATATAAACGTCGACATATATTTATACCTTGACACAGATATATAAATAAATATACCATTCTTTTAAGAATAGTTAGTTAAATCGAATTTAAATCATGTGAACTATATTATATTAGTTTTGTATAAATATGAGTTAAACTGTTTATTTTGATTTCTATTTTTAAAATATGATCATTAAATTCAACATGTAACTATAAAATCCCTTTTATAAATAACTTAAAATTGGCGTTAAGTTCAATTTAAAATTGTGTTCAAAGAACAAACATTATTTTAAGCATTTTCCTAATTTTGATCTATTAAAATATTTGAATCTTAACATTAAGATGAAATGTTTATATTTTGCTTCCTTAGATCCTGTATTTCTGAGGAAGTAAATTTAAACTCCTTGAAAACTTTGTTCTCAGCCATCATTTTTCCATTCCAAGCAAGTGAGATAGAACCGCTGAAATAAATATACTAATCTAATTTTTTTTATTTGATTATTTCATAATCTAATATAACCCATAGTATAAGACTGTATAGGCTGCATGTACTATATTTCTGGGATTGTAATCAATTTATTGTTAAGATCCCAGGTTTTTAGGAATAACTTAAATTATTCGCATGAAATTGTTTTTTAACCTGGCAGTGTCAATAGCGTAGCAGTAGTGCATCCAAACATTTCTAGTATCATAATAACAATTTAAATTTTATTTTCATCTACTTTGCTTGTCTGCCTGTTTGCTTGTTTGTGTTCAATACCGTAAAAACAGATAAACCGATCAAGTCCAAAATGTGTGCGGCAGCCGGCAACTAACAAGGTGTATGGATGGTTAAAAGACACAATTTAGCCCGGGAAAAAATGTTGACGTTAATTATTTTTGAAAATGCGCCAATTTAAACATGAAAAATACGCATCATTTGAGAACGATTAAAAATGGCGACTTTAAAAGCTAAGCTTGGTGATTTGAAGAATAGAAAAGAGCTCTAAAAGCCTATAGTTTAAAATAAAAGAAACCCAACCAAATAATTTTTGACAAAAACTATCATATAGATATGTAAGAGATTGGCGCACATTAGATCAAATTGATAACCAATGCTTGAACCAGCGGCCGAATTTAAAAAATTTAAACTGCCTGGCTGAACCTCCAATAAATCGGTTCCAATTGAGCTCCAACTCAAATCTCTAAACACTGAATACGATTTCAAGTGGAACCATTCATGTTTAAGCCGCGTCATAGATTTGAGACTCGGCTACTAAACTATGTACAACTTGTTTTTGTAAGAGTTTACAATTGTTGGATTATTGTGAACTGTTATTTTGCCTATAACTGTCTGCAGAGCCCAAATTATGCCACACTCCTCTCACAAAGAACCACAGAGTAATGTCTTCAGAAAAAGAAAAATATGCATTATTTTAGTATGTTTTTTAAGTTTCTCTTGTTAGTTTTAAGGTTTTTTTTAACTTTTTTATTTTGTTTTTTATTTTGTTTTTCATTTTGTTTCTTAATTTCTTTTTTTCTTTAGTTTTTTAGTGTGTTCCTTAGTTTGTTTTCAATTTGTTGGTTGGTTTGTCTTTTATTATTTTTAGTTTATTTCTAGTTTGTTTTTTGTTTGTTTTTAGTTTGTTTTCAGTTTTTTTTAGTTCTTTTAGTATGTTTTTAAGTTTTTTAGTTTGTTAGTTAGTTTTTTCTTAGTTTGTCTTTTTGCTTGTTTGTTTTTTAGCATAAATTCAAGTTTTCATGCATTTCTTTAAAATAATCAGTAGCCGTCAGAAAATTGGGATTCAATATCAACACAAGAACGTTATAAGTGCTTAAACACCCCAATTAAAGAGACTGTACGCGTAATTTCAAGTGACTTTCACAGGCAAAGACAGCAATTCCAGATTCAAAACAGTTTCATATAAAACCTTTGTCTGATCAAAATTGTTAAAGATATTGCGTTTATCTGGGGTTAAAAGTTAACTGATAAAAGAAGAAATGTGCCATTCACTTGAGAAGAGAAACCACCATTGAAAACAATTAGTTTGTAAAATTAATTACATGCACACATACTTCATACTTGATCATACAAAGCTTTTAAGGGTCCCGTTGCACTATAGTTTCAGTAGAAGTAAATATTTCCATTTACTGATTGAAGGATTCATAAGTCTAATTGGATGATAAGATAGATAGAAAGATATATGTTACCGCCATACAATTTCTAATGGTTCAGAATAGACAACAAACACATGACTGAACCCTGATTGGATCAGGTGCTAATGGACTCGGAATACAGGAGTGGTTGGGAATGAGGCATGGAGGGTCACTTGAAATCACAAACTCCATGTTTTGTTGTATTTTGCATAATCCTTCAAGTGATGCTAAGTCTAAAAATGAAAGATGTAAGTAAGCTTCAATACCTGGATCCGACCCAAACTTATAAACATAAAAGGATATCCAAGGTCTACCAGAGTCAAGCCTGATATGTACGGCACCATCATTTCCTTAATAAATAGATAAAACCATATAAAGGAACTGAGTTTTTGCCACAAACTCATTTTTTAAATGCTTATATCTTTGCAAAAGATCGAAAAAATCATTTGATTCTCAATTCAGAGAACAAAAACTTAAAAAAACTTACTTTAACCATATCCCTGCCGGGGTACTTGAAAACCAGGATACCCTGGGGGGGGTGAATTTGCCCCCCTCCTCCCGCCCCTCTAGATTCCATGTTAAATGTCAAAATATGACAAACGATACATCATTGGAAAGCTATTTTGCTCTACTATTAGAATATGAAAAAAAATTTGCATATTTTCCAAAATTGGATTTTTTTTGCAAAATCTAGTTATGTAGTAAAATTTTTTGCAAAAAATTTCCAAAAATTTATAAAATATACATTTTTGAAAAGCCCTTGACCATGCCGTTTAAAATATGCAAAAAAAATTGCTGGGCTTTCCAAAAAGCTAAAAATTATCAAAATCTGACGACTGAAAGTGGGACCCCCCCCCCCCCCTGCAGGAATAATGTTAAAATTCATTCAAAATCAAAAAAAAATTATAATTTTAAATAACCGAAAATGTTTCTTTGAAACTTAAATTAATCATTACACAAATCAAGGTACTAAGGCAAGGAAAGTTAATTTTGGTATACTCTGCGTACATATTGAAACCAGTTCTCTCTGGGCGGAATTTATAAACAAGAATAGATGCATCATTGTTCATCTAGTATCCGAGGAAGATAAAAGCATTTTATCTTGATAATTTTGAAAATTCACATTATAGTTTCCTATGACCAGAATATTTCATAGATTATTTTTGTGAAAATGGATTCCATGTCAGGCTGTGACATCCGTCTTGTGTTTACTTTTCCGCCCAAAGACAGTACACTGCAGTACAAAAAATGCGTACACCTCTGAAATAACTTTCCTTGCATTAGTACCTTGACACAAATGATCTTTAAAATTAAGTAAAAAATCTAAAAATATTACCTTAAATAATTGAGTCAAAAATTAAATTAAATATCCTTAAATTGTTTACAGAATGAGAACCTTAAACTTAAAAAGAAAGAAAGCTTCAAAAATTTTACCTTGAAACTTAAAAAGGAACATAGAGGCACAGAGGGTAAAAGATCCACTTGGGGGAGGAATAGGGTTATCACCAGCTAAGGTTAAATAGTTCAACTCAGGGCCTAAATATTTTATTTTATTTTACTTATGCGTAAAATAACAACTGGAGGAGCTATGTGGTAGCAAACTCGTTCCAGAAATGTTGCATAAAGGAACTGAGTCATTGGCACAAACACTGATTTTAAAATCCCTATATCTTTACCACCCAATGTCGTAGAACTTAGATATTTCAAATTATGACTTCTTTTATATCAAGTAAACTAAGTTAGAAATATCAAAGATTTACATCATCAGGTTGTAGAGATATTGGTATTAGAAAATTCAGATTTTTAACAAAAACTCAATTTTCTTGACTCTGGTTCGCGTTCTATCTAGTATGCAGTGATAATTTTGTAATTTTTCTAAAAAACAGTAAAAACATTATCTTTACCATTTTCAAATTTAAAAATCTGCGAAAAAATGCCTTGAGCACAACTAGCGACAATTATCCACCTAGCGGTGGCAAATCTAGCGGCAAGCATGGTTCAACCACGACTGGTAAAATTTGCTTCGAATTAAATAACAGTAAATATCCAACATTAGATATAAAAGAAGACATCAAAATTATTTATTAAATTTTTTTTTTTTTAAATAGTCAACCAAAACGAAAACAAAAAATTTGGTATAAAAAAAATAATTTTACATTTATAATTTAATTCTGTAATCGTAATTATTTGTTAATACAAATTTGTAGTGACAAATATGTTTACACATAATACTTATAAAATAAATGGGTTTGATAAGTGAAAGAGAAAGAACTAACACAATTAGGGAGGGGGTGCAGAGGCGCCATGATCCCCGCAAAAATGATCTCCGAACCTCAGGATTTGCAGAATTACCTTACAATTTAAGGAATTTGTGAAATTTAGAAAAACAAAATACAAGCCTTTAATCTCAATTAAAATTCAATTTTAAATACAAAATGTTAATGTATCATTCTGAACTATTTCATCATGTTGAGAATTTTTTAAAAAAAGGTTCTTGGTGGAAATAAAAGCCAAATATTTTTTATTGGAGCCAAAATGCGGGGCGTGGAGACAGAATGGCGGGAGGCTTGGTGACGTCACTGAGGCTGGGAGACCAGTTTTGCGGGGCCGGGAGGTATTTCTGCAAATCCTGAGGTTCGGAGATCATTTTTGCGGGGATCATGGCGCCTCTGCACCCCCTCCCTCACACAATGAATGAAACAAATAAGCATATAAATGATAAAGAAAAATTTATAGAAGTCTAGTCTATATAACAAAAATATATATTTGGCTTATCTATTATCAGGATTTTTTTATCTGATAAACATTAAAACAAATGGGCCAATCATGTCAAATCTTTTACTATGATAATTGCCTCAAAATATCTTAGAGTTTTCCAAAGTTTTATTGAAACCTAGAAAGTCATTTGTTTTGTTTAATGCCTTTCAATTAAAAGTTTGGTCAAGATGGGGTAGGTCACGTGACCTTCCAATTCAAGATGGGGTAGGTCACGTGACCTTCCAATTCAATATGGGGTAGGTCACGTGACCTTCCAATTCAAGATGGGGTAGGTCACATGACCTTCCAATTCAAGATGGGGTAGGTCACGTGACCCTCCAATTCAAGATGGGGTAGGTCTAATTCACAATGCTACATGTAGCTTTATGAATAAAGAAGCACTTGAAATGTTAGCTACTTACCAGCTGTAAGTTTATAGTTTCTTGTAAATACTTCTACATTATTATATAAGACAATTACAATTTTCAAGTAGGTTTGTTAATCTTTTTTAAAAAGGATTTTTAAAACAGTCGTTTTACGTTTCGTTTTTTTCTAAAAATAATCGATTTGTTTTTAGAAAGTTTTAAATTTTTTTTAGAAAGATAAGTTTGTTGTCTGATCAAAGGTTTTTTAAAGTAAACTAATTGTTTTCTAGTTTTTGGTTTTCTTATGTAAGGGTTTTTCAACGAAGTAATGTATTTAGCCTAAAAAAGGTCATTAACGATCATTAACTATTGTTAATGATCGTCTAACATTAAAAAACGACCTATACCTTCGTAAATGAAACGACAAACTAATGCTAAAAAAACGACTTATTCGTTTTTTGATTTTAAAAAATGGTCTTTTTCTAAATTATCGTTTATAAAAAAGACCATTTTGTTTTTTGCTTTTTCTTTCTTGTTTTTAAAATGAAACGATCTTTTTTTTGAAAAAAAGTGAAAGCGATCCATCCCTAAATACAAGAGGGGTGGGGGTTTCTACATCCTACAAAAAAAATTCAAAACATTTGTGAACGATGGTGTCATTCAGAAAAATTGCCAAACAATTTTGATCGTTTAAAGGAAATTTTTAATAATCGTTTTTTTAAATTAACAAAAAAACAAAGTTCTCATTTTTTGTATCAGTCAGATCGTTAACAAACAAAGTTTTTACTGGTTGAACAATTTTTAGAATGAACTATCCTTTTCTTACTGAACAAACAATTCAATTGAACAATCGTTCACTAGGAAAATAAACAAAATAAGATAAAATAAAAGAAATATCAAAGTGCTAACAAAACTCTTAATTGCACAGAAACAAAACAAAAACCATTTTTAGATATTTTAATTCAGAAACTAAGTGTAAAAAACAAATAACTTAAATCTATTGACAAATTGGCAAAAAAGTAACAAAAAGTGCCTACCTAGGCTACATATAATTTCCTATAAACGTTTTTTTTATTTCAAGAAATAAGTATCTAGGTAAGTTGTTTTCTTTAAAAATAGATAGTTATTGATATTAAGACATTCATCATTAAAGTTAAACATTTTTTTTTTATTTTACAATGGCGGTCAGCTTCTCACTCAACTCCCAGAGTCTTTTCCCATCTGCTCTGGAGAGAGCCTGAGGTGCAGCAATCTTTTCCCTTAACAGATATAGTTGAATATAACATAATATTATTATATTATAATAATAATATTTTTACATAATAACAAATAACAGCATGCAATACACAAACTGCTCATAAGCTCTCAATAGGCTAGGCTAACAAGGCCTGTAGTTGTACCAGCACGACTGCTCATAAGCTCTCAATAGGCTAGGCTAACAAGGCCTGTAGTTGTACCAGCACGACTGCTACATTGCCACAAAAGGTTTTTTACTGTCATCTATAGGCCACTTATTGCCAAAGAGAATAGAATATATATTAGAGGGGAATTTACTAGAAAAAAGTGTAAAACGGCCATTTTGTTGTACTGTTTCCATACTGCAGGTGTACTTCACATATTTATGCTATATAACCTTTTAGACCCTGGAATATCATTTTATAGAAAATCTAAAATTAATGTTAAAAGAAAACCAAATTATGAAATAGGCTGGTTTCTTAATTGACCAATGATCATTTCACTTTACAAACGATGATTTTCCGTTATAACTATAAATCAAATGATGTTTTTATTCACCTAATTCATCATAAAGTTTATTTAACATCTTTAAAAAATACGAAATTGAAATGAAAAATCTAGGGAACATACTGTATTAATGTACTCTACTGCATATAATTTGTGAACATTTACATGATTTGTACACTTTGAACTCCCTTTCAGGCTGAAAGGGACTGAAAAAAATCATACCGAGAGATTCTCTAAATTCCCCTCTAATATATACTCTATTCTCTATGCTTATTGCATATAATACCCATACAGGGGTTAAGTTTTACAATTTTTAAAAACAAATAATCTAACTTTTCAGACTTTCTTTTAAGTTTTTCCCTCTAAATAACGGAATTATTAAGATGCATTTTCATAGGTCATGTTAATTAGAAATAATACTTGTGAATTTAAATATGTATCTTAAGGATTTTCTCTGTCATTTTTCAGATAGATATATTACTGACTAACTGAAGGGCTCGGCATTGCCCATGGAAAAAAAAAATAAAAAAAATTTCAGCCCATTCGGTCCAGCCGTTTGTTTGTTTTATTATATAGATAGATGATAACAGTTTCAGTATTTTTAATTAACCATATCCTAATTGGGCTTTTTTTGGTCTAATGTAGATAAAATTGAGATAAAGGAAGTGTTGTGAACGACCCTAGTCAAAATTTTGATTTTGACCAACTATTTGACCATCCTCTACCTTACACTTTGCATCAAAATAGAAGAAAAACTACCCCAACCCTCTTATGTGCTAGAGTTAAGAGAAAGAGCTACAACCATTGTTCTGTTGTTTTTTAGTAAAAGAAATCTTTGTTTTTACCTGCAATCACTGTAATATCTTCCAGTGTGATTCTCAATAGATTCATCCAAACAACAGAAAAGACTAGTTTGAGCTCCACTTTCAACAGTCTTCACGCATATAGATTTAAACATAATTTGTTACACCTCTTATCAAAAGAAATGTTTGTAATTCTGTAATTTGTAATTTTTAATATAATGATAGATTTTTTGTCAATTTGTAAGAAAAAGTTAAACTAAATGTGATTTCCTTAAAAAATGGAGTTATTAAGTTGTTCAGTAAAGTTCCAATAATTGGTTTATCCCCCAAGTGCCGCCATAGATCCGTAGCAATCACTCCTGGGTGAAGAGAATATGTATTGATACCATGTTCAGCCTCTCTTATACCAAGTTCATTTGAGAAAAGGATGTTGGCAAGCTTAGATTGTCTGTAAGCTAACATTGGTAGATATGTGGTCTTCTTATCTTCATAGTTAATATCCTCCCAGTTAATCATTCCTGGGAACAAATTTAATTAATTTGAGCTACGTTGCTGAAGTACTTACTGCTAGTTTATACTTTTAACCACCGATTCAAATATGAAGATTAAAGAGGAATATGACTTGGTGATTCAATTCAGAACTGTTAGTAAGCTGTTCAAATTCATTAAATTGTTTCCCTGAGGTGTGCGCTATTGAACTAACAGTAACAACTCTGGTGCCTGGGCCACCTTTACGCAGTAACGGAAGGAGTAGATTTGTAAGCAGGAAATGCCCAAAATGATTTGTTCCTATCTGCATCTCAAGTCCGTCTTCTGTTCTTGATAGAGGGCATGCCATTACTCCAGCATTATTGAGGAGAATATCAATTTTATCCAGTATTACATTTAATTTTGATGCACATTCTCTAATTCTGTTAAAGCTGCTGAGGTCCATCTTTTCCACAATAATCTCTCCTCCTTCCCCTCTTATTTCTCTAGCTGCGGCTTCTCCTCGTTCTAAGCTCCGAACCAACATGATTACTTTAGCACCTCTTCTACTCAGCTCCTTAGCACACTCCTTTCCAATACCAGTGTTTGCTCCAGTTATAACAACAACCTTACCATCAAGCCTTCTTTTGGATAAACACTTAGGTCCTTGCATCCAGGCCTTTAAGCAGCTTAAACCAAAACCCACTATAGCGATAAAAATTGAAACTTTTGAAAGAAAAGCCATCATATTTTCAGGAAACTGGAGTTTCAGCTGTTTGAATGAAGTTGTAGTTGAATACTGACTACTAAGTGATAGAGATAAATTCTTATCTTTAAAAAAAGAGAAATATTGAATAGGTGTACAACTGTGCAATTTTCAAGCAAATGTAAGATTTACAAATTGTCTCTTTCAAACAGTTGTCTCTGCTGAAGAGTTGTAGCTAGGGATGGATCGTTTTTAGCTTTTTTCTTTTGAAAACCACCATGAAAAAACGAAAAACACAACAATTGTTAATTTTTCAAAAACAGTCGTTTTCTAAAGCGATAGTTTTTAGAACGGACCTTCATTAAAGACTGTTAATGACCGTTAAACAACAACCCTTTGTTAACAACTGTTAACAACAAAACTTTGTTAATAACCTTTAACGACGACCACTCCTTAAAGACTGTTAACGACCTTTTAAAAGAAAATACATTTTTTTGTAGGAAAATCCAAGGTCAAGTTGTTTGTTTCGATACAAAAAACATTTACTACAACATTCATAACCTTATCTTTCTGAAGAAAAAAAACATTGAAATTGATTTTCATGAAACTCAGATTCATAAGCGAAATATATTTTTTAAACGATCGTTTTTAAAAAAAGAACATTCGTTTTTAGAAAAAAGAACAATCGTTTATAGAAAAAAATAAAAACGAAACAAAGAACTTTCGTTTTTTCGTTCGTTTTTTAAAAAGATTTTCACCCCTAGTTGCATCTGATTAAAAATGTTCCCCAAGATATTAGGTGGCTCTAGGGTAGGGTGCCCCTGAAAAAAATTAATGTAAAACTAGCTCAAATACAAAATTTTAGTATTTTAAAATATTTTTCCTACATGGCCCAGCCATTTTAGTGTTTTCCCCGCCATTTTTGGCCTGTTTTAACTTTTTAAAACCATTCTCGGCTTAATACGGTTAACTCTGTCAATTTTCAAGGGAATTTAAAGAGTGAAACCATTTTGGAAATCCTTTAATTTGGTTAAAACGATATTTGACAAATATTTTTTTGTTTTTTGATGGTCAAATATTTAGAAAAAGATGAAAATTCACGTCTTTTTAACACCTTTGTTAGCTCCATCTGGGAGTGGTTAACGCAATTTTTTTTCAAACTAAACACAATGCTATTTGAAAATATACTTTGACAGTGCAGAAATGGCCTAAAAAATGTTTTATTTACAAGTGTAGAGGATAATGTGTAAGGTATTGGCCAAAAAATCCATTAAAAAAACCTGTTTTCTCCTCAACTCCTCTTGCTTGGCCGAACGATATTTGTTAAAAAAAAATTTCTTTATGGTGTTATGGCAAAGGCTGTCTAAATTGTTGGTATAAAGTCTTTTTTAATATTTAGTTGAGTGAAGACGACATTAAATTAGTTTTTTAAGTCCCTTTTTGAGAATGGTGGAAGATAGTAGCAGCATATATTTCTCGCTCCGGTGTCTAACGGAGAAGACTGGAGTAAAAATATTCACGCAACCTTCCACAGGAGGAGAAAAAATAACCCATGTATAACTTTCCCTTTTCTTCTGTATATTTAGACCGTTAAACTGTTAGATTCATTTTACCCCCCATACTGTGTGATTTTCTTCTCTCCCCCGCCCCCCCATGATTAAAATGAGTAACATTTTTAACGGAGACCCCCAAGTTTCTATTGGAGTTTCCAAAAAAAAAGATTAAAAGTTTAATGCACTTTTTGGTATAAAACAAATATAGTATGGTCAAAACCAGGACCGCAAAGGTTGGCCCACCTCGGATATTCAAATGTACACCGGGTGTACGTGTGTATTTATTAAAAAGTTGTCTCCATAAAAAGTTACTTCTAATTATTAGGCGTTTTCATGGAAAAGCTATCTCAGAGGAAAAATTGTCATTGTTAAAAATTGTCTGCAGTTATAATCTTTAAATGTGCCAGAAGCATTTTCAGAAACATATCCGTCAATACTGTTACAAATTAAAGCTTTAATCTGCATTAAAAGATTGAATAAAGATTTATCTGTGCAATTTTCAAGCAGTTGTAAGATTCACAAGCTTTCTCTGATAAAGAGCTCTGATCTAGACGCACAGGGTGTCCCACGAAACATGACAGTTGGTGAATAGTTTAGAATGTCTTCTTCCATAATTTGTTAAGTTGTTTGATACCAATTAGACAATACAAATATTATATGGGAGTCATGTTATAGTAAAATTGGCTTGAAAGTAAAATAAATTTCGGAAAAAGATATTTTTAACTTAATAAACTGCAAAAAGCCTTTAATATCTAATAAAGTATATGGAAGACGACTTTCATAACTGTTTACCAACTTTCATGTTTCGTGGGACACCCTGTATCTAAAGTTTTTTTCCAACAATAGGTTCCCCCAAATATTAGGTGGCTCTAGGGCTGAGCGTCGGTAACAGAGTACAGGCATTCTTTCAATGAATGAACAGGAACTAATATATCTTTGATGAAAAATTGTAATTGATAAAAGTTGTCGTATACAGCTATAACAACCAGAATGAAAGTCGTCTTTATTAAGTTTTTGAATTGGAACATTGCTAATGATTATATAACTTGTAATAATAAAAATAAAATTGTACCCTGATCAGGCCCGTAGCCAGGATTTGACCAGGGGGGGTGCAATATGACACGCCGCACACGAAACATTTTTTTGGGGGGTTTTTAATGATTTTTAAACAATGTTTGGTTTGGTTTTACAGTGGTATATGGTTGTATGGTTGTTAGATTGTCAATGCACACTATAAAGGCTAACCTTTTTAACAAGTGTATTTGAGCTTTTAAGTTTTAAGGGATCGTACTGCTTAACTAACAAAGTCAAGTATGGGAGTGAGATTAAAACCAGCAAAATGTAGATCATTTTCCATCAAATAAGGCGATTCTAAAGAAACTGCATAAGTTCTGCAAACCCAGTGTTAGTTTCAAAGCAATGTGTGAAAATCTATCAAGCCTTGGAGTACTGTCATCATATCACATGTTTAGAAAACAAAAAACACTAGACTTGGACCAAGAAACCCCTTTTCTGAAAACCACCTCTGAATAGCTAAACTATACTCATGCTAAAAGTCTTGTATGGCACCTGTTTTTTGGCAAACCCTGTCAATTATAAAATGCGATATCCATAGAAAAGAGTATTAGTTTGTAAACTTTTATATTGTTTAATGTAATTTTGCTTTAGACAAATATAAATGATAAATATAATAATATTGACTTTGCAATATGAAAATGATATGATCTTATTTCTTATTCATTTTTAAAAAAAAGCTTTTCAAGGGTCAAGGGGATGCTATGGAAACGCCTCACCACGGAAATGCCTCAAAAAACAGACTCATAAAACATAGCACACCGGTCAAGGGGGGGGGGGCTAAAAGTCTGAAAGTGTAAAGGAGATTACCATTTCATTTCCATGGGACTCTATCATAAATCATACTGTTTTAATTTAACTTAAACAACTATTAAATGACTATGAGTAAATTTTGATGTTGTGTTAGATTTTAGCAACAGAGAGTACTGATCAACTGTTAGTTAAACTGCGATAGGTCACAGGAGAGACATAACTCAGGGGATGAGTTGAGAGAGTACACAAAAACTCCGTCACACTTTTAATGAGTAACGCACAAATAGATTATAATTTGGTTTGGAAATCAATTCTTACTCGGGCTATATAATTTATAACTAGATTTTAGAAACTTATGAAAACGATTTCTTTTATATGGGACTAGGGGGGGGGGGTGCAAATTCGTCATTGCACCCCTCTTTCAGAAGAAAGGGGGGTGCTCCTGAACCCTTGCACCCCCCCCCCTGGCTACGGGCCTGACCCTGATAATTTGCAGAGACATGTTTGTCATTGTTACAGATTAAAGCTTTAAAAGATATTTGTCTTTAAACAGGTTAGGATCATCTGAGCCGGCGATTTAAAAAATCACGAAAATACGACTCAAGCCTAAGCTGTCGTCGGGCCTTATTTACGGCTTGAGCTTTCGAATTCAAGCTGCTCATCTTATTTTCCACAGAGTTGAGTTCAAAAAACCGGTTTAATATTCTATTTTGCGTAATTTCATGGTAGGAATCATTCCGGGTTTCTATGAGAACAAGACGCAACATTGAGCCTTATTCTCCACTGAAACCAACCAAGGTCTATTTTCATTGGGCCTAACTCCTTAAGTCCAGCTGAAGATCCATGCAGCTATCAATCACGTGACACAAGCTGTAGTCAGAGCTGAGTCTAAGATTGGGTCTTAAAGCTGGGTTTAAGGAATTACGACCCGAGCCGAAGTTTTTAAATTGCAGGCTCTGATGAAAGATCGCTCAAATGGTAATAATTTCTTGCCAGAGTCATGTTTGATGAAAGTCCATGTAGTACAATGTATATAGATTCCACTGATATAATATCTTTATCAGCACAGATTGAACAAATGAAAATAATTATGCTTGAAATCCGGATTAAAGCGTGTCGGTGACACGCCCAGAATAAAGTTTGACACGCCTACTCTGACTATTCAAATCATCTTACTCCGCCCCCCAGTTGTACAATATGGGTGTAATTAATTAAATGGGGGTTAGGTAGAAAAACAACTCAAACAATAGAGATAGAAGAATTCTGAATGCGGAATGCATGCAATGATTTTAATTAACAAGTTGACTTTGCAACAGTATGCATTGGTTATTGGTGGGGTACACCAAGGTTAAAATTCAAGGAAAGTTAATTGCAGTTAAGCGTATACTCTGCGTACAGCGTACATATTGAAACCAGTTCTCTCTAGGCGGAATTTGTAAACAAGAATAGATGCATCAGTGTTCGTTTAGTATCCGAGGAGGATAAAAGCATTTAATTTTGATATTTTTGATAATAATAGTTCATTGATCTTCTATGTGAAAGATGGATCCCATGTCAGACTCTGAGATCCATCTTGTGTTTACATCACCGCCCAGAGAGAGTACACTGTAGTACAAAAGATACCTACACCTCTGACATAACTTTCCTTGCATTATAACCTTGGGCTACACAATCCATAATTTTTTTTAATTTTAAATTTGTTATCCTTAGAACTGGTTTATTTCAATTTTATAACTTCAAACAAATTTAAAATCATCCATTTTCTGAAGAAAATGAGCGAAGAGTTTTATTTAAAGATTATTACACACTTTTACATTTTTGCCAAATATTTCTAATATTCTTGGATAACATCTGAGGCCCAAACTCGAATATAATCGACCGCCATGGCAGCTCCTTCACCGTTGTTTTCCTCCATGTTCCAGGTCGGCAACCAACTGCTCTATAATTAGGAATGTGCGTCGTGTTGAAATCTCGTTTCAAATATTTAAGGTTTTTTGGCTTTTCAGGCGCTCACCAAGAATCAGAAATGCTTGACCAAATAGCAATTTTTCAAAATGATTTTTCGAAACAATTTTTTTTAATTGTTTCGATATTATCATAGTCAAAGAAAGAAATTTGTATAATACAATAAAACCAAACTGATCAAGCATTTTGAAACAGGAACAGAATATCAGATTTTTCTGGAGCCTCTTAAAAGTTTAAAATTTTAAATATTTGAAAACGGAATACGCCCATCAGTCAGTATATATTTATAATATTAAAATAATTAGAACTAGGGCTAGGCCACATTCCGTTAAAAAAAGTAGGATTTTTTAAATTATCGGAAGAGTCCGTGAACGAACGGCAACACGAATAATTTTGAAATCGTTAACGAACTAAATGAATCCGGAAAAATTATTTCCTTAATATTGTCATCAAAAGAATTTATGAAATGTCGTCTTGACAATTTTTCAATGGGTTTTATGCTAAATTTTACGTGAATCTTAGTAATTGCCAAAATAAATAAATAGCAATGAGTATGCGGGTATTGTTTTATAGAGCTCCAAATAATCATTTAATTAAAAAACTAAATATCTGCAACATTCCATTATCAGAAAGGGAAGAATACGACATTTGATGAATTCTTTCGATGTATGGCTTATTTAGGGTTTAACTGTATTATATACTTTTTTGTCAGTCTGGGTGTCTGTTTGTTTGTATCCAATAAATGTCAAAACGGCTGAACCGATTGGGCCGAAATTTTGTGTGGAACCACACATGTCTTTAGGGAAGGTTTATGGATGATCAAAAGTTCAAAATATAACCTCCAAGAAAATTCGATTTTCATAAAATTTTGAAAATCCACAACAAAAAATTTATAAATATGCGAACTTTTTTGTTATTGTTTTAAGAGTACATACAAAGAGAAAATGTTCACAATTGAAACTGAAAGCCTAGTACCCATATATAAATGCATTTCTTGCAATCGAACTTTTTGTCTCATTTTACTTCATGAAATGCTGAGGGTCTTGTTCCTTCAAAACTATATTCAAAAATACTTTTGCATTGAAAAAATCACCCATAGTTGACAGATATTACCGTCAAAACGGCTAAACCGATAAGGCCCAAATTTTGTTTAGGACCTCATATGTCTCCATGGAAGGTTCATAGATGCTCAGATTTTGGTAAAATTTTGAAAATCCACAAAAAAATATAAGGAAATATGCTAACTTTTTTTGTATTGTGTTCTATAATGTAAAAAGGAAGATGCTCACAGATAGATAGAATAATAGTATAGAATAAGAGCCTAAAAGCCTAGTATTCATAATTCAACTTACTACACTGTAGCGTTGAATTTACCTTTGCATTGAAGAAATCTCCCATAGCTGTCGGACTTTCGTTACTCCAGGGTTTACCGGAACCACCAGTTGCCTCGTCAGGGAAATAGCCTCCGGTTCCTCCAACTAGGAATGTTTTGGGGTCACTTTTATCACATTTCAGGTATATTTTGGCTTAAAAAGTGGTGTAAAGGAATCTGAGATGTTTAAGAAACAACAAAATACAATTTTCACTTAGTTTGCTTTTATTACAAAGAGAAAAAATTGTCTCGTCGCTATCGATGTTAATTAACCAAAACGATTTTTAAGAAACGATTTTGAAATAGGTTAAACATCTCAAATTCTTGCAGAGCCTTTTAAAGATTCTAAAACCTTGAATGCATGAAAACGAATCTCAAAACTTACAACTTTTAATTATTATTCTTTGTCATTGTGTTAGGAATAGTGATGTGCATTAAGTTGGGTCGTTTTTGCCTTTATTTTCTTTGACAAATGCAAGAAGGACAATTGTTATTTAAATTATGTCACTCCGTCTGTATCACGTGACCAGTATACCGCACTGCTATTGGTTGGAGTTCTAGTCACAGGATACAGACGTATAAATACTATTATTAATTATATCTTTTATAAATGAAAAATTTATAAAATTCAAATGATAGGAGTAAGCCTAAGTTTATTAGACTCCTCTGGGATATTGTTGTTTTTAGATTGGTTGTGTTTTTGCTGAATAATTCGTTTAAACCTACTATTTTTATACAAAATCTTTTATATGGAGATTTTCATATAAATTTGACACAGTTTTCTATTGATTTCTCTGGACAGGAACATTAAATAGAACTCTTCTGGGTCCCGATCAACTCCTAAAATGCTTAGGTTTCAGCCTTTACCCCCTTTCAGAGACAATGATGGATATTATTTTACAGGGTGTCCCAAAAAAATGGGAATTAAGTGACGAATTCTATATCGTCTTTATAAATAATTCTTCGATTTAGTATAGTAATACTTACTGGGAAAGCTGTAAGAGTTTCGTCTGCTATGTTTACATTTTGTTTGTTTATGTTTTAACTGCATATGGTTGTACTTAGTAAAACAAGAAAATTGCAGTATACAAACAGAGTAAACTTGTCCGTCTTCACTATTCATCTTGCGGAGACATTATAGACACATCTTTACAGTCTTTTACCTTTTTCATAAAAATAAACTCTAGCAGACATAATAATATTATGGCTTTTGAAATTAGGTATTACAGTGCTAATTCATAACAAAGACGATATCGAATTCGGCATGAATTCCCATGTTTTTTGGGACACCCTGTACTTTAACACTTCTTACACGACAAGACCTTCTTCCGTGTTACTCAGAAAAGGTTTTAAAGGGTACACCATTGTGAATCCTGAAACTTGTTTTTATGGAGAGTCACATGAAAGTACGGTTCACAGTCTCTTTACTTTTGTAATCATATNCTATGGGATTTAGAAAATTAAATTTATACAATTATGCGTCGAAACAATTTGCAATTTGCACGCAATATGTTTGCTAAATATAATTTAATCAAACGCAAATTTTAACTATGCAATCATAAGCATATTGAATTTTAAACCTGTAGCCATTTATAGGACTTTTTACAAATGCTACACTAAATATTGTTATAGTGGGATTATACCAGATTATACCTGCCAAATTTAGTACTAGGAAGAACTGTTCATCGAAAGGTGCAATCCTCTTATTTCTAGAAATACATGATTATTATAAATTCATTGCTCACATGATTATATATAGATATATATATATCTCTGAGGGAGCAAGCTCAACACCCAGATTATCTTGTAGATAGGGAAACTCTTAGGAGTAGAGATTGGAATCGTCTAGATGGGTATTGGTTTTAAGAGGAGATGGAAATCGTTTAAAGTTGTTTTGAGTAGAGATGGGAACCGTTTTGAGTAGAGATGGGAACCGTTTTGAGTAGAGATGGGAACCGTTTTGATTAGAGATGGGAACCGTTTTGAGTAGAATGGGAACCGTTTTCAGTAGAGATGGGAACCGTTTTGAGTAGAGATGGGAACCGTTTTGAGTAGAGATGGGAACCGTTTTAAGTAGAGATGGGAACCGTTTTAAGTAGAGATGGGAAATGTTTTGAGTAGAGATGGGAATTGTTTTGATCAGAAATGGGAACCCTTTTTCCACCAGACATGAGAAAATTATGATTAAAAAAAAAGAATTAGAATTATCTTTTCTTTGTGGTGCACATTAATAATTTTAGCGTCTGTCTTTCCAAAAACAATCCATATTGAATTTTCTTTTACAGTTTTTAATTGAAAACTGCTGTGCATTTAACTTAAGTTTTTACCTGCCCCAGTTCCATGGGTTTAACATGTCTGTATCCTGCCATTCTCCCAACTCCCAGAACCCACCCTCTGGAGGCTCAATCTTACAATACTCAACTCCATCAATACTAAACACAGATGTTCTAATCATGTTCTATATAGTGGCTCAATCTTACAATACTCAACTCCATCAATACTAAACACAGATGTTCTAATCATGTTCTATTTAGAGGTTCATTCTTACAATATCCTACTCCATCAATACTAAACACAGATGTTCTAATCATGTTCTATATAGAGGTTCATTCTTACAATATCCTACTCCATCAATACTAAACACAGATGTTCTAATCATGTTCTATTATAGAGGCTCAATTTTACAATATCCTACTCCATCTATACTTAACTTAGATGATCTAATCATTGTATCTGTATTCTGAAATATAGACTGATGTCATAATATAAATCTGTGATTAAAATAGTTTGTTTGCCACCAATGACGGTTCCAATATGAAATGATAATGGTCATTGGGCTAAAACTGCCAGTAATGAATAAATTTCCCCGGATCAAGACATTAAAAATTCATAAGCTTTAAGGTTTGTACACTGAACATGGCATTCAGTTACTTGGTCCTTAAATCCAGATAAAGGCAAGTCTAAATTTGAATTTTCTGGACTTAAATCCAGAAATGTAGAAGTCCAGTTTAAAATTAAATAATCCAACCTGAAAGCCAGGTACGTAGGAGTCCAGTCTAGACCAAAAGTATGGAAATCTTCGTGAAAGCCTGCTCCTCCAGGTAGATTGTAATCACAGTGAGCCTAGATATATATTTTTGGAATTATTTCATTCATTTCTTTATATGCAGTCTACCATAAATAAGAATAAAAAAACATTGGCATAGAAATAAATAAGCTGTCTTTTCTGAGCTTGTTTTGCTGCTTTAATAGATTTTACAAAATAGATTATCAAGTATACAATAGGTGGCAACAGTGTCAAAGATAAGAAGGAAAATGAAATTTGATCACATTAGTTGACATGTTTTTCAAGATTAAATAAAAAAGTGTAAAGAAAATAAAGAACACATAAAATTGCACCTATTTTACTTTAAGATAAACACTTTATTCTAAAATTATCACTATTATTAATAAATAGTCTAACCAAAAAGATTTTAGTACAATAGATGGCAACGTAGAATTTGTACACTCTCAGTACAGTTGTATTCTGACGTTTCAACCACAAGTGTCAATTCAGTTTTTGTGTCCGACAAAATCATCAATAATAGTGATAATTTTAGAATAAAGTGCTTTTCTTACAGTAAAATAAGTGCCATTTTATGTGTTCTTTAGTTTCTGTTTTTACACTTTTTTATTTAATCTTGGAAAACATGTCAACTAATTTGAGAAAATTTCGTTTTCCTTGTTATATTTGACACTTGTGACGTTGTGTATAATTGGTCCTTTTTTCTGTTGCCACGTTGCCACCTATTGTACTTGATAATCTATTTGAGTCGGACACAGAAACTGAGTTGACACTTGTGACGTAAGAATACAGATGTACTGAGCGTGTACAAATTCTACGTTGCCATCTATTGTACTAGAATCTATTTGGATTTTACCTTTTCATACCCATTGAGCGGATATCCTCCACCAAACTGGAGTGTTGAACCAAACTGGTTTACTCCAATATCCATCCCATCCTTAGAGTACTCCAGGTTTCCCCTGCTCTCCATTATATCTGGGATAGTTATAAATCAAAATCACAAAGCATTTTTACAATTGGAAATTTTCCTAAAGAATTATTTTAAAATGGCTGGTTCCGGAATGTTAAAAAATCAAAGCTTGCTGGCCTTGGCAGGTGTTGGTTCAGATCATGGTTAGGGGGCCAAATTTAATGAATTTGAGCTACGCTGCTAACTACCAACTGAAGGTTCAAATTTGCACCACAGTGTCAAAGTTAAATATCAAGATGGATTTGAATCGGTGATTCAAATTTGAACCAGCAATAGACCATTCTTACTTATCTTAAAGCAAAAATATCAAGGTCTACTATACCTATTTCTCCACTTGCTGGCCATTGTCCATATTTAGATTTGACCGGTAGAAGCCAAATGGCTGGCCACAACCAATCTCCAACAGGCAGACGGGCTCTGGCCTCAACCTAGATTTTTAATTTCCATTGATAAATCATGCCTAATCTTGAAGTAGAAAATCATTCCCAAGCGGCAACTTCCCAAGGGTATTTTCCCAAGTGACAACTTCCCAAATGTGTAATTTCCCAAGCGGCAACTTCCCAAATCTGACTTAGCATCAGTGCTCTGCCCTCTAGCCCATACTAGCCTCAGGGCTCCCCCCCCTTGCAGCCTTTGGTGCCTCAGAAAGCCAAACCGAACCTTTGGGAAATTGCCGCTTGGGCAATTGCACATTTGGGAAGATGCCTTTTGGGAAATTGTCACTTGGGAAGTCTCCCCTGGGAAAATGCCTTTAGAAAAATACTTTGTCCGATTTACAATAGTATTCTTAATTCACTGAGTAACAGTGAGGTTAGGTTAACTTTGAAGTTTGTATAGATTATATAATGTTTATATTCATAACTAAAATAAATGTTGTTACCTTTCCATACATGAAGGTGAAAGATTTAGCAGATCTGAGCCTACCAGACATTATAGGGTTGATCATGTTGGTGGGTGTTCCAACTCTATAGACAAAAAGAAATATCATAAGAATATCTTTAAGTTTTTTTATTTGATTCAGCCCTCTTTCCAATCCTGACATCACTCTTTTTTAAGACTACCAAAAGGGGGGATGATAGTTCTTTATCTTTGTGCTCAGTTAGCTGTACACTTGCAACTGTTTACTAATATTGATATACTATAGGTTAGGCCAGATTCAACTTAAAATGAACGAAATATGCAGTACGCTCTCGGTATAGTTTATGGTCTATAAAATTAGTAAAGGATAAGCGTATATCATCACTCTATACACTATAACCTCGTTGACTACGTAATGTTAGTAACTTGGTGTATGCAAAGGGTATCCTAGCCTCACTTTTTTAAGAATACTGACCACTCTCATTTAGACTAAACAACTATAAAATGTTAATGTAGATATTTTTAGTTCCTGAAACAACCATAGAAGGCGTTGCTTGTGCATTCACTGCCTGGGGACCCAGACCATACATCTAAACAAAGAAAATGAATTTTTGCCAAAAACTTATATTATTTGCGACCGGATGGTGTAAACCTCAGATGTTTCACACTTACATTATTCAATCAGAAGTTTGTTGCGAAGAGTTATGATCGAAAACGTATCAGATTTCAATCTTACGTGCGCGCAATTAACTATAGTTTAACGCGAATTTACTTTAGTTTAACGTGAATTTACTTTAGCTTAACGTGAATTTACTCTAGTTTAACGTGAATTTACTTTAGCTGAACGCGAATTTACTTTAGTTTAACGAGAATTTACTTTAATTTAACGTGAATTTACTCTAGCTTTACGTGAAATTACTTTAGTTTAACCTGAATTTACTGTAGTTTAACGTGAATTTACTTTAGTTTAAGGTGAATTTACTTTAGTTTAAGGTGAATTTACTTTTTTAAACGTGAATTTACTCTAGTTTAACGTGAATTTACATTAGCTGAACGCGAATTTACTTTAGTTTAACGTGAATTTACTTCAGTTTAACCTGAATTTACTGTAGTTTAACGTGAATTTACTCTAGTTTAACGTGAATTTACTTTAGTTTAACGAGAATTTACTTTAGTTTAACGTGAATTTACTTTTGTTAAACGTGAATTTACTCTAGTTTAACGTGAATTTACATTAGCTGAACGCGAATTTACTTTAGTTTAACGTGAATTTACTTTAGCTTATCGTGAATTTACTCTAGTTTAACGTGAATTTACTTTAGCTGAACGCGAATTTACTTTAGTTTTACGTGAATTTACTCTAGTTTAACGTGAATTTACTTTAGTTTAACCTGAATTTACTGTAGTTTAACTGAATTTACTTTAGTTTGACGTGAATCTACTTTTTTTAAACGTGAATTTACTCTAGTTTAACGTGAATTTACATTTGCTGAACGCGAATTTACTTTAGTGTAACGTGAATTTACTTCAGTTTAACGTGAAATTAATCTAGATTAACGTGAATTTACTTTAGTTTAACCTGAATTTACTGTAGTTTGACGTGAATTTACTTTAGTTTAAGGTGAATTTACTTTAGTTTAAGGTGAATTTACTTTTTTAAACGTGAATTTACTCTAGTTTAACGTGAATTTGCATTAGCTGAACGCGAATTTACTTTAGTTTAACGTGAATTTACTTCAGTTTAACCTGAATTTACTGTAGTTTAACGTGAATTTACTTTAGTTTAGCCTGAATTTACTGTAGTTTAACGTGAATTTACTTTAGTTTAACGTGAATTTACTTTAGTTTAACGTGAATTTAAAGCAGGCTTACTGTTACCCCTACTACAAATTTAATATTTAAAGCATGCAAATTTACAAATATGATTATGAACTTAGGAACGCATCATCTAAAGATTATCTGAGTTAGGAATTCTTGTATTGTGGATCAATTAAAATCAAAATTAAAATCAATGCTTGATATCGATCTTTAGTTAATCTGCAGATTAATTTAATCTTTATTCGATATCCCGGAGTGTGATTACACGATGTACATGCATGAAGTTGGATAAATAAGTAAAGCGATGCAAGTGATAATTTCAAGTGTTTATTTCTGTGAGTTTCTCCATTGTTACATATCAAATAAAAAATGCGCAAGTCAAATGAAAAATAACGGTTTAAAGAAACAACAACATGGATACCTAATTAATACTTGATCAGACAAAGCTTTCATGTGTATCCTTTAAATAGGGCATATGCCATGTTGCCATGGAGGGTCACTTGAAATTACGCTTACAGTACCTTTAAGCATTGATTCTCAAATTAAAAGTTCCAGTTTTGTACAGGGTGTCCCACGAAACATGACATTGAATTGAATGCGTCTTCCACATACTGTATTAGATATTAAAAACGTTTTGCAGTTTATTTCTTTAAAACATTGTTTAACTCGTATATATTTTACTGTGAAATCAATTTTACTTAATATAACTGTTATATAAAAATGAAAGTAGTCTCTTTAATATCAAACAACTTATAAAGTTATGGAAGAAGACATTTTAAACTATTCACCAACTGTCATGTTTCGTGGGACACCCTTTATATCAAGATCTATCATCCAACACAAAGTTCCCAGCTCAGGCCAGATATTCAATGGTTCTGTTTAAAGTGCAGTGTAAGTACGTCAACATGTTGCACACATTTCAAAAAACACAGCTGTGTTTCGGATTTAAAAGGAAGTCTCAAAAGGGCGTCGTATTTCCGATATATATGAAACATACAAGGAGAACCAGAACACTGTGGAATATGAAGACGACGTGGAACCAATAATTTAGTGCATTTTATTTGTTACAAAGCTAATACTTTTATTAGTAGCTTATTAGGCCAATTATTTAATGAAATGGGTCTGTTTACACTGCACAATTGCTGTGCATTATGTTCAATGGAATATTCAAGTCTTACCCTGAGTCTAAAAGTCGTCTTCCAAATCCAGAGTTTTCTGGTTCTCACTGTATTTACTTCTCTAATTCACGACAATAGAGACTATTGAACCTACCCATTATCTGTGATGTGAGAAATTCTTCTCCGAAAGCATCTTCAGTAAGTGTAGCTTTAAGAAATAGGTTTCCATCTCTTAAAAGAAGTATTTGTGAATAATTTTACTATTTTTTTTCTCCAGTGTTACCCGCACAGGTTGAAACTGTAAAGACGACCTGAAACTCTAGATATAAAGTCTTTTACCTGGAAGATATTCATCTAATGTCTAATTTAATGATTTGGCAAAGAAAAAACGAGTTTACAGGGTTACATGATTAACAGGAAACAGACAATATAGATTCCGTACAGTCATCTCTGAAGTATCATCCTTTGTAGGTAACCCTGTAGTTGAAATGATCAAAAGTTGTTAAGATCTAGGATCATAATTTCTTTTTTAAGAGACTTATTTGAGATAAGAATTAAAGGGACTGTAAGTGTAATTTCAACCTTATTCTGATCAAAAATGTGGAAGATATCGTCGTTTTTCTGTCGAATTCATACTTTATCAGGCAAGACTTGAAGGGGTACCATTGGAGGGTCACTTGAAATTACGCTTACTAGTCTTTAAGATAAAATATCTATTGTATATGATTAGACCTTGTGTAGCTGTTGGTTCGGTTGTGGGTGTAGAATTGGAATTCCCAGTTTCCTCCGCCTGTAAATACAAGCACTAGAAACTACAGTCGTCGTTGTATATATCAATACAATGAAGACAATTTTTAATTTAAATTGTGCAGCTCCTCTTACTTAAATTCTACAAGTTTGAGAAAAGCTGTTATATAATAGAAATCTATGTTCTCTTCAATAGCTCTTCATTAAGAGGAGTTATATTCATTTGACTTTTCTTTAAAATAAAAGAGGAGTTTTTTTCTATTTTGAGCTGGTTCTCAAACTTTCAAATTATAAAATTTGCTTCTAAAATTTTAAACCTGACATAAAAATTATACTGGTCGGTGCTTATAGCAATACAAGAAAAAAGACTTCTAATTAGATTCAAATGTCGTCTTCATTGTATTGATACACGAAGACGACTTTACACAAAATATGTGTTTTACCTCCTAGAGTGATTTCATTCTCCCAAGTATATTCATCAAAAAAATCAAAGTTGTCCTGAAAAAAATGTTTTATTTTTCTCTGTTTGAAAAAAACAAAGAACTCCGACTACATGGCAATATTTCAGTGTATTTGTTACAAAGCAAATATTTTTACAAGACACTTGTTAAATCACTAATTAAGCTAAATGGGTCTGTTTACATTGCACAATTGCCGTGTCCCATGCTGATTGGACTATTTAGTGTCATATTTAGAGTCTAAAAGTCGTCTTCCTATTTCAGAGTTTTCTGGTTATCACTGTATTTGAATTATTACTTATTCTAAAATATTACTCAACAGCTGAGTTTTCAAATATCCAATTTTTTTGAGCGGGGTGATGTTATGCTTCTTGGATTTTTTTTTTTTTACTTAAAAACTGTCAAGATTTCAAAACTGTACTATGTTAAAGTTTGCTTTACTAACTTTGCAATATCTTTATCATAAAAAAAAGGAAAAAATCTTTGGATCGTTTTTTGCAAAAATCTTCTGTCAAGATCCAAATTTGGCAGAGTGTAAAAATGGCATGAATGTTTGGGATAAACAATCTAAAAACATTGTATTTTTATTTACTATGCCAAATTTTGATCCTGAAAAAAATATAGGCAAAAAACGACCCTTAAACGAACCAACTACAGGCATATCACTATTTGATAACTCACAGTTCCTGTGTCTAATGTTCATTGCACTTTTAAAATTCATAACTTGAGTCTAAATGTCGTCTTTTTATTCTAGAGTGTTCTGCAGGTTCACACTGTATTCCCATAAGCAAACAAAATAATATTTCTAAATTATAATTTACCTCAAAGATAAGCTGCCCAGGTGCAAAATATTTTCCAATATTAGACTCGGTAACTGAGAGAATATCTGGGATAGTGGTCCCTGGACTGGTTGTTGTTGTACTACCTACACATCAACAGAAAAATAACTTTTTGTAAGGGTTCCGTCGTCGTGTATATATCAATACAATAAAGCGACTTTACATTTCAATTTTGATTTCTACAAAGCTTTCAAACAGGAAACTGAAACCTTTTATTCAGATAGAAGATGTAAATTAACAGCTTCTCTTTGTTAACCTGTAAACTTGTAATTTAAAAAAGTCTGCTAATGATAAAAAAACAGTAATAATAAAAGGTCGTCTTCATTGTATTGATATAATCACCGAACTTTGTATTGAAATTATAATCAGAAATGTTTTAAAATATTAAAACTGCAACTTCTTCTTCGTCTTCGAGTAATAGAAAAGATTCAATGGTTTAAACCTACGCGGCATACGGTAATTTAATGTAATTGCAGACGACATGCAAACTTAACTTAGGTGTATTTCATGTTGTTACAAAGAAAAGATTTTAAACTTTGAAGAATAACGTACTTTTGGAATGAGAACGAAAAATGACTGCTTTTGAAACAAAGAAAGAATTTGAATAATTTTTGTGGATTTCCTATGGGAATAGTTTCTCCGATTGTCCATGAGTTTTCTGTGAACTGAAACCCATGCTTATCCACTACAAGGTAATACCAGTAGTTCACTGTGTCTCCATCTACAAACAAATAGGTAAATAATAGTTGTGACAAAAAAATCGGCAACAATTGCAAGGATATCACAAAAAATCTTTTCCTTTATAAGAATTAGCCGAATATAATCGATGATGTAGGAACAACAAGAAGAAAATGAAAATCTTAAAAACCGAAATGTCAAAATATTGTAGAATTTGTCGCACTTTAATTTTTTTTTAATACTTTTTAAAAAAAGTAATGACAAAATTCTCAAAATAAAACTATTTATTTCTCAGATGGCAAAAAAATGGCATCTCCATCAAATTTGCCTGGACAAATGTGTTAAGGGTACTGAATGAATTCGAGATGTTTTCAGCGAGAGAAACATCCTCTTGATAACTGCGCTAATGAAATGAGCAAACTAAATTTTAAAAAGCCATAGAGAAATAAAAAAATTTATAATACACAGAACATCAAAAAAATCTGTATGATCAATGCTGATTGCTGATATGGGTTTAAAAGATACGGCTGTAAATTGTTTTTTTAAAAGAAATTAATACTAGTAATAATAATGATAAAAATAATAATAATAATAATAATAATAATAATAATAATAATAATAATAATAAGAGTTAAGTATAAGATCTCTGTAAGTTCTAACCTTGTAGTCGAATATTAGCCCATGAATGAGACCAAGTACCATCAGAGCTGGCAGCATCTATTTCAATATTCTCTTGTCCATAATCAACCCCAGACAGCTCCTCGTTCACGGAGAAGTGGAATCCCACATGCTCAAGACCTTCGAAATCTTTTATCCACATGCGGAACCCCATGGGTACCATCTGTTCTAGTTGTGGCCGGGGGAACTGAGGCCCCGGGGTTGTGGTTGTAGTGGTTGTGGTGGTGCTGGTGGTGGTTGTGGCAGTTGTGGTAACCTTCTGTGTGGTTGTGTCAGGTACTGGTGTTGTGGTAGGTTCATTGCCCGCGACTACACCAGATAAATCTGTTTTCTGATATCCTCCACCATTAACGAATACAAGAATCCAATAGTAAATTGTATCTCCGGCCACTACAGGAATAGCCGGGTCTTCCTTCGACCAAACACCATCGGTTGCACCCCTTAAAGAGAATGTTAGCAAAATTTTAAGTGACCCCCCATGCAATGCCAGATTTACAACATTTACCTTAATCTGATCAAAAAGTATTTGTGTCTGTTAATTTATTCATTGTTTCTTATAAGCAAGAAACCCAGCAAGAAAAAATACCAAGATCAGATGACAAAAGGTTCACAAAAACAAAATGTCCAATAACAAAACACTCAATATATATATAACACCAAAAAAAAAAAAAAAAGATTTAAATGGAAATAAACAAAAATATGCTTATTTGTAATAAATATTGTGTACCGCTATATATGTAAACCTGCACTACGTTGTACATTATTAATTATCTACGTTTGTAAAAAGCTATGTAAAACTCATATCATGATTTATCATAACTACGCTGTAAATAACTATGTAGCATGTTTAGCTTAATTACTAATTGTATATATTGACGTAAAACTGGTAATTTTATTGATTAACTTTGACTTGTTGCATAGAACCCCCAATTACATTTAGTTGGAATTAGACTCTGCTTTTATTACAGTTTGAGAGTAATTACTTCTTGACTAGTGAGTGAGAAGTCGTGTCCGGAATGACATTGATAGTAAAGTATTACTGAACTAAAAAGCTCTTATGCCTCATCAACCATAACATGAGGGAACGAGTATCAAGACAGATAAAGTTGCGTCCGGATTGATATTGATCGTAAAATATTGCTGAACTGAATAGCTCTTGTGCCTCGTCAACCATAACAAGAGGGAACTAGTATCAATACAGATAAAGTCGTGTCGGGATTGACATTTATAGTAAAGTATTCTTGGAACCGTGAGATAGAGTTGTACCTGGATTGATATGGGTCAGAGAGACTTTTATGGAGTAGGGCATTTACTACATATTTAATATCAGATCAGATCAAATGGTACCGTTGTGAATAGGGCATTATATCTTTGTCTGGAGGGTCACTTGAAATTATGCTTACAGTCCCATCATACATTTGTTGAATTATCTTTTTATTGTTAAATATTTTTTAAATTATTGCCTATATATCTTACATAATATCCATGAAGTAGTCCCCAGCAGACACTCCAGAAAGGGGTTTATTAATACTAAAATAAAAACCTTAAATTTTTTTTTCGTAAAAGAAATTGAGTTTTTGCCACAAACTCTGATTCTGCAAGATTAAAATTAAAGATGTTTAAACAATGAGGGATTAGAAACTTTTAGTTTGTGGCAAAGACTTAGTTCCTTTTATCAAAATAAAAACACGTGACTACGTTTCTTGCCAATTATACAGATTTTCACAACAAACTGTATGTATGTTTCCTCACATTGCATGTAACAGAAGTAATCTATATATATAAAGTAATAATCTCGGTATGTTTGTTTGTATGTCCGTTGTCCGATCAGAACTCAGAACCCCCTAGACTGACTTGCTGAAAATTGTGATTGGGGAACGTGGAAGAACCCTGGGAACGTTCTTAGCTTGGTTTTAAGATTCAAGTTGAGTGAGCGACGTTTATAGGGAAAAATAGCTAAAATCGTAATATAGTATAGTATATGAATAAAAATCAATAAAGCAATGCACTAAGTTTCTCAAATATTCAACGCGTCGGTTTTTCTTACAATAT